TTAATTTTCTTATCTATACTTAAAGATATAGAGGGATTTTAATATAGCGATTAATATCATATCTTTTAGCCTTATAGTTATTATAGAGAAAAGATTTATTTTAAATATATAAATCGTTATTTTAATAAAAGTAAGTTCTATATAGTAAATTAGATATTAGAATTTATTAGTAGATATATATATAAAGCGATAATAGTAAGAATAGTTAAGAGTTAGTAGTCGCGCCTATAAAACGACTATATACTTACTATTAAAATTATTATTATTATTAAAAAAGGATATTATAAAATTATTAGCTTATATATTAACGTAATTAGTAATAGTAAGATACTTATAATAAAGAGAAGTAGACTATTAATATAATAAGATATACTATACTTATATTAATATTAATATTAACGTTATAATATTAAAATAAGTACTTATAAGAGAGACGTTAGAAGTTATAAAGAATAAAAATAAATAATTTAAAAGAGATTTTTATATTCTTTATCGTAGTACTATTATTAATAGATAGTATTTAATAACGTAGATAGTAATAACGCGATAATATTTCGCTATTATCTATAGAGCCGCGTCGTCTAACTATTATTATTATTTCTATTATTATTATTAATTAATAATCGAGAGCGTTATCGCGAACGCGTTACTCTATTAATTATTCTTTTTAAATTTCTATAATAAAGATTATTATTATATTACTTCGCTATAGACGTAATATATTATAAAAATAACGTTATTTATAAAAAAACTCTTCTTTCTTCTTTTATCTATTAAATTTTCGAGATTTTATTATAAATTTTTAAATCTAATATTATTCGCTATAGAGACTATTAATTAATATTATAAAAACGCTAATATTAAACGCGTTAGTTTATTATAAATTATTATTAATTAATTTTATAAAAGCGATATTATTCTTAAAGAAAGTATTAATATTATTATATAATATATTAATAACGTATCTACGGCGCGTAATAATTAATTTTATTATATTATTAAAACGATATCGTAATAGATTAACTCTTTTCTCTTATTTTTCTATTAGAGTTTAAAGGTTTTTTAATAAGTATTCTATTTTTACTTAGACGTCTAGAGACTAAGATTTAGAAGAAAAGATAATTATTAGATTTAATACGTTATAAGCCTTAGCGCTACTTACGCTAAGGCGTCGATATTATATATACTATATTAGAATTTCTTTTAGAATCTAGTTTTAATAATATATTCTATATATCTAAAGACTTAATAAATATAGATTTACTTCGTATATCTCGAAGTTTTAATATTTTTTAGAGATTAGTTTTATTACTAAATATACTATTAAACTCTATAACGATACTACGTCTTTTATAGTCTATATTCATCTATAAATCTAAAAAGTTTCTACAAAATTTAAAATTGCTAATCGCGCGTTTATCGCGGAAATTATAAAATTCGTCGAATTAGTAAATCTAATTAGAATTTATTTAAATTCCGCCGGTTTAGTAACTATTCTAATCTTTTTCGCTAGTTCTATTAATTTAGTAGTAATACGTATAAAAAAAGAAAAGTTCTAATAATCGACGTTACGACGATAAGATTCTACGATAATAAGTATTAACGTTAACTTAAATTTAATTATAAAATTAGACGATTTAATAAAATTAGTTACGTAGATAATACTCTAATATAGCGTATAATAATACGTATATTAATAATAATATATATTAATATTATATATATATAGAATAGTACTTAAAGTATATTAAAGTATATTACGTAAAAATTTTAAAGTTATTAAAAATTTTTAAAGTTACTAAATTAATAGAACTAGCGAAAAGAGTTTAAATATAAATAAAGTTTATTAAATAGGCTAAATCGTATTAAATCGTACTTATAATACGAACCCGACGGAAATCGTATGGAAATTCACTTTTTAGATTTATAGATGTTCGCTAGCTAATTATTAGTAAACTACGCTCTTATAGAAAGATAATTAAAGTATTTAAGATTATATTTATTTTAATACTTAATATAGAAGTATATCTTCTATTAGTTAAATAACAGCTAGATAAGATTATCTCGAAAGCTATTTTATAAATTATTATTAATTTAATATATAGCGAGATTATTAAGTTACGATTTAAGCGATAGAAGTTTAAAAGAAAATTTAAAAAGAATAGAAAATTAAGTTTACTAAAGCGATATATTAATAGATTTAAAGAATAATACGACGACACTAATAAGATTAAGAAATTACGCCCTTTTAGCGTCGCTTTTAATTAAGAGTCTCTTAAAATAATAATTTATAAGACTAAGAAAGTCGTTAAAGAATTAGCTAAAAGATTAATTAATAAGAGTTATATAATAATATATATAGATAATAATAGAATTAATAAAAAGATAAGAGCGTTAGCTATATCGTTAGATATTAATTCTACTTTTAATATTTATTTAAACTTAAGCGATTAATATACGATATACTCGATAAAGTTATATAATATTCTTTAAGCTCTAACTATAATAGCTATATATTAAATAAGATTATAACTTAGTAGAGTTATAGTAAATATAAATAATTAAATATCGATTTAAACTATTAAAGATTTAAATAAGTATTTAAAGTAGATTTATATAATATAAATAGTATAGATTATTAATTCGCTAAGATATCTCGAGATAATAATAGAATTATATTAGATCTCGGCGTATATTAATATTAATGATAATAAATAGATGAATAAAAAGGCGAAGAAAATTACTAGCTAGCGAGAGTGAGTAATTGATAATAAAAGAGTAGAGATAAATACTAACGAAATAGTTTAATTATTAATTATATAGATAAGAATAATATCGATAATTAAGATAACTATTAGAGATTACGCGATGAAATAATAAACTATTATATAGGCTAATAAGAAGCGGGTAATATTCTTAGAAGAATTTAATTAGTACTCGATATTTTAACTGTCTATATTCAGGGAGACGTTAAGCCCCTAAGACCGTCGCTATTTAAATAAGTTCAGATGGTTCTGTCGAGGGGCTGTCTAAAAGTCGAAATATCGATTATTTTTAATAAAGTATTTGATTGATTTCGAGCTTGCTTAGACGCCTCGACAGATTCTTTATAAATATAAGGCTATTTTAAGAAGGAGGAATTTAAGGGATCTAAGAAAGAAGAAAGAAAGAGACGTTGTTATTTATTTGATATGCTATAAGGGAGACCCTAAAACCCTCTGACCCTCTGCAGCTCTGAGAAGTTTCTGCTAAATTTCAAAGGCTCTTCTTCGCAAGCTCGATAGGGATGAATACTTTATCAAATTTCGTCTACGCTACGTTATTTGAAAGCGTATAAATATTGCTATAATTCTACGTACTTAGTTTATTATCATATTTTTGATAAAATACAAGGAATCCAAAATAGGTAGATTTGAGGATTTTGAAGTTCTTTTCCAGCTTCCTCTTTTGGACGTACCCGTGTAGTACCCGCGTTTAGATCGAAAATAAAAGAAATAAGGTGAGTTTTAGACTGAAAATGGTGAAATCCGATGATCTGATTGGTCACTAGCCTCTTACGGCGTAGCACTATTCTCGTTTTCAAGTCTTGAGCATTGAGAAAGCAAGCTTTCCAATTAAATAAGTTAACGAGAAGCGAGACGATATTCTTAGAAGAATCTAATTAATATTATCGAAATAAATATAACTTCTATATTCGAGAGTTAAGCGCGTTAAGACGTCGCTAATAATATAAATAAGAATCGAGAAAATAGATCTTAAGGCCTTTCTTTATAATCGATAAATATCGAATATAGAGAATAAAGAATATAGACTATTTAGTAAGAAGCGAGGAATATAGGTAAATCGAAGAAAGAAGAAAGATAAAAGAGAGGATTATTACTTATAAGAATATGCTAATAAAACTACGCTACGCCTCTATAACGACGAACTTTATAAGAAATATTAAGTTTATTAAATAATATTAAGCCCTTAATAAAGATTAATAATAAGAATTTACTAGAGTAAGTAGTTAAAAAGAAAGAATACGATTAAGACGAGAGGGCTTTAGCGATATAGAATACACCCCTTTCTAAGAATCAAGTATAGTAAGATATAGAATTATAACGGTAACTTATATAGCCTCATTTATTTGAGATTATATAATTGACTAAAAGGATCAGATAGATTACGTAACTCGTATAGTCGGTTACTAGGGTAAGACTTTAGGGTAGTATGATGTAATCAATCAATCAATCAAACAACCCCCTTCAGTCCACGCTCATCGTTGTTTAAGCCCCAAGCATTTCAGTCATAGCACAAGAATTTTCCGAGACAAATTCACTGTTTACCAAGGATACTTCATTATGCCAGAGATGCAGTCTCTTCTCTTCGACGAAATCATGATCAAGACCTGCACTAGGTAGTATGACTCCACGAGGTTTGGAATGTCAAGTCTGCATGATGCGACTTCATTTTCTACTTGGTCAAAAACATCCATACCCCGCGGCATATGCATACCCTCTAGGGGTTCGCACCACCACTACCCGGGGCCGTGATTCAAAACGTACAAGTTCTTGCCTCAGCTAAGAGATGATAGCAAAGATTCCAGATCTCAATAGGGACTCTCCCAGAAAAGTTGACAGTTGTAATCAAACGAGCCCGAATTCATAATTCTTGTTATGGGGAAAGCATCTTTCCTGCTTGAATACCCATCATGCTCAATTCCTTCAGATGAACGGTTCACGTATTCTGACTGATTCCCACAAAAGTGTGCCAAAATGGAAAGAATGAAGCCCTTGGGATTTCCCTCTCCCCCTCTCAACAACATGCTTTCCTGTAGAGCTTCAAAATTTCCACTTCTACCTCGGTGAGGGACCTAAAAGTGTCAGAACCCTTGCTCGCCTAATCTCCCCCTCTATGCATGACTTTTGCTCGATCCTCTTACAAATCACAACCCCATACTCTGCTTGCAGGGTGCCAATACAAGGGGTAAACATCTGCCAAGGCCGATTCGCGGCTTATCATGCTCCCGCAGCTACCAAGGGTATCAACAAGTGTATGGAAATTTCTTCTCCAGTTGGTAAGTGGATATAGTAGATCTAGTCTTGTTAGCCAGCTCGTTCCAAAGATTCTGCGCTGTCTTACACAATATTTTCCAACAAAACCTCGCTGTGTTAAGTGGGCTAGTCGCTCTGCAAATGCTAAGACGAAATTCCACTAGCAAATTTCCGGGTCAGCATTTCCGTTCCGAGAATGGCCTCGAGCCATGAGACAGCGTCGAGGGAGCAAAGAGATGGCGAGATGAGCAGCCTGCTTCAGTGACATGTCACGCGACTCAAGACCCAGCGCTGGGCTGCAAGAAAGGACCCCAAAAATGCCTTACGGGTATTGTTCTCGTAGCAGAAGAGAATTCCAATTCAATGTTCGCCCATGTGATTGTGAAGCTGTTCACGGGCTGCTGCTGCTGAATCCATTTCTGCCTTACGTTGTCTATGACAACGTTATAAAAGCTTTCGAGAACCGATGCGGCGATCTGCACAGGTAGTAATGAGAGGTATTTGTCGACTCGGCCGATCTACACAACTTTTGGCATAAGCATGTCTTCCTTAGGGGAGGAACTTGACTTGTAAGACAAATCTATCTTTAACGTTTGGACTGCATGTTCCCGGGCATGTCTTGAGATCTAAGACTCCGAAAAGGTGGAGAAGGAAGTATTCTAGACTGTACGAACCCATCCATTCGGCAACTCATACAGATCCCGGGCGACAGGAAAACGCTTTGGGGTATACTGAGGACTGCTCCTCGTCAGTGAGGATGGTATAAGTCTTGGTCTGCTTTGAGCGTTGTAGGTGTGTATATTTGCAGCATTTGGTGTTGGACTTGTTGCAGACAGGAATACAAAGCCAAGGAGCCAAAGTAGCAGATGCGGTAAACATGATATCTTGGAGGGACGCATACTGATTGATAGTGAGGGGTCTTCTCTTTGTTCTTGTCAGTCTGTCATTGTACTGGGAAAGATCGAGCTCGTGACGTTTGGTATACGAACGCCCTGAACAGCCTGATGGCGATAGTCATGGTGGGAAATACTCAGCTGGTTACCCCAGCATGCTTGAACCGTGGCGGAGAGTAGTCGGCTATCGCATACATATGCGAACAAGACTACATACCCCAACATATAAAATGCTTGCGAAAGAGATGGAGGAACAATGAGTGAATGTGGAGATGAAGCGATTGGCTTACAAATGTCCCGTTGAAACCCTGAAAACGTGGATGAAAGACCTTCGAGCGCTATGGTATTTCTTGGCAGGGGATACAGTATGCGCTGCCGCCAAATCTGCAGCAAGGATAGTTCGGCCAAAACAAACAGTCATCGGCAAGGACCTTGAAAGCTCGTTCTCATGCCTGCCTGACTCGAGCAAGCTTACCCTGCTGAGCTGTTTCAAATTGGATTTGGTGCTGATAGACAGGTTGCTCTGGAGAGCACAATCATGTCTGTCCTGGAGACAACAGAGAGCACCGAGGACCTAGACCTTGCACCCAATCCGGAACCCAACCGATAACTTTTCCCTTCCCCAATTGCGAATGAGGAATGTGGGTAAATAGCGATCCGTCTTGTTATGTACCTAGGCCACTCGTCTGCTTCTCGATGCTCTCTGAGAATGCGCAGAGATGATTGACTTTAGACTTCACAGCAATTACGCAAATACGGTATGTTACCCGCCCGAGATTTGAAATCTCGATCTGGTCAACAAGGGGTAATGAAATGATCAAAAAATGTTGAAAGAGTTGCACTCCAAGTGACTCTGAGCAGTCGCAGTGGTGCTTGTAGCAAATAGCAATCTCGTGGGTTCCAAGAAATATTAATATCGCAATGAAAGCAAGATAGCATGCGAGATGAAACAACAAGAAGCAAAAACACGCTAACGTCTCAACTATAAAATTGTAGTACTAACAGAGGGAAGTAACCTTTACACGGAAGAACTTGCGATCAATCCTCTCGTCGATAGACAAGAATTGATCGAACATGGATTCTGAGCTATTCGCGGTCTCTCATTGCAGTCTATGTCGATACCCCAGAGGCAGGATACGAGGATCTCTATCGCTGGTGTCGTCTACCTACTTCGATGTTACCGAGCTTTCGATTTGTGACCACGGCATTTCCAAAAGTGTCTCCTTTTCTCCTGCATCATACTTTGTAACCGCTTTGAGGTACATCCAAGAACGGGGGGACCATGCTTCCTCATCCGTCCGGGTCACTCAATACTTCTACGACAACGAAGCTCTGCTCGAAACCTATGTAGGTGGTAATGGCAAACGTCGGATGGACTCTTGAGCATGCCCATTGCTCGACCATGTAGAGCTCATAGGAAAGGCCACCCCATATATTTGATTTGCAGCACAATTCACAGCCTCAACCTCTGCCTCTGCCTCTTCCACGAGCTCCTCTTACCCCACCCCTTCCTCTGTCTCCTCTTCCCCCATGATCACCTCTCAGGGCACCGCCACCTCTGGCGCGACTCGATGGCTGGTTTTGCTGTTGGTCTTTGACCAGATCGATGATCTCGTCCGGTACTCGCAAGTATTTGATCTACCACCAAAGTCAGCCCACATTGTTCTTTCACATCAATGAGGGGAGTGATATACATTATTCCCCCTCACATAGACCTCTGGTAGTCTGAAAAATTTATCGCCCTCTGGGCTTGTTTGGACCACTTCCTTGAGCGTAAGGTTCATCCACGTATCGCAACTGATCAAGTGACCGTTGAGTGTCTCTCCATTCTTTAGCTCGACGAGCATAGGGTGACCCTGGGCTGCATTGAGAAGACCTAACGGCAGCTGAGTCGCACCGAGTTCAGCATACAGTACCGGTATGTCCAATATCGAGCTCGACTTACCATGGTTGGCCTTGATTTAAATGGGGGAAATGCGAAAGCTGCAGGATCGACACTAGGTATCTACGGTCATTTACAATATTCGAGAGGCGCGGTTGAAGCTCCGCGCTACCCTTAGTGCTGGACTGCTGGTTGGACGCTTTGGTTGGACCCTTCGGACGCGATTGATCAGCCCTGCCAAGAAATCAAGCAGGGCTTAGCTCTTGGCAAAGTGGTGCAGCTGAGTTGTTGCCTGCCCGAGCCTGCTGACTTCAACAACAAAAGGTTCAATACTACAATCCCCTCCTCTCGAGAGGCGACCTCGAGCCGTTGTCGCCACCAGCATGCGCGGCTTCACCAAGGCGGCAGCTTTGCTGTCATCGACTTGGGCTTCGGCTTTAGTCATACCTGAATCGGGTTCCCTGAGCACTCCGTCATCAGATGCCGTGATCCAATATCGTAAGGCAACATCTGTAAAGCCCTGACGTTTCTGATTGACTAAGCATACTAATTTTCCTTTAGATCCTTATGAAGCTCTACTAGAGTTCGGTGCCAGAACTGGCGAACCAATTGATCCAGTATGATGCACAATGTACCGAGTCTTAAAGAGCATTTACCAATAGCGTATAGATCGTCACATTCCAGGTCCAGGGTACGGAAAAGGCATGTGGAGAGAGCAATGTCAAGCTTAATGGTCAAGAGCTGGAGACCAAGTGGGAAGGGACGACTGCCGAAGGTCACGATTACCTCGACATCTACGGTGGAAGCGAAGCAAAATGGCACATTAGCTGCCTTTACGACGCTGTGCCAACCGATGGAAGCAATTCCGTCGGAGAAGATGTCGTCCATGTCCTCAGTATCCATTTCGTCAACCCAGCCCGTCGTGGATTTACGGTCTCGTACAAACAGATTGGCCATCCGGCAATCCTGCGCTTCTTTCCGAGATACCAACCAGCTAATTTCGCTCTTGATCCTGTGCTCGCCAACCAATGGCGGAGGCCGTCCGTAGATTTCGATCCGGATATTATGGCAAATGCAGTAAAGAATGATTCAGTCTTGTATGACATTTTGAGTCAAGGCCAAAAGAGCCTCGGGGCTGAACTGACTGCCATCAAAAGTTCCTTGAAAAAGGGCATGAAGAAGGTAGCTGGTATCTGGTGTCACAAGAGCAAGGGAAAGCCTAGCGAAGTGAAGGCCGTCTCGGTAGAACATTCTAAGATTTCCACTGACCGACTACTGGAGCCACCTCCCGTATCCTACGAGGAATCAGTTTCCACAACTGAGGCTTCCGGTTCAACGAGCACCACACCTAATCTGTCCGCAGCGGAAACGCGATCTTTAATATCGACGGAAGCTCTGCAGACATCGACAAGCCCCATAACAACAACTCTTCCCTCTCAACCCAATATTAATACCCACCTCCTTAAGTCATTTGGCTTGGGACTCATAGTCCTGTCGTGTCTTGCATGGCTCCTCCTACGTTGTCGAGACCCTCGTCGCCGTGTTGACTGTGCCGCTCGCAGGGAGGAACGCAGAACCAAGCGAATGTATCGTAGGGCTGCGCAGAAGCAAGCATTCGAGAACTGGCTTCGGAGCATTCATCTTAAGTTCAAAGCTCTCCGTTTTAGGTACGGCTTCGCGCCTCAGGCAGCAATTAGCTGGGATGAGAAACGGACACGTGTGATCGCACAAGAGGCCGTTCTGGAAGATGCTATGGCCGACGACATTAGGGCACTCAGAAACGCCCACCGAGTCGTGAGCAGCATTACGGCTGCCGAAGAAGGGAGGCATGACTTCGTGTACGAGGCCGAAGGCTCCGAACGGCGGAGGAGCGTCTCCACTCTCCCGGGGTACGAGAGTGAGGGTAGCCTACCACCCTCGTATGACGACGCGGGGGATAGCTTCGAGAGAAGCGCTGTGGTCAACGGGTTTCAATCTATTCCGGTCGACACCGAGTTCACTTCTAACAGCAGTGTCATCTCGACCAGTCCACGAATCAGCCGAGACGGCACAAACAGCGAATTTGACGAGAAATTTGAGCAGATAACATTGGAAGCAAGCGGCCCGGCTGGTTCGGGTTTCTGATCGGTGAGAGGGCTGATAAACGGAGCGAATAGGTATGACGAGGGGGCTTGGCTGTAGGCCGTTAAATGTACAGTATTTTGGAGCCCTGGATGGAAAGGAGGTGGCGTTCAATTTACGTCTTCATGCCAATGTTCGCACAATGGGATGTTTCTTCTCCGTATTTACAAGCATATGTAGTCAATACCACTCGTCGATCTTATATCGATCTACACAATTCGAAATCATGATTGTGTATCCTTTGTGCAATTGCAAAGGAACATAATGCTCCACACGGGTATCCAAATCGAAGTGGACCCCCAATTGGCAATTGGCCACTACGAGTAGCACTAGAAGACGTGCGTTCGAGAGCGTGATAAACTCTTGACTACACGACTATACTACACAACGCAAAGCTTCGCGCGTAGCTCAAATTGCTCATTATTTTCAAAGTGCCATGGACGGCCTACGAAGATGCGTCATATTTGACAGTTTCGGATCGTAATGTCAGTCCACCGTTCCCTGATTCGCAGTCCCTACCGAGGTCCAAACCCGTACAGATCAAGCCAGACCACGCTTCATCTCTCTGGCTGCCCGCCACGTCACCGTGACCCACTTACGTGTCGCACACATGCTCATTCCAAGCCCTTTTCGACGGTGCACATCGGCACATCATACGAGCATCTATGCGCCAGGACACTCCCGCGCCTTGAATTCCAAGATCTGACCCGCACAGGCGGTCCTGACGACAAGGGCATTGATCTACTGGGAAAATGGCTGCCATTGTCTCTGCAGTACACCAAGTCCCCACCCCTAAACGTGGTGGTGCAGTGCAAAGCTGTAGCGCGAAAGGCTAGCCCGGAGATGATCAGGGAGCTTGAAGGGACCCTCGCTGGCGCGCCGGGTGAATGGAGGGGAGAAGATACGATCGGGCTGTTGTGTGCGAAGAGGGAAGTTACGCGGGGGGTGAGAGATGCTCTGAGGAGGTCGAAGAGGGCCGTGGTCTGGATCATGATTGAGGATCTTGACGATGCCAAGAAGGACAGGAAGGGAAGTGGAGACGAGGTTGAAACAGAGGCTGGAGACAGCAAGGAAGTGCAGGAGGGAAAAGGAGGAAGGATCAGGCAGATTTTGTGGAACGATCGGGTACAAGAGTTAGTAGGGAAGGTCACAGGGACCCGCGTGATCCATATACCTGGAGAGGATGGAGGGCGAATGGAGACGGAAGTGCTCATGTCATACAATGGCATGTTGGCGGTAGCTGACGATGTCGGAAAAAGACTGGGGGACGATATTCCAGGTTCCTCGCATCTATGACGGTTCGGTTGAACAAATAGGCCATGTTCACCCAGCTACGCTAAATTTGTCATCTTTTCCGGCCGCATACCTCGGAACGGTTTCATCGTAGTCTGGCTGCCTCCCTATCTGTGTTGCTGTTGAGATCAGTGTCGAGCCGCCTCAACCGAAACTTGAATCTGTCTGGTACGAGACTCCCGGGCACAAATAGCGGCAGCCTTAATGCTTTGTAAACGTCAAATATCTATCATCTATCTTCTATCATCATCTTTTCAATAAGACCACTCGGCATGTGTTGGAGGGCCTCATGCACGTATCAAGCCTCACGTGCTCTCTCCCTCTCTTTACGCTTCTTCAAGTTTGCGATCCAGTCGTGGTGTATACTCCAAAGGCTTATTCCCACGCCAACCAAGCTTGCCCCCAGCGTGACAAAATACGCGTTACGATAACAGTACAACCCGTCTTTGCAATCTCGCTGCCCGCCAGGTAGGATGATCGAATGCCGGTCATAGATGTGGCCGTAGACCAGATTGAAGATGTTACCGAAGACAATAGGCGCAAGCGTCATGCTGCCCCAGTTTTGACTGAAGCCATTCACGCCGAAGGTTTCTGCAACGAGTGCTGGGTAGACGCCGAAGAGGAAACCGTAGGCTAGGCCGGTCAAACCAGACAAGAAGCCAAGAAGGTGAGGATTATCAATTTGGGTCCCGCAAACTTGGGCGAAAAGAAAAATTGTGCTGGATATGAAGAGGCACCAAAAACGGCTCATTCCCAGCTTCCTGACAATGATATCGGAACCAATACCTGGGCAAATGAAATTAGCGTTGGGTTTCGGGAGTATACAGCATTGACGTACCGCTGGCGAGCCGTCCACAAAAACTCATGAAGGAGAGGATCTCGACATGCATCAATTGTCGTTCTTGTACGAATTCTGAGGAGGCACTGTCGTCGTAATGATGCCATAGCGCTCTAGCCTGTAAAATAGGTGAGAATGTTCAACGAAACAACAAGAAATTAGGAAGATTTACATCGCTTCCGATATTGCTGAGCAGCTTGTTAGTCTGACATCCCTCCAAGATGGAAACAGCGATTTACTTGCTTGATCGTCATTATGCCCAAGCCCGTCAATAGGCCCATTAACACCCATAGTAGGTAGAACTTCGTGTGTGAAAGCATCGCTAAACCTCGTATATCTACATCGTGTGAGTCATGATCCGTTGCAATTTTTGCCCCGCCTTCCTCATAAGGTATATCGCCGGGACACGACCCAGAAGACTTAGACAACAAAGATGTGGTCTCTTCTGTGCCTTGGCTAGGGACTTCATGTCGATTAAAACTTGAAGGATCCTTGGGTGCATCTTCATGAAATTTGATAGACTCAGGTTGCATACCTGGTTCATGAGACAAGTGACGGACGATGTGCCTACTGTCTTCAGATTTGGAACGTTGAAGTAATGTTGAGGCATCCGAGCCGCTTCGTTCGAGTGAGCCGGGCAGAGGATCATAAGACTGCGGGACTGGCACAATGCGAAGGAGGAAACTACCGATGAAAGGGATCGTGAACGTAGCGATGGCTAACAAGAGGAGCAGATCTAGAGTATTGTCCGGGAAGGCTAAGGACGATACGGATGCGAAGACAAAGGCGCTCAGGCCGAAGGCTGCTAGGGGAAAGGCGGTCGCGGCACCACGGTGATCCGGCCAATTCAAAGCGGCTGAAACTGTGAGTTTCCGGCGACCGTGTTGACGTAGGAAGCCTTACATGTCTTGACAGCGCCTGCGAAAGAAGCGCAACCCCCCACGCCTGTCAGAAAAGCGAAGAAACATAGCCACGGCAACGATATTGAACCAGGACCTCCATCATATGCTGTGGCGATGTCAAAAACCTGACCTTTTGGGCCGCATAGGGCTCCATACCTCTATATAGCGAGAAGTAGCCCACTCCCAACGACACGGCACCCAAGAGAGCGCCTGGCCGAGGACCTCTTGTATCAACCAGTAGACCTATCGGGATGCCGGCGCTGTACATGCCCAGATTGCCGAATGTACCCTGCGAGACATGAGATGCATGTCTAACGCTTTTTCAAAGAAGATGGCCCACAATCAAATTGCTCTGGGTTGAGGAGAGCTTCAACTTTTCTGCAAATGCTGGTGCCCATGCCGAGTACGCATACTGTCCATGCGGTCAGCGTGTTACACAAAGACAAATGTTGCTGGCATATCCACATTAGTCCCGCATGCCAGTGATATAAGAGTGGCTGCAATCACTGATAGTACTCTCGCTGTCCTCAACCTGTTTCCTGACATTGTAGTAGTAATTTGTAATTGGCTAGGCGGGCAGAAGGTCTTTGAGAGACGGTGATTGCTCGTCACCACCTCTTCACGATGGCGAAGCAAGTAGCATCATATCTGCATACAAGGATACAAGGATGAATTAATCAATTTGGACGGAAAAAAGTTGCATACAGAGTATGGTCAGGATCAACAGCCGTTACGCTGGTGGACAACTTATCAGTGCCAAGAGAATGATATCATACGGGATTGGTTGATTTTAAGCGCCTACCCTAGAATACATCGAGCACGTCCCACTGGTCGCATCAAACACGAATATTGTCATACACCTCCGCCGTATCGCCTTCAACCTCGAAATCGCGAGAAGAAAGTACCTTGGTGGACACCATGGGGGCTTTACTCTCCCTTCCGCTCTTGGCTGTCCCGAGTCTTGGGACGGTGAGTTGGCCCCGCTGCTTTTGTTCCGGCGGGCGTTGCCTCAACCATCCGTACTGACTGACCTATCTGTAGCTGATGACCTTTGGAGCCTCCTGTTGCGGAGCAGCCACTTGTTCTGCAGTATGCAGTTCCTGTGGGAAATTTCAGAGCAGGTAGATATCCTTTGGGCCGTTGCGAGGATGTATAGCTAACAGGAGACAAGCATGGCCACTCGCATCGCCTACGCAGTCATCCTCCTACTCAATTCAATAATATCTTGGCTCATGCTCACACCATGGGCCCTCAAGAAGCTGGAACATCTGACTTTGGACTACATGGCGATAACCTGTCAAGGAAAGCAGTGCTATGGTTTCGTCGCTGTCCAGCGGGTCAACTTTGCTCTCGGTCTATTCCACTTCGCTCTTGCAATTCTGCTGCTCGGTGTCAAATCTTCTAGGGATGGACGAGCTGCTTTACAAAACGGTTACTGGGGGCCTAAGATCATCATCTGGCTGGCTTTCGTTGTCATGACCTTCTTCATTCCCGAGGCTTTCTTCCAAGTCTGGGGCAAATACTTCGCATTGGCCGGAGCCATGATGTTTGTGCTCCTGGGACTCATCCTTCTAGTCGATCTTGCCCACACTTGGGCTGAATTCTGCTTGGAGAAGATCGAAAACTATGATTCGAAGGCATGGAGGGGCGTTCTCATTGGATCGACGCTTGGCATGTATACCATGTCGTTCGCCATGACCATCGTCATGTATATTTTCTTCGCAAACAGTGGCTGCGCAATGAATCAAGCCGCAATTACCGTACGTTGATCTATAATCTTACAAACCATGCTACCGCTAATAAGCGTCTAGGTGAACCTCATCGTCCTGCTCATAATCTCCGCCATCTCGGTCCACCCCGTGATTCAAGAATATAACCCCCAGGCTGGCCTCGCACAGTCCGCTATGGTTGCCGTCTACTGCACCTACCTTACTATGTCCGCCGTATCCATGGAGCCCGATGACCACCACTGCAATCCTCTCATCCGTGCTAGTGGCACTCGCACAGCGTCAATCGTCATCGGCGCGATCGTTACCATGCTTACAATCGCCTACACCACTACCCGTGCTGCCACTCAGGGTATTGCTCTAGGCAGCCAAACTAGCCACTCATACAGCAAGCTTGGTTCAGAAGAGGCCGCAGAGCATGGTCTCGTCGACACTCAGCCCTCTGCATCTCGCCGCGAAATGCGCGCCGAAGCCCTCCGTGCTGCGGTCGAAGCTGGCAGTCTGCCTGCTAATGCTCTTGACGACGATGACGAAGACGAAGAGTCCAATGACGACCACGGCGGTAAAGACGATGAGAGACGAGGCACGCAATACAACTACTCCCTTTTCCACGTCATCTTCCTGCTGGCTACATGCTGGGTTGCTACCTTACTCACGCAAAACATCGATTTCGAGAACGCTGGTGACTTTGCAGCTGTTGGGAGGACATATTGGGCTAGTTGGGTGAAGATTGTGAGCGCATGGGTGGCGTATGGCATTTACACATGGAGTCTGGTGGCGCCGGTTACGATGCCGGACCGCTTTGGCTATTAAGAGGAGCACAGTAGCTTTGATCCAGATATGGGCATTTTTTGCGGAGCTGTTGCCAGGGTGTGCGTGGGCATTGGCTGCCAAGGGTTAACATCGGATGGTGTTTATGGGTTCATCATCGGTACTAGGGTGTTACGTACATAGTATAGGCAGTCAATGTGAACGGATGCGAGGAGGCTCTCATCAGTCGATATATCACATTCTCAAAACACGAACTTACTTCAATCTGGTGGTGATGTCTCAAATCTAGAAACAGGCCTCTTCAGATGTGTGTGTGTGTATTGATGTCATGTGTTTCTCAAGTCCGTAGGCCTTTGGCTCTCAGCATAGATTGCCACCTATTAAACGGCACCGTCATACGAGTAAAGTACATGTAAACGCCTAACGGAAGGGTATTAAAACTCGCATTCTTGATCATAAACTTTTTTCGATGCTGGACAACATGAATTGAATGAAAATCGTGATAATGGTACAGGTGTCCGTAGACTTCGAACAAAAGAAAACCCGAGGTCGAAGATTAACATTAAGGTGTGCTGCAGCTCACATGTCCCTTTTGGATGTGAGATTCTAACAGTTGCAGAAGGCGTTCATCGTCTGATATCATCAAAAAGCGGAATGGTCAATACTGGTAACGGTCCAGAATGGGCGTGTTGGTAAGGTTAGGCGTGCAACCCGTTGGTGAAGGCTTGAGGCGGCTCTGGGTACTCCGAGGAGTCTGAGATGCGACTTCTCTTGGCAGGTCGTGATTCCGGCTGCTCGCCTCGTAATTCCGCAACCTCACGCTCAAGCTCGTCAACCTGGCGCTTCAAGTCCTCTTCCCGGTGCAGCGCCTGGTCTAAAGACTGACGCAGCTGGCTCTCGGAGTCTTTGGGAAGCATCTCCGCTTGTGGGGCGCCACCTTGTTCATACTGATTGACCGTGCCCTTGTATAGGTCGTTGATGACCTCCAACTCGCTCACCCGCGTCTTCAAAAAGGTATTCGCTTGTAGTAGCCCTTCGTATGTCTGTGGGGGTTCTAAGTTGCGGTCATTGAAAGATGACGTGGAGCCTGGCGAAGGATGACGCAGCTGAAACGCAGGTATTGCGGGAGACTGGAATGCATGCTCCGCTGACGAGACACCGTCGAAGACATGTTGAGGAGCGATGTTGGAAGGATGAGCGGGGGTTTCGTTGTGCGAGACCGGAGAATTTGATCGGTCGGACCCAGAATTGTGGCCAACTCGCTGATTGTTGGCATAATTTGGATAATTTGGAGGAGGAGTACCCTCTGATTGAGACGTGGGCAAGCCGTTACCGTCAAACAGCGACTTCATCACTTTTGTTAGTATAGTTCTTTGCGCACTTCGAATGTGCTTACCTTTCGCTTCTGCCCCTGACCTGCGGTTTTGACACGATTGCGACTCTTGATTACATCTGTTTTGAGGGATATAGGCCGAGGCGTACCATGAAGCTTGAGGAAGAGGCCACATGCATTGCAGAGGACGGATCCCATCTCGTCGCGTCGCCAGAGAGGTGTTGTAGACGTAGTACAGTTCTGGCATACTGGCTGTAGGTTCCCAGGCTCACGGTCAGCAAATGTTGCCATATTTCACACAAATACCCGCAACCACAATTTTCGCCGCTCTCGAATTAGTCCTCGGCCTCTTCACTTCACTTCAGCCCGGAACGTTTTTTCAAAGCGTTGAAAACAGAGAAGAACGAAGCCCGATAAGCGATAAGTAATAAGCTCTTTAGCGCGCAGAAAGGGATCTGTGGCCCGCCAGCAATCCAAAAACGTGGTCGCAAAGCCGAACTTGTGAAATACTCTGATAGAGATCATGCCATACATCTGAAAAACACGTCGGTCTTCTTCGCGCTCAGATTCTTGCACGCGAGGGGTCGTGAAGGGAACTATCCTAAGTAAACCAGCTGAAGATACTCACAGGGACGTTGCCTTGACCTGTAGTCGCAGCAGGTAACGATGTAGCATAGCTCATGGTTTGGGAGACATCATTGTACGCCCTATCAGCATCCAGCCGTCAGCCTCAGTCTTGTCCAATCTCAGCCACGTGTAATTGTTCGGCGCTCAAGACTAAGCGCCCACTCACGGGGGTGAAGCCAGAAAATACAGCCAAGGGGGAAGCGTGAGAATATAGGGTGCGTTGCGTAATGGGGTAGTTACCGGAGATGCGGCGACGGAACAGAGGCGACTGAAGCCAGGGTGACTAGAGCAGGAAGTTCGAGGTGGAGATTTGCTTGGTGGGAACGTTGCTGTGTTGAGGCCGAGGACCGCCGAGAGGAGTCGTGGTTGAGGCTGGACGATGGCGAAGGCGCCCGAATATCTGCTGCAGGAGCCGTTTTAAAGGCTGGCAGATCCGGGATCTGATGTGTAGAAGGCAATGGAAGTGTGGGATCCAAGGGGGAGTGTCTGTAGATGAGGGGTACTGATACCGAAGCCGTGGTTGCGGTTGTGGGGGATGTAGAGTGGAAGAATGGAGTTGGAAGCGCTTGGTACCGCAAGGAGGTAGTCGGAAGGTGTTGGCGAAGAAGAGTGTGTTGAGTGTTGTTCGTGGTGTTCGTGGTGTTTTCCCGGGACGCGATAGTTGATTAAGGAGCGAGGATTAAATTAAAGTTGCTTATACAAATGAACGCGCTGGCATTATTAGGTTGGGTAAAGGCAGAAGCAGAAGTAGAAGCAGAGGCAGAAGCAGATTACACGTAAAAGTACAAATGGTTGAAGGATAGCATGGGTTTACGTCGTGGGCGTGGGCGTGGGCGTGAGTATTTGGCTTGGAGGGAGAAAATATGCCCAGGGCCCCAGGGGCAAATCGCGATATTAGATAAAAGGGATGATGAGGCGATCTGCCGCCCTGCACTTATTATTTTAAAGCACTTCAAAAGCAATTAAAAGCACTCAAAGCATATTGGAACAGCAGGGGAGCTATTTTAGGCTCTTGTCATTTCACTTGCTCTTCATCCCCTCCAAATACTCATCATGGAGTTGTTGGATTCGAAAATGAGTTGGTCTTTAAGGATGCGTCCTTCATCTCCTTGCGCCTGAGAGGTTTCAAAACTCAAGCAAGCAAGCCAATCTCGCCTGCAAGAATCCTTTACACCCAAAAATCACACGCTGGTAGACGCGTTCCATTACTTTAGCAGAAGCGTCCGTGTCCTGTCAAAATGGCATGATATGGCAACGATCAAGGCTCTCGAGGGTCGTACTGTTCACCAAATTCAATCTGGCCAAGTCATTGTAGACCTGTGTTCGGTGGTGAAGGAACTGGTTGAGAACAGTCTCGATGCTGGAGCTACTTCGATCGATATCCGCTTCAAAAACAATGGTCTTGACTCCATCGAGGTTCAAGACAACGGTAGTGGCATTGTCAGCGAGAATTACCAGACCATCGCCTTGAAGCATTACACCTCCAAGCTCTCTAGCTACGACGATCTTTCTTCTTTGCAAACGTTCGGCTTCCGAGGCGAAGCTCTTTCCTCTCTTTGCGCTCTCTCCAAGTTTCATGTCACCACTGCCCGTGCAGATGAAGCTCCAAAGGGCACGAGGCTCGACTTCGAGGTGTCTGGCCAACTGAAGAGTACTCAAGTAGTAGCAAGCCAGAAAGGTACTACTGTTGCTGTTGAGGATCTTTTCGTGAGCCTGCCAGTTCGGAGAAGGGAGCTTGAGAAGAACATTAAGAGGGAATATGGTAAAGTGCTCGGTATTCTCCAGGCGTGTGCTTGCATTAGTACGCAAGCGCGGATCTCCGTCAGCAATGTCATGGCAAAAGGCAAGAGAGCGGTAATTTTCGCGACAAAGTCGAACCAGACAACCAGAGAGAACATCGCGACTGTCTTCGGTACAAAAGCATTGCCCGCGCTGGTTGCTATGAATCTCAGCTTCGAGCTACAGCCTACCAAGACCCAAGAACCAGCGTCTAATTCCGAGTGAGTACCCATACTACACATGGAGAAACGAGAATCTGACTGCCAAGAAACAAGCAAGTGCAAGTAATTGGCCATGTTTCAAGACCCACCTTTGGCGAAGGTCGGCAGGCACCTGATCGCCAGATGTTCTTCGTCAATTCAAGGCCTTGTGGACTTCCTCAAGTTGCCAAAATCTTCAACGAAGTCTACAAGGCCTACAATGCTTCGCAGTCGCCATTCATTTTTGCGAACCTATCGTTAGACACTAGTACGTGGCCCTGGGAACACCATAGATTTTTTTTTAATGATCCCAGATGCGTACGATGTGAACGTTTCGCCCGACAAGAGGACGATTCTGTTGCATGATCAGACTAGTTTATTGGAATCCATTAGGGTTTGTAGACGTTTTAGATTCTTGGGAATGGCGAGCTGACCGCTGCAGGTTTCTCTGACCGCGCTTTTTGAGAAACAGGATCAGACTGTACCACAGTCTCAAAAGTCGGGTCAGACCTTTAAAAACCTTACGGGCCGTCGGGGAACCTCAAGCGTTGATGACACGCATACGCCTGGGAACCACGCGTTACACCCCCCTGAGCTTCAAATTTCCGATGATAGCGAGTATGAGGTATCGAGTGAGAAGGAAGAGCCAGCCAAAGATGACGGTGTGCCAAGTCTGATTGAGAGCTTTGCAGGCCGTGACAGCAGAGAGCGTGCTATCAAGGCCACCTCAGCTCCAGGGGCATCGAATAGGACGAAAATGTTGTCCAAAGACAAGCAAAAGCTCGTAAAGAAACTTGGTAGAGAGAAGGAGCAATCACACGAGCCTGCAGACTATGATGATGCTCGGGATCTGGCGAAATCTGATGCCATGCTGAATGGTCTTGCGAGACCAGTGGAAGACTTCAATCGGAGGATTGCCGAGCAGCAGCCTGATTCGATTGAGACTCCAACCCCAATGGGATGTCTTTCGCGCGAGGAGTCCCAAGCATCTTCACCAACGGGAAGTAAGTCAGAGACGGAACACTCTTCAGGAGTAGTGCAAAACGCCTTTGACCGAATGCGCCCCCGGCGTAATCCTCCAGAAGTTGCAACGATAACCATTGGCTCAAAGACTACCACTTCTGTTCTCGGACCATCCTCCTCCTCCAAACGGCGAAAGCTCGATTCGACAACAGCCACTCCAATTAGACCCACGGGCTTCGCTGATGATCCAGCGCGAAAGAAATTCAGTAGCAGCATGAGAGCCTTTGCTGCTCCCGGCTCTGAGCTAATCAAGTCGGTTGGTAGACCACAAAGCAAATCACGGGTGTCTCGGCCGTACCTTGGCAGTGCTAGTGACAATGAAGACGAATCTGGTGTGACGGACCTAAGTCCCGGAGCATTGACAACGTCTGAAGATGATGAAGAAAGCCCGGCCGAGTCCCCAGGTGGTCGTGCCGATGAAACCCTGGAGACGCCTCTCGCGGAGGCTGAATCTGATGATGACTACCTGGATGATGAGGGTAAGAAAGCTCGAGAAGAAGCGACGGTCGCCGATCTGATCAAACAAGCCGAGGAAAAGGCAGCCATGCCCTCCGAGGACAACATCAGACGTGTAAACCAGATATTGAGAGGTCGCGGGCAAAAGGACTCCACTACGCAGCTCATGCAGATGATCGACGAGTCCGTAGAGAGAATTGATCAGCAACTGAAGACTCTGGAGACCGCTTTGCAAGCACCCGCCGATTATGGCTTCTCGCCAAATCCTACAGCTCCCACGGAGGACACATCTGCTGAAGAGAGGTTGTCGCTAACCGTATCAAAAGCCGACTTCGCGCACATGCATATTACAGGCCAGTTCAATCTCGGCTTCATTCTAGCTGTCCGTGACCCCTCTCCCTGTTCGCCCAATTCTGATCTCTTCATAATCGACCAACACGCCTCAGACGAGAAGTACAACTTCGAGCGTCTTCAGGCCAAAACCATTGTCCAAAATCAACGCCTAGTTCATCCACACAAACTCGATCTCACCGCCATCGAAGAGGAAATCATCCTCGACAACAATAACACTTTGCTAAAGAACGGTTTCCAGGTCGAAATTGACATCAGCGGCGATGAAGAAGTCGGCCGTCGCTGTAAGCTCATGTCCCTCCCGATGAGCCGAGAGGTCACCTTTGACGTTACCGACCTGGAAGAACTTATCGCTCTGCTTGCCGATAATCCTTCCTCTTCCTCATCAGAAAGCGTTCCACGGCCGACCAAAGTGCGACGCATGTTCGCCATGCGCGCTTGCCGTAGTAGTGTCATGATAGGAAAGACTCTCACGCCGAAGCAGATGGGCGCGTTGGTGAGGAAAATGGGAGAAATTGACAAGCCGTGGAATTGTCCGCATGGAAGGCCGACTATGAGGCACGTCTATGGGTTGAAAGAGTGGGAGGGGTGGAAAGAGGGTGGTGGGCTAGCGGGAGTGGAGGCAGGGAGAAAGGTTGAATGGGGGAGATGGGTTAAAGGCGTGAGGGAGCAAGAAGAAGAGATGGACCGAGAAGATGATGATGGGAAGGAGGAGCAGATGGAGAAAGGCTTCGACAACAGTGAAGCTGGGGATGCAGAGGATGAGGAATGGAGTTGAAACAAGATGAGTGAACATGTGTTTAAGGATTGTACCGAGTAGTTACCACATGCATGCTGTACGCTAGACATTCACCTGTAAAACAATGAGATGTTACCCTTTATCCAGCCCGGACTCCCTCCTATTTATGAGCACGCTCTGCTAAACGATCCCTGGAGCTCACATCCATCCTCCGGTCCCTGTCCTTCCCTCCTCCATCACTTTTCCGCTAACTTCTCGTGCTCTGATGCCTCCACTTGGGAAAATTCCTCTCTCCTTGACCTCCACTCCGCTCCTACTAACAACCCTACCTCCGCCACCCATTCCTGCAGGCCCAGACCTCCCCATGCCTCCCCACGCTTTGGCCTTGCCGATCCCAACCATCCCAGGGGCCCAGCCCCCTCCTTGGCCAGGATTTCCGGTTCCCGGCCTCAATGGCCCCTTCTCTACCCCGGCTGCTCCCCTTCGCTTCTGCTGATCGAGCGGTGGGGTTGGTGGGTTCATTTGCAGAGGGCGAAAGTTCTCGTTGGTCTTGTAATCAAAGGGCGAAATCTGGGAAAGTGGCTGGTAGGACGGTTTGTTGAGAAGGTGCTTGAGTTCTCTTGGGGGCGATGGGGATGGAGAAGAGGAGGGAGAAGGGTGCGTAATCCAATTGCTGTCGGGAAGTGATGGGACTGTGGACCGCGGACGTGTTGATCCAGGTCGACTTGTTGCTATTGTGGTGATGGTGCTGTTGGAGTAGATTGATGAAGATTTAGTAGGAGAACGAATTATATTTGGTTGGTTGGTATGGCTCGCGGGGTTGGAAGAGTTGGAATAAAGCGAAGAAGACTTGGCGGGAGAACAGATTACTGTTGGTTGATCGGTTTGTTTCGCCAGGCTTTCGCCGTGAGATAGGACAGGGAACATGGTACGAGACGACTGGTGGGATGGGGAGTGTTGATCATAGAAAGGGCCTTGAATCTCAGTACGAGAGGAACGATGAGCAGGCGGTTGGTCGTAGAAAGGAGTTGCGAGGTCAGTCAAAGAGACACTGTCATTGGTGTTGAGATGGGGAGCATCAGTAGTGTTGATATGGGAGTCGGTACGAGAAGAGCGCAATTGGTCATTATTTTGGCTCTGGATCTTGGTCCACGAGGAGCGCTGAGAGAGCGGTAGGTCATAGAAGGGGCCTCTAATCTTGGTATGAGGGGAACGATGAGCCGGTGGCTGACCGTTAAACGGAGTTGAAAGGTTAGTACGAGAAGCTCTGGCGCTCGCGTTAGGATGGGAGACGTCTGTAATGTTTGAGTAGGAGTCATTGCGGGTGTGCATGAATGGGACGGTCGGGGAGGCCATCAGAGGATCTTCAGCCCTGAGTCCTCGGATTTTGTCTGTTGATATGGAGATTTGGCTCGTACGGTTATCGAGAAGAGATGACTTATTGCGCTTGTGCCGAGACGTTAGATTGTCCTCTAAAGGGTTCATATCCGGAGGAAGTCTTGAGACCTTGCGGAAGATGACCCCAAGATAGATCGATATCGCTAAAGATACCAGGTGAAACGTCCCGGTAACCACGCTGGTAACAAAGGTGGCGAACACGATACTGGTAGTAGCCTGGTCGCTAGCGAACAGAGTGGACCAATGACCTGGGGCATTGACAGGCTCGATAGACTGGGTGTGAGAAATCAAGGCCGTAAATACAAGGAACGGGGTCAATCCGGCGTCAATCATGGCTGCAAATAACATATAACTGGCCGAAGATGATGGTGTGCGTCCCCTGGCAGAGCGCGAAAGATGATATGTACCATAGACGGTGTGCAATATTGCAACTCCGGGCTAATACAATACGTGATTAACGTTGATCTTTTGTCCTCATTGGGGTTATACATACGGGCACCCGTATAATCCATCCTGTGGTCGCGTCGGTCCCTTTGATACATATGACACAAAATAGCATGCCAACTGCTCCAATCAACTGGCAATTTCGAAGGACTAGCTGAGTGATTCGTGTAGATTTGACTCTCGACTTTGTACGCGGACTCATTGGTTTCCAGTCCAGGTTTCCATACGGACTAGCAAACGATTAGACAAAGCCACGGACAAATCGCCACAAGTATGGGCAAGCAGCCAAACATCAGTGGCATTCATGACGGCACAGAATTCAAAGTGATCTCGAAACACAGACAACGAATTTGGCCAGATGCTCTGATGCTACAAGGATAGTGCTTCCCATGGACACGTCGTTTGTTCGAGCACTCGGCCTGGAGCCTTCTGATGCGCAGGGAAAAAATTACGCTAGACAGCAAAACCGTGCTTTTCCTGAAAGCTCGCGCCCAAGACTTACGCGACAAAGTACGAATCCGGATGTCGATTAAATTCCTTGGAATTAATCAAAAGGCCATCCGGTTTCGATCTTGGTGTTGGTAGAGACAGGCTCGCTTGCGATATGGCTTTGGGATTGAAGCCTCGCTCGGTGGGGGCTGAGAAAGAATATTTCGAAGGATGTTCGTAGAGGAAGGGCGGCTCAGCACCCATGACTTGGTACAGTGCTCAGCAAGTACTAGATAGAAAATACGACAGATACCTGCACATACGAGAAGACTTGCATGTATAAGGATATCGAATATTGAATCCGGAACTTGAGTCGGGTGTTGGCGGGGCAACGTCGAGCTGCTTCAAAAATAAAGTAGCGACACTATCTACCGAGGCACGCGGGTAGATTGATGAGATCCTCAAAATTATCTCGCAAGAACCTTCAGCTACGGTACTTGGTTGTGAATTTATCATCCACTTTCCAGTTTTTAGGTGTACGGATATTTCTGTCACTCGCGTGGGCACTGCGAGGTTACCTACGTAAAGTACCTTACGTACAGGTAGGTACCTTACTCGTAAGCGACTTGAAAATTCCACGAACGAACCCTCATTTTCTCCACTAATTAGATGAGCACCATCACCCGAACTATTAGCATCTGTATCAGGTGCTCAAAGTTGTTGGTCAGACCATCACATATTCATATTACGAGGCTACACGTCTCAAGGCGGCATAGCAGCCATGTTGTTCGGAATGACCGGCCTTTTCGCATGGCTGTTATTGGATCTGGGCCTGCGGGCTTCTATACAGCTTATAAGGTCATGTCAAGTATAGAGAATGCTATCATCGATATGTATGAGTGTATGCCCGTACCCTTCGGCCTAGTGAGATTTGGCGTTGCGCCGGATCATCCAGAAGTCAAGGTAAAAATGCCTTTTCAACCCGCCTGTATTTTCTTATTTGCCTCTCATGCTCTCACTGTTCACTTCTGATAATCCTTTCTCAGAACTGCCAAGATAAATTTGAGGAAGTTGCTTCATCACCGCGCTTCAATTTTATAGGCAACGTTGCGGTTGGCAAAGATCTGCCGTTGGCAAATCTCAGACCTCACTATAACGCTATCGTCTTCGCCTATGGTGCCACCAAGGACCGGAAACTTGGAATCTCAGGTGAAGACAACCTGAAAGGAATCTACTCAGCGCGCGACTTTGTGGGCTGGTACAACGGACTTCCCGAACACGAAGCACTGGCGCCAGACCTGGAATCGGGTGAAGAAGCAGTGATCATTGGGCAAGGAAACGTAGCCCTTGACGTAGCACGTACACTCTTGAGCGACGTCAATAGTCTACGGAAGACGGACATGACAGATTATGCCCTTGATTCTTTGTCGAAAAGCAGAGTGAAGAGACTTCGTGTCGTTGGTCGAAGGGGTCCAATGCAGGTGTGTACTTCCGTCTCATCAATGCCAAGGAAAACCGCACGATTGACAATTCGTGTAGGCATCCTTTACTATCAAAGAAGTCCGGGAGCTATTGAATCTGCCTTCTGTCTCTTTCGAGCCTATTGATCCTGCTCTATTTCCGCCAAACGCTGCAAAACTTCCTCGAACGCCCAAACGTCTCACTCAGCTCTTAGCTAAGGGCTCATCAACTCCAGCTTCGCAAGCGCGAAAGTCCTGGTCTTTGGATTTTCTCCTGTCGCCTAGATCTTTCAATGCGTCCAGTGCAACACCTAGTAATCTATCTTCTCTCACATTCCTCAAGAACAAAGTAAATGGTCCAGACGTCTTCGACTCGTGGGCTACCGTCTCTCCCACTACAAGTGAGGAATTATACCCCACTTCGTTGGCGTTCCGGAGTATTGGCTATAAGTCAGAAGCCATCAATGGCATGAAAGATTTAGGCATAGACTTCGATGAGTGTCGAGGCATCATTCCCAATGATTTACATGGTCGTATCACTAGTCTCTCAGAAGACGGGACCGGGATTCCGGGCCTCTATTGTTCTGGATGGGTAAAGCGAGGTCCGGCGGGCGTGATTGCTAATACAATGGAAGACGCCTTCGACACAGCGGAATCCATTGCAAAAGACTGGGAAAACAAGGAACCGTTCATGTCCGGTACAAATGGATGGGACGCGCTGCAAGAAGACGCAGCCGCAAGGCATCTGAAACCTGTCAGTTGGGAAAATTGGAAGAAGATCGATGTAGCGGAAAAGGGAAGGGGGAAAGCAAAGGGTAGGGAGCGGGAAAAATTCACAAGCATCCCAGACATGCTTGAAATGCTTGACTGAAGAATGGAGATGGCGTGGCCCGGAGCGGCTTTCGCAGAGCACAACCACGAGCACTAACGCCAAATCAAGAGGAAGTATAAAGTTGCCGTCAGCTATGACCTTGAGCTGACTTTCAGCAGTGGATTAATGAGCTTGCCACGACGGAGAAATTAAGTCAAGGGACACTTAGGAGATACACCCAGTACGCTGGGGTGCGAATGTCTATACTTTGAGCATGCGGTGCGCAGTGACAGACTCCTCCACTAGACCGATTGAGCTTAGAAAATTTGACTATATCTTTTCCGAGTCTGGAACGCTTGGGGCTGCTAGAGAGGGTAGAGCAGCAGATTTTCTCGGAAGAAGGCGTGTCCTGCTGTTCTCGAGAAAGTTGTTCTACAGCAACATGTATGCGAAATGAGTGTGTGTATATATGAGAGCTGTGATATGAGTCTCCAATTCCACATGTATCCTCTTCTGCGTGCCGGTAAAGCGTCGACTGATCCTTATCTCCGAGGACGAACGTCATTCGAAGCCAACAACTGTAGCATTGGTAGAGCCTTGAAATACCAATTATGCTGAAGCTTTCTCGTATTGTGGTTGCGAGAACTTTTCTTCTCTATTCCTGACATGTTCGCCAGAGCGTTGTGTCGAGTGTTACGAATGCAATGCGATCTACGGCCTTTCTCGACCTCTTCGACGCCCAGGGCTGACTTCACCCATGTGGTTTGTGCAATGCTCACCGCAACAAATTCTTCTCGAGGTGAAACTAAAACATTTCAGGTGGTCGGCGCTGGAGCTGTAGGTCTTGCTATTGCTCGCAAGCTGGCTGACCGGGATGGCACTTCGACCCTTCTTATAGAGAGGCATGGAGCAGTGGGGACAGAAACCAGCAGTCGCAATTCAGAGGCGGGTCTCTACACATCTACAAAACCCCTCAAAGCTTAGCCATGGCAGGTCATTCACGCCGGCCTCTACTACGGTCCTACCTCTCTGAAGACACACCTATGTCTCAAAGGCAAACAGATGATGTACGATCTCTGCGAGAAGCAAAACATTCCTTACCGCAACGCAAAAAAGTGGATCCTTTCACAGAACGCCCAGCAACATGAAGAGCTCGTCAAGACACATGACTTTGCCAAGTCAATCGGCGTGCCAATACATTTCATCCCCTTATCAGAAGCACATGCCCGTGAACCAGACGTCCGAGTCGAAGAAGCCGTCCTTGAGAGCCCGACAACCGGCATCGTAGATTCCCACACCTACATGTCCTATCTGGAGTCTGATTTCCAGTCAAAAGGTGGTGACTTGGCATGCTATACGAGTGCGGAGTCAGTCGAGCCTCTTGCTTCGGGCTCTCAAGGCTGGAAAATACAGACCAAATGTCCTTCTTCTTCGAAGACGACATGGATAACAGCCGATACTTTGATAAACAGCGCGGGTCTAGCTGCTGTGTCCTTATCAAACAGTATACTTCCACACGCGCGGCATGTTAAGCCGTATTATGCCAAGGGCTCGTACTACTCTTATTCTGCTCCTATGCCCCGTCCGAAGACTCTCGTGTATCCTGCGCCAACTACGGGAGCCGCTGGCCTTGGTACACATCTGACCATCGATATGACGGGCGCGATTCGATTCGGTCCAGACGTTGAGTGGGTTGATGATCCCAACGACCTCTCTGTAAATGAGTCTCGATTACCAGCCGCTCTCGAAGAGATCGAGACGTATCTACCAAGGATTCAGAAAGAGAAGGTTGGCTTAGATTACTGCGGTATCAGGCCAAAATTAGGAAAGGGAGGCGCTGTTTGGAAAGGTAATGGGGATGGCTTTTTAGACTTCGTGATTAGAAAAGAGGAGGGGTTTGAAGGATTTGTCAATCTTCTCGGCATTGAAAGTCCCGGATTGACCAGTTCTCTAGCGATTGCTGAGATGGTTGATGGATTACTCTATAAATGACGTTGACAGGCGGCCATGCATGTAGAGCAGAAATGGGCTCAGTCTCTCCGCGGAAATCAGATCTCTTGGTTGTTTCGTATTGTAAGTTCAGCTGCTGTGTCAATTTACTCAGCGCGACCTTGTCTCCTTTCATTCTTGCTATCTAGCTAGCTATCCCCGTTCGATACGGTCTTGAATGGGAGCCAAGCCAGTCAAATCAGCAATGTCCTTTGCCTTCCACGAATCTCAGATTGTTGCATCCTAAGAGAGGTTCTTGAAAAGACCTTACGTTTGCCACCGTCCCCCAGATTGTTCTTTCTTTACATCCGCAAGATACAGTCTTTGACCCGCCTCGAATTGCCAGTCGTTGCGGATCTCCACATCAGGAAAGCAAAGGTCCATTTGGATCAGACTCGACTTTCAGCGACGCGTCAATGGAAGCCCTAAAGGTTCTCTTAGACTACACTTTAGCCCTCACCTGCTATGCGGTGACATACCGCCACCTGTAGCCGCCACCCCTGTTGAAGAACATAAACATGATACGAGATAGCCGATTTTTAATTACATTACAGTGCCGAGAAGCCACGGCACAAGGCCTCATATACGGATTTACCCTGGGCACACTGAATTTGCCTCGACAATAAAGAAGTCCTTATCTCTTATCCGTTTTCCATTGCTTCACTAGCATTTAGTTCCTCACAAAAGTTGGACTTCTAAACACACGGGTAAGTTTTTTCCACACATGACGGCCGTCCCATGCCTTTGCTGCCTTGCGTTGACTGCGATCCGGTATCCTCGAAATATCATGAAATGAAGTGAGAGCTATCGGTTTTGATGCCCCCATGGACAAGCTGTCCGTGCCAAATACCATTGCCCTAGATAACATAGCATGTCACTACGGATCGAGTGATTGAGGTCCATAGAAAGGTTGTCACAAGGCTATTTGCATATACTATGCTTATTTCCTGGCATGATATCGGAAAGACCTCAATCGCCACGAGCAGGACCACGCTTTTATTTTCCCATCGAGTCCGTAATTGTTCAGAAACCAAAGCATTGAAGTTCTTTCCTCTATGAGACACATTCTCGCAGGTACATTCTCGATTGTTAAGCTCCACCCTTGTTTTCTCTCATAGTTTGTCCTGGGATCCCAGTGCCCCTCAATTAAATAGTGGAAAGGAAGGAGACGTCTCGCCGAAAATATCCGGCCTTCGACTCGGTAAATATGAAGGGGGGAAAAGGGAGTATAACACGAAGTGCTCCTCGAATTGGGCACATGTCGACACAAGTCTTAGGGTATAATACCGAGGTAAATATACCCGGCTCCCTGGAGTTTTTGAAAGCTAGGAGATTTATCTAGATCATAGATTTCCTTCATTACTGTATTACTCAGGGAGTACCATTAAGCCTCTACAGCCAATTTAGCCATCCGACCAACCGTAAGATAGCTTCGAGAATTGGGCTAAATCGCCGAAGAATTAGAAATGAAAGGTGGTGTAATTTACAGTAGCCAATTCCCGAAAAGAGGCTTGATCGTATTTCTATTCGTAGTGGTTGGTTTTTTTACCATGTATAATAAGAATACCTAATATGATTTTGTAGGTGGTGGATTAATTTAATAATGCTTTGTATTGTTGTTAACTAGCCTACACGGTGTTCAGAAACCTTCTGTCCTTACACCTCCTCGATGCTCCGTGTGTTCTGGTTAGGGTTTTAAGTCCGAGAGCCCTAGTCTCGGATCTCGGCAAATCTTTGATCCGGTTTTTGCGCAAAGAAAATCCAGATCCATTTTCTATAGTTTGTGCAATTCAAATTTTTTGCAGGTATGGGGCCAGAGTCTACCGCGTTGACGACAGACGTCGGATCTGAGTCGCCGTATCAACTGGATAAAGTCCAGGTCAGTCCGATTTCAGCTTTTCCGTAGAAAAAGCCTAACGCCGAACAGACACTCAGAGCTTCCAGCGCACTTCTCAAGCATATCAAGACCGAAGTGCAGAAAAAAGAGACTGTCTCTGGGACCAAAAATCTCCTTGCACCAGAAAATTCTTCCGAAGATGTTTTTCCCTCGGACGTGGAGCCTATATGGCTTGTCCTTACCACGAAAAAATTCATGACCGACCAAAAGCGCCTGAAACCTCGCAAAGTCCTACTTCCGCACTCTCTACATACCTCTTCAAACACATCGATATGTCTAATATCACCAGAGCCGCAACGCCAATTCAAAGATGCCATTGCTCATCCTTCTTTTCCCACCACACTGTCCAAGCGGATCACTAAGGTTATCAGCATCAAGAAGCTGGAAGCGAAATACCGCTCGTTCGAATCTAGACGGCAGCTTCGTGATTCATACGACCTTTTCCTTGCCGATGATCGCATCGTCACATATCTAGCCAAGTTTCTGGGCAAGACGTTCTATAATACTACAGCCAAGCGGCCTATACCCGTCTCCCTCGAAGCCTCGAAGCCAAAGGAGAGAAAGAATGCGGCTCTTCCAAGCACCAAAGTCCGTAAAGAACCTTCCGACACCAAATCGATTGCTGCACCACCTCTACTCGCGAAGGAGATTGAACGCAGTCTCTCTACAGCACAGATCAACCTCTCCCCATCGACTACCACCGCAGTACGCGTTGGCCTTGCATCTTTTACGCCTGAACAATTGGCGGCGAACATCGAAGCTGTGATGGCAAGCCTCGCCGGGAAACTCGTGGGATGGAAGAACGTAAGGGCTGTGCATGTGAAGGGCCCTAATACAATGGCGCTGCCAATTTGGTTGGCTGAGGAACTCTGGGTAGACGAGGGTTATTTGCTTGAGGATGAAGAAGCCGCAGAGGCGAAGGCGAAAGCAGCCCAGAAGGGAAAAAGGAAGAGGAAGTTGATAGAAGGCAAGGAGGCTGGTCATGCAGATTGGGCAGGGAAGAGAAAGGTGGACGGTGAAAGTGAGACTGCGGACGAGCCCAAGCAAAAGAAGGTCAAAAAGTTGAATGATGAAGACCTGAGTCAGGAAATGAAGGAGAGACGAGAGAAGTTACGACAGCAGAAGAGAGAAGCTAGGGACAGTATTGAGGGAAACGATGTGACCATGGACAGGACTCTGGTGGCAAAGCCCAAGGTCAAAAAGACCAGGAGGGCGACGACAGCGATCTCAGCATTTGAATCATGATCTGACAAGTCTCATACACGATGATACCCACGCGTGTCGAATCAATGTCGTCGAAACAAGATTTCTCACAGAACTAAACAGCAGCCAGGTACCACGAACAGCCATTCCATTGGTCCTTAACGCTAAATCAGTCAAGACCACCTTTATTGCGCGACTTGAAATATCTGTTGAAGGCATCTGTGAGGATATTGTCGCTCAGCTGCATGTGTCCACCCTCAGCGATCCTGAAATCGAGTCTTCTCTTTTCGTCCAGAAAGCGCAGACCAATCCAATCTTCCTGATAGATGTCCCTTTCTTGCAGCTTCGTCACTTCCTCACTCGTAGTATTTACCTCACTGAAAAATGCACTCTCCTTAGGTACGACCGTTGTATCATTTGCGAACATAAACATGGCGAATCTGTCCAACTTCTTCATGTTTTCTTTATAGGTGTCATTTTTTACCTTCCTTTCGTTATTTATGTCAGCCAGAAAGTTGCTGTATTCGAAATAATTATCCAAATCCTCAGGGTTTCGATAATATTGCGCGGGTACCAGTCTACTTTGCGAAAATGAACCCCATGCATTGCTTTTCAGGACACCGCGCCAGGTCTGACATAACCAATCGTTGGTAGCACATTCTTGAAACTCACTGATACCGTTGTGCTGGCTTCCAAAGGTCACAAGATTCTCCACCCTGGGACTGTTGCAGCGCTCAACGTAAGCTCGAAGGAATTGGCCGCCTTGGGAAAAGCCGAGCGCATTGATGGCCGGTGCTTTGGAGAGTATCGGATGCGAGGCTAGATCGTCGCATACTTTCTGAACCTGCAGGGTCACATTTCCCAGGAAAGTGGCAGTGCGGTCGGCGGAAGGATCACCATCAAGACGAATATAGTATGTGGTTGTGTTTCCAATGGTGTCGTTGAGTAGCTCCCCAATCGATTGAAGGCCTTCAGCTTTGTAGCTAGAACCTATGAGTACAATGACGTCAAGCTGAAAGGAGGACGACCCACTTGTCGCCGAGACCATGCCAAACCACCAGGGGCAAGTTTGCTGACTCTGCCGAGCTTGCAATTGGAGTGCTCTCCGTTGGTAAGATGGGCTGTTGCGGAGGAGGTAAAGCTGTCACAAATCTCCAAGCAATTGGCAACAGAGCCCAGAGATAGAGAAAAGTCATGCCCATATCTATGCCCATGCCCATGATACGATGAGATGATAACGCTGCTGTAAACACAGATGTCGCCCTTAGGTGAAGAAGGTGGCGGCTGCCAAGAAACACAGAGATGTTGCCAAGACAAAAGAATTGTACCCCAATATCACCCCCTACTCTATTAGCTCTAGGGTGAGTGGGGGTCGTGGGGGGTGCATATATCATGTCTTGTACTGCCAAGCCTTTTCCCCGGATTTTGTTAGATTGACTTCTTCCAGTTTCAAGAGTTCGATCACTCTCGTTTCACAGAAGACTTCAATCGTTCCGCAGTAACATTGACAGTCGTCTACTCGAGAAGCCGGACTCTGGATTTCTCGACACTGGAGTATGAAATGGCTCCGTCTCAGATAGCAGAGCCGATGGAGCATGGTCTTGTTGGTCCTCACCCGTCTTATATCGAAATTGCAAAGCCATACATCTTCGAACCCAAAATTCATGAATGTCTTACCGTTGCTGGAGTATCAGAAGCGAAGGATGACAGTATTCGACTTCAGGGAGTGGCTTGGATCGACAGTGTGAGAAAAGCTATGCATCTGTCAGTAAAGACTGGTAGCATTCTCTAAAGCCCAAAAGCTGATATGAATAGTCCCGTACGAACTTACAACACTGCAGCGGTGTACTATCACAAGTTCCGTCTAGTACATCCTGATAGCAATGGTTACATTGTGAGTATCAGAAAACCCCCAGTAAATTTTGCCCTCTAATAGCATCGTAGGATGCGGCTGCAGCAGCACTTTTCGCGGCGTGTAAGATCGAGGACACACTGAAAAAGTCAAAGGAAATTCTCTGTGCTGCGTACAATCTGAAACTTACACCGGGAGAGCAGCTTACTCCAGATGACCAAGTACGTGTGCGTCCAGTCGAGAAATCGATCCATTTCCTGACTATGGACAGCTGTTCGAGAATCACTCAAAGACAATCATTGGTCTGGAACGTCTCATGCTCGAAGCATCAGGCTTCGACTTCAGAAATCGTTATCCTCAAAATTTGGTTCTGAAGATGGCAAAGCATTATCATGTAGACCGAGATACGGTAGGCAAAACTGCTTATAACATATCTCTGGACCTCTATCGCACCTTCGCTCCCATCAAGCAGACCACGGCCACCATGGCAATTGCATGTGTGGAACTATCGGGGCGCATCTGCGAACAGCCGGTTTCGGAATTAGAAGCAGGCAAGGGTTATACAAAATGGAGAATCTCTCGCCCCGAGGTCATGGGTATGCCCACTGACTACACTCCTATCAAAACACCATATCTAATCATGTCAAATCTAGAGACGCTGCTTGACCTCCTGGACTTGTATACTCACCATCGAGCATCTACCATTGTCGGCCAAGATCACGCCCTCGAGACTTTCATTAGCATCCGAATTGCCCTAAATCAGGAAGCATCGGCCAACAAGTACCCACGCCATTTCCAAAGTCACAAGAAGAGGTCCATCACCAATGGCGCCAAAGCGGCAAATGGCATCATGGACTCGAAAGCTAAGAAACCCGTTACTCCAACCACGAGTCCTCGCGATGAATCCTTGAGAGACATTACCTCTCCAACGGCTAATGGCGGCTCGAAGCCTGGGCTGAAGGAGGGCACGGTGCGCTTCATGCTCAACCCGCAGCGCGCAAGAGACGAGAAGAATGCTGTGGCCGAGTTCTTCAAGGTAGAAGAAGAAGAGTACGAGGTCGAGGTCGAGGTTGAGAGGGAAAGACGTAGAGTCTGAGCTTCCCCTGGGGCTAGATTTGAGCCTGACCTCTGACCATGGAATGCGAGTAGGTACTTCCAGAGACGAAACGCATTCGTTCATTCAAAGCCGAAACGGAGGCCACCATTGCAACATCTTCCAGAGGAGATCCCGTAGAATGGTGCGGCAATGCACCGGACAAGCCGCATGAGGGTCAGCGAAAAGGCAATGGCCGGCTGGAACACCAAGTCCTGGTCCAACGAGGTCCTCCAATTGTTCAGGACGAGGTCCCGGGACGAGCTTCAAAGCGAAAGAAGAGACGTCGAGGCCGTTAGATACGGCCTCAGGAAGCACAGAGCTAGCTTGAGGGCATGTGCCCACAAGTCTGCAAATTCGACATTCCGACCGGAGATCAAGTTACAGCTTCCGAGTGGTAAGAGCAGTGAGGAGATATATCATTGACGCTTGCAAAGAACGTTTTCGGATCAAAGTTATAGCTTTAGATGAAATGACCGCTGTTTTGGTATGAGTGAATTTCTATTGTCATAAGAATCATGAGGATTTATGTCAAAGCCCCAACTATCTAATCTAAAGATATTAGGCTACTATTGCCACCGCTGTCCATGCCCATCCCGATATAAAGATCATATGCATCGGAATTTGTCGCTTATAATTGATTTTCCTCGAGGTTCCCTTCACTTCCTCTTTCCAACCACTCCTGTCAGGCAGTCGAGGAGCCGCTCTTCCACAAAACCCTGATTGACCATGTACTTGCTCAAACCCTTCACCACTTCCACCATTTCCTCAGCATCCAATCCCTGGATTGCCCTCTCCATGACATCCCCTACGCTAGCCCTGTAAATCGCAATGAAGCTCTGGTAGTACATGAAAGCAAAGAAACCCATGATGAATTGGCAGTCCATACGATCGGTGATACCGCCGTGGCCCGGAATGGACTCGCCGAAGTCTTTGACTTTGAAGGTACGTTTGAGGCCCGAGGCGAAGAAACCGCCGAAGGGCGCAATGAGGGAGGCGAATGTTGCGAAGACGAGGATATGAAATTGCATTGGAGCAATGTGAACCGTGGAAGGGATTTGGAGGGAGGCTGGGAGAGGGAGGTTGGTGAGGAAGGAGGGGATATGATAGGCCTGATGTATGAAAACGGGGTTTGGGGTGCAGGAGAGGCCCGTGAATATGTTCGCGCCAAGATCCTAATAGATGATTAGTTTGGGGGAATGACATTGTACGGGCTAGGTTGTTATACATTTACTGGGCAGATGAAGTATTTGTACCGCATCAATACGTTCGTCATGGCAAATCCGAAGATGATGGTACAAATCCACGCTCCAACAAAACCCTCAACAGTCTTCTTAGGCGAAAGCTTGATGAGCTGGGTACGACCGAAGGCAATGCCACAGATGTAGGCGAAAATGTCGTTGGTGATTACGAGGGATGCTGGGAGGAAGAACCAGATCATCCCCTCGAAAATGTTGTTCATGATAAAATGGGCTTGTACAACGATTAAGTAGAGGGCCATGTGCGTCCAGGCGAACTGGGTAAATTGGAAGCGGTAGTGGCCTTTCTGAAGAGAGCCGACAAAGAACACAAACCCTGCAAAAGGAGTCAATCGCGGATTTCCTCTCCAACTTCAGCTGACGATGACCCCTGTAGCGGAGACGTACCAATGACATATAGCATGAAGCTGATGAAGCGATGGTGGGTTGCGAAAGGTAGTAAAACCTTGTCGACCAGCACTATATGCTTGAAGTAATATATCACGCTCTCTCCGTAGAGAAAGTACATTGTCGTCCCCAAGAAGTACCAGTTCAGCGATCTCGTGAATCGTAGGTTCTTGGCCCTGCTTGGAACATTTGCGATGGCAATGACTTCTTTGAAGGAAACAATCTGGATACCCGTCACGATGGCGATCACATATAGATGACCTGAAAACATGGCAGTGAAAAAGCCGGCGATCATGACGAAACTCCAGATCGTCCGTGTGATGAAGGTCTGCTTTTTCTTTTCGTACTCTGATTGCGGTGGAACTTCGGTCTCATCCTATAAGGAAGGCATGGGCATCAGCATTGTTTGATAAGATTGGCCCGTCACGGTGAAAGTGATCCATCTGCACAGAAAGGTTTACCTCTTCTTTGCTTGACTCCAGCTTCCCATTCAGACTTGCTCTCGTTGGGCTACCTGGCTCGGAGACGCCCTCGCTCTCGGATATGCTGGGTCGTCTTCCATTCTGGTGATTACTCCCCCTATGTTGAAATTGGACGTTGCGCCTTGGCTTGGCCATGGCTCTTTGTAGAGGGTGCTCACTGCTCAGCTCATAAACGGGCCAGCTTGTATTCTCTAAGGTCAAGCAACACTTCAAACACACGCGCGGCGCGAGATGACCGGGAAGCTCGTCGCTCGCACTCTGTGGAGTTCGGGTAAGCTCAAATCAAGCTTTTGGTGCCTTGAGCAAAAGAAGCATGCAGAGGGCGAGGAAGAGCGCCAATTCTCTGGCGCGGACTGGGATATTCTCACGCCGCACAATTTCAGTTTTGCTGCGAGATATCAAGATCAAAGTATCGGCGTTATCGGCGTTGAAGACGCAGTGTCACAGTACTGGGCTGCTGGCCCATCAAACGTGCGCTGCAGCTCTACTCGAGCCCTACAAGTACTAGCCCTACTCGAGGTAGCCGCGCCGCTTCCCGCACTCTCGCTGTGGACCCTTAAAGTATAGTACCCTTCACACGTCAATACCTATCTCAATGTTCAAAGTACTCACATGGTCAACTTGTAGACCTCTCAATGCGGATATACGACGAGTGTCATGGACGACCAGGGCGGCGAAGATGATGACTACTCGGATGACGACCTAGACGCCTTGCCGGACCACGCGTTTCATCAACTCCAAAAGAATGCAATTGAATCAACGCCACAACCGAGCCTGAGTACACAAGTCCAGCTTCCTACCATAAAACAATCTACCTCACTAGCAGGTGGTCTTGGACGACTATCGGTTGGGGGACCTGCAAGCCATGCTGCTAACCAACATGCGTTTCAGGCGCCATCGTCAGACTATGGCGACTTTGATGAGGAGATGTTGGACGGCGAGATCCTTGACGCTGCAGAGGAACCTGTTCTAGCTGCGAGATACGAAGCTGGTGCTGGTGGGAAAGAGCCTGGGGAATACTCTCAGAGAGAGCAGTGGAGACTACAGCGATATGCGGCGAACCAACGTAAATCAGGGCCCATAGAAGCGCAGCAACGTGTGAATCAGCAGGGAGCTCTTGGCGTGCCCTTATCCAATGTTAGCGATTGCGGTGGTCCGAACACTACAGGTCAAGGAGAAAGGGCTGTGTATTTGGTGAACCCTGGCCTGCATCCACAGGAGAGTGCGGATGTGAACGCTCTTCAAGCTCAAGTCCTGAAGGTGAGCTTGCTCAAAACTCTCTTGTACAGGGGCTGCTTGCTTAAACTTCTCTTGAGCTGCTACGTGAACGCGAGGCACTTCAACAGGCTATTCAGAATGCCAATGACAATACTTATTCCAAGGCTGGCGAAATTGCTATCGTGCGAGCCAATGCTACCAAAGTAGAAAAGGATTTTGAGAATCGAACACTCGCTCTACAGAAACTGCACGCCGACGAAGCAGCGCGACAAAAGATCGAAGTAGAAAAGGCACGAGCAGAGCTTCAGAAGCTCGCTACGGAGAAAGACTTCCTTGAAAATGATCTTGCGGAAGGGACCAAACAGATCAGAAACCTACAGAAAGCTATTAAGAAAGGGGAAGACAAAGATGCCGAATTGAAGATTAGGGGCAAGGAAAATCAGCCCGTAACTCCGAAAAAGAACAAAGCTTTGGCCTTTGCAGATGGCTTCGAGGATGAGGAAATCCAGCCCATGTCGCCTTCCAGACTAGTCATCAGATCCAAAGCGAATACTCCTAAAGCCGGGGCAAAAAGGAAAAGGAAGCCCACAGAAGCCAGCCCTGTCAAGCCATTGGATCTCACGCAACCAATCCAAATCGACTCCTTTGAGGAAACAGCTGGACCTCAGAGAGGTCATGTTCAGTTAGCCAATAACCAAATACCAAGGCCTGCTCCAGTACGGCAGGACCAGAAGTTCAAGGTACGAGTTGCGAACGCATTGGGATTGCCAAACTAACATCTACTTCCAAAGCTTACACAAAGATTGCTCGACCGTCGCTTCACACCTGAAGAGCCAAGGACATTCGAGCGCCTGGCAACATTTTCATTCCCTTCAAACCGAGACCGAGCTCTCTCCACCATTCTACTTGATAAAATGTCGACACTTACTTTCAAACCAGACTCTGGCGATTTTGCGGCTGCACTTGGTCTGATTGTTATCTCATTATGGTCACAATGTATGGAGGAGAAATATGTAAGCATTTTCCATCTATCTTGACCGGTGTTCCTTCATTTCTGACTGTCTAACTCAGCATCAGCCAGTGCATCTCCTCGTGGACCTGGTCAACTTTATACTCGTGCTCAATTCAATAAAGACAGCACCGGATCTCACGAACCACCTGATGAGTCTGGTTCAATCAACAGCCGATGTGATACTCGTGCCCCGTTGCAAGAAAGAGTCACCTCGGAAGGACAGAGCAGACATTAGCTGCGTCGAATGTCTTCAGGTAATGCAAACGATGGCGGATGACTGCTCTTGTGACACAGAGGAGATAGTACGCTTCTGGCGCACTATGCGTTTCGATTTCATAATGATGCTCCTCAACTTCATCAACCCTCTGGACGAAATCAACATTATGCTCAGCATGCTCCATACAAGCATTTTGGATCAATCCTTCGCTATGATCATTCCTCCGAACAATGGACAGCAAGACGCATCCGAAGCTCATATCATTGACAACCTCTCCCACCTGCTCATCAATACTCCTCGTACTTCTCCAGGGGAAGAGCCACCCGATGCCGCCAAGCTATGCGAAGTCCGTCTCCATGTTCTTAGCTTGATCGAAGCCATGTGTAACACCATTCACGGCAGTGAAGCGCTTGCGAAACATCGACTTGTTATCGGCCGCCTGGTACGCGTCATGAACGATGAGCTCGACCGAGTTTACGATTACCAGTATGGGTATGAGCAGAGGATCACTCTCGTCAATACCTCCACCCGACTCCTTTACCACCTTACATCCAACTACGCTCATCTTGTCAATATGCAGGCTCGTCTCTCCGTGGTCCCTGGCGGCGAAAAGAAGTTCCTCGTCGCTCTCACCCGTCTCGCATTCAGTGAGGGCGGCTTCTATGAGCAAGGCATTGAGGATGACGTTGTGGATTGCGCGCATCAGATGCTGGAGGCCAGGGTCAGCCCTGAAGAGGCAGAGCAGTTGGTTGAGGCATTTTCAAGCGCCAGGAAGTAGTACTAGCTGTCTTTGGATTGCGGATTCGCGATCCTTTTATTGTACCCAGATTTGGCTTTGCGTTGCAAGCATATGTACGAGCGGACAACCCGTGGGCGATATTGTAGATCATGTGCTGCTTGTGGATACACCTTTCGTCACCTTGAGGAGCATATCAAAGCCCGACAGTGACGTTACTTGGCGGCAGAAAGACAGCAACGCGCCTGGGGGAGAGGCGCGGAGTATCGAAACGTCAGGCATCACCGCCTTATTCCCCCAATGATCCCATCGACCTTTCCTAGCCAAAGCTCCCTCTCCTCCTCGGCCTTCTTTCGCTCTTCCAACGCTTGCCCAAGCTCGGCATCCAGCCCCGTAATCCGCGCCTTCTGTTTCTCCTGACTATTCTCTACACCCGGCAACACACTGATGAGATACTCAATCTGCTTTGCTTTGAGTAGTAGATCTTGGGCTAGTTCTCGCTGCGCGAATGCGAACGCGGTGGGGGTGTCGGGACGTTGTTCTGGTGGGTATGAGAAGGATTCAGGTTGCTCGTGGTTGGAATTGGGATTTGCGTTGGAGTTGCTATTATTGTGATTGTGTTGAGAGTTGGAAGGAGGTGGGGGTGGGGGTGTGAGGGCGGAGGAATTGTGGTGGAGCGATAGATAACGGATGGAAGCGTAGAATTGTGTTGCTAGCTTTTGGTGCGTGTTAGTTTTGGTGAAGGTGAGAAGACGTAAGCGGCATCTTACTTGATCATAGCAGTCTTGAAGCTGTGTCAGGCGATCTGCCATGGTCGTTGTGAGTATATTATATACGGTAGCTTGAACTGTTTAGAGACTTTGGACACGAGTTCCCCCGCGTGGCCCCCTAGCCCCCTAAACCGCCCCTCCGGCCCCTTAGAGATCCGACCCGCAACCAATGACACATGCGCCACAAACCCTACTCATAAGTACTGCAAGTGCTAAAAATACCATTAACGACTTGACCTCTTCCTCATCCTTTTACACCACCATCAAAGAGTACGTTACTTTAGAGAGACGCTTCAGATGATTACGATAATCGGAGAATGGCGCGTCAGATGATGGAGCTGTGATGGTATGCCAAGATGCCAAACCAGGGTGACATAAGGTACCTGTAAGGTACCTTATATCATAGCGCAGCCAGAATCTCCGAGCAATAGAAGCAAAGACGTCGGAGCATGTCATCCTGGCGCCCCGAGCATGACCTTCGTAACAGCAGGTTGTGCATCGCCTTACAGATATTCAAAACTTCGTGGCACTCTATCTTTCCATCAGAATTCCCAAGACAACGCGCCAATTTCGGCAATACAAGGTTGCTAACAGCGCTTATCAGTCTTGCATCGGGCTTGCTCGAGTGCTTGATGAAATTGACAAAACAGAAATGCTTGGGTATCTCAAACGAACTTCTAAGTATTCAAGGCACAGTAATCCACCTCATTGAAAATGGTCTCCATGCTCTCGTAGGTGCCTCTTCCACCGCTGAATCTTCTCCTTCTCCTCCGCCTCCAGTCTTTTAGCCTTTTTCCTCTCATATACAGCCCTGACAGTCCTCTTCGTTTGGTCTCTGCCGGCTTCGAAGTTAGCTCGTGCGAGGGCGACAACCTTATCGATCTCTTGTGGCGAATATATAAAGTTCCAGGTGGAAAGAAACGGCGACGTGTCTGGATCAACGTCTTCCACCTTGGGATTTCGTAGGAAGGGAAAATAGACAACCGTAATTCCAGCCTCGGGAGCTAGGAGCTTCCAGTCGGCATCAAGCTCAACCCGCGAGCTTTGTGATGGCTTTTCGTCGCTCTTGCGATCCATGGTGGTGCCAACCCAGACTGTGAGCAATTTTCCAAGTCAGCATATCTTTCTTGGTACACGAAATCACCTTGAGGTACAAAAGATGTAGCGTACGTGGAGGATAGACGGGAACTGAACTCCCGGGATAATGTATTGATACTTGAGTGCCGGTACATGCTGGGAGGGAGCTACTCGGAGATTTACGTACCATTGCAATAGCCCAGGTCAGATTCCTGGGTCTCGTGCTTTGCGATGTGATCCTTGACATTATTTTGAGACCTCCCTCTCTGCTCTTCTCGCGTCTCAGCTATTTTGCCAGCAGCCTGTTGAGCTGTCGCTGCATCAGCTGCGTCGAGCTCCGTCTTTGTTTCGTCTTCTGCTCTTGGCCAGCCAGCACCTACGGGCCATCCTCTGACACCTCGTTGTTTTGCGTAGCCCTCGGCAACAGAAAGCCAATTTTCCTGCCTGATATCGGCAGAAGCATCAAAGCAGACAACAATGTCGACGTTTCGGTCTCTACGGAGTAGCGGATAGAGAGGAAGATTATTGCTCATGCCCTAGGAAGATCAGTATTGAGCAACTGCAGAATTGCGGTTCCAATGGAAGACCCATGCATGCATCATCATAAAACATGGCAGTGACTTACAGCATCCATCAGCTCGAGATATTCATCGTTGAAGATGCTCTTAGGACAAGTCGATGGCAGCCGGTTTTCAAGGCCTCTTGCGAAATTTGGGATTGTTCCTGGATCAATTGGATGCAATTTGATCAAGTCATCGTTCTTCTCCTCAAGCAGGGCGTCGATGCCTCCAAAGCCAGCAAGTCCTTTTATCACGGGGCGGACCTCTTTGTAATAGTGGGCAAGCTGACAGAGATTTTGAAGTCAGCATTGGCTATTGAAGACAGATTTTGCTTCGTGAGACCTCTTGAAACGTATATCAAACCTCGAAAGGTGGCTCAGCTTAGGATATCTGGACCCAGGAGTTACGTACGGTGGCGCAAAATGCGGAGCCCCATATTCCCATCAGAAGCGGAAGGCGAAGCTCTGGAAGTGGAGGCCTATTGTCACGGTTCACACTTCTTCCCATTTGGAAGTGACGGCCGATGCTCCATGAGGGGATGCCGGCCTCAAACTCTTCACAAAAAAGCTCGTAAGGAGTAAATTCGAACCACTGGAACCATGCCTCTTGCTTTGCCTTTGCCCTCGCTGCGTCCATTGTCTCGCCTTTCACTTTCTCGTCCTCTAACGGTATCTCATGCCTAACAGCGGCATAAATGGGAAGTGGATTTGCACCACTAGAGAGGTAAAACCGTTGGTTGGAGAGCTTGAGATCTCGATCGTCGACGCTGAGCTCATCTCGTGGGATCATCAATCGGCTCGATAGCAGTAGGCCATAAACATCGACGAGGCCAAAATCTGCTTGCGGGTCTCCTCTGAGCCGTTCCACGGAGCCAGCAAGGAGGAATTTATTTGTGGGAGCTCGAGTACACAAGTCTAGGAAACTGGGAGGGTATGCTATATGGATGCCTATGCGTTTCTTCAGGTGCTCTATAACTTTGTCATGTCTACGGCCACCGAGACTTGAGTTGTACAGAGTCTGCAGCCAGCAACTGCCGCTGACACCGGCACTGGATAACAGATTTGGAGTCAGTACTGTTCATTTGAGGGTTTATGTTTAAACTTGCAACAAGACTAGAGAGTCAACAATGCCAAGAAACGTCTCAAATCTCAGGATTCAATCCGAGAGGGGGGACATGGACTCCGCGGATACTTACGTGTAAGTGGCGCAATCAAAGAGCCCTGCCTCCTGCGCCTGTCATATGGTCAACATTGCATGATTGCAGGCCATCGTGGGGTCTTTTCTACACTCAAGTATGATGCTGCTCCAGCAACTAGGGCCCTTAGACCTCCACCTGATCCACACACTGCGATGGTGGGCACGTCTCTGGGATCCACATCGGCCTCTGGTATCTCGAGGTACTTTGCCAGTGCACACCTTGTGTATCTCTTTCTGCGCCGGACGAAGGCCATTTCATCAGAACACAAGTCTTTGCCGACCCTTACTCTCGCATTCAGCGCAATCTCGGGATGAATGTTTTCATCCTGAGCTTCTTGCCAGATCTCCTCGGCAAGTGACCCTCTGGCCATGTTCATCTCTCGCTGAAGCTTTGCCACATAGTCCGGAAGATCGTAGGCCCATTGCGGAATGAATCGATCCGTGATCTTGTCTCCAAGTGTCGTCCACTGTATGAATTTCGACGTCAGCTAGAAACCGGCTACAAATACATCTAGGGAGTCTCCTGTCTTGTGGGATCAGGAATAACAATGCTCTCTGCACCCTTCAAAATGCCAACGAGAAGCTGGATGTATGGAGCAAGCCTTGGAAGTAGAGCTGTTGCTCCTCTACCAATTGAAAATTCTCCTTTCGTAAAAAACAGTTCGGTCTCAAGATGACTCTTTCTGGGAAAAGAACCAGATTCATCAGACAATCGCAGAGGGTTATTTGGTTTCTTTGTTCCTGAAAGATGTCTCGCGACCCAAACCAATGGTATCGACGAGGGGTGAATTTCTTCAATGTACGTACCTGGACAGATGATATCGACTTGCGGGCAATAGCAACATTCAAAGAGAAAGAGGCCCACGCTGCACTATCCTCATCCTCGAAAAGGGGAATTTCGTCATCCTGGCTTTCTGCTGGAGCTTTGGCGTCATTGTCTTCCTTTCTGCATAGCCTCGGGTCAGCGTATTTTTCCGAAGTCCTGAGCCACAGAAGTTGCTTTGCCAGGCCAACAATAGGCGCACTGCGTGCCAAAGTAGAAGCTTCAGCAGTATGATTCTTTGTAAATACCATAATACTAGGAAGGACTAGATTTATTACACGCATCAATAGCAACTTATGCGACAGAAGGGACGATTGTACACATGGAAACGTGATCTACACCTGACTTTGCTTATGTCTTGACGGTCATACCAAGCAGTTGAAGAGTGCACTTACTGGCTCGATTCTTTTGGCCCTCTCTTAGAAATATTAGGTCGAGTGCTAGGCCATTGCGTAGTACTACCGCTGTCGTTATATCGCACGGCTGAGGGATTGAGCCTATAGTTGAGGGTAAAAGCGACTGATGATGCCACAACTAGAGAGCCTATGCGCTGGTTCATAGTCCTTGAGGTACACCGTTTTCGAGTTTCCATCGGAAGAAACACGACCGTTGCCAAGCCACTGATCTCACTATACCCACTTCTATACTAACCGATCTGGGTTTAGCGGTATCGATCATCCGAGCTTTATCACGTTGATGAGGCACGCTCTGCAGGCCGCCAGAAAACGTGGCAGTTGTAGGACGGTAGAAGCCTGCAGACGCCTGACAATATAGGGTTGCTTTTTCCCCTCAATTGGTAGAATCTGAGGGTTGATAACTATAGATCTGTATAATCAGGATAGGCCAGCACCCAGCTGGGGTGGCATTCCCCCCCGTCTCTTATAAGTTGTATCCTGTTCAAGAAGAAGCACGAGCGAATGATGGCAAAAGTTCAAAAGGCAGTTTGGGCGGAGGAAAAAGCGGAGGTAGAGGTTCTCCTTGCACAAAGAGATGAGCATGCAAACATTGGCAGAAGACTTAAGACACTTCAAGCAAGTGTCGAGGGTGGAGGTCGGACAGTCAGGGATGGGATGGGCCAAGTGCACAGCAACACAAACCAGCATCAGATCAAAATACATAGTACGTTGGCAGACCGAGAAGTCAACATGGAACCTAACGTTCTGTTCAAGACATTGAGAAGCTTATCAAGCACATTGACAAGATGCTTGAGCCGGGACAAGACAAAGGTAAGGAAGAGAGGATCATTCGGGCTGGGTAAGTCTAATCAAGGGGAGATTCTCTCTGTCTCTCCGCTGAACCAACATTCAGACCGGCCCAAGTCGGATTGACCGAGTACTTGAACTCGCTGAAACGTGTGAATCGAGCTCTTACCGAGATGGGCACTACAAACATGCGTGCCAATCAACAGGCCATCGGTGACTTCAACGAGCTTTTGGCTGAAGGTAGTAAGAAAATGGAAGAAGTCTATCGTTCCGTGCTACTCGAATTTTCTCAGCCTCTGGAGCCTCTGCACTATCTCACAAGGGGTAGGCCACGCATATGTTCCGTTCTATGACCTCGAGTGCTAATCCACCAAAGAATTGCCCTTCCCAACTTTATCAAATGGGACTTCATCAGAGTTGGAGGCTATGGACAGATATATCTCTTCTCCAAGCGCTCGCAGTACAGTTCCCAACCAGAGCGAGTCAGCCTCGATCCATATCTACTCAGATATTCGTGGTCCTTACCTCGTCGGTAGCCTTCAAAATCTATCTTTAGCATCGATCAGCACCTCGAAGAAGAAGAACTCCGATGAAATCTATCGTCAAGGCAGCAATGCCATCAATCAATATGCCAAAGCGATCGATAGCATTTTCCTTGCCGAATTCCAGAATGTTTCTGCGTGCTTCCCCCGCGATGCTTGGACCATAGCATTCGAAACCACTTGCCGCAGAGCCCTTGCCGAGTTTGCCAAAACTCTGCGCGAGCTTAACATGCACATCAAATCCAACCTGACCACGGACTGCTTCCTTGCCTACGAGATCATTGAGGTCGTCACAGATGTAGCACACCATCTCAACTCCAAGACTGGAGAACCGCTACCCTTTGGGGATGCTCTAGCGCCAGTCCGGGAAATCGCGAAATTCTCTCTCCCCGAGCTGCTCGACGACCAACGACGCCGCATTATGTCCTTGGCTATTTTGCCTGCAGATGGCTCGGCCATTCCCTTCACCTCCGAAACGATGACACGCCTCCAGACCCTTACCGTCTATCCCAAATCCCTCTCATCAATTCTGGCCTCTATAGGTGACGGCAACTGGACTCAGTCCGCATCAGCTAACCGTTCGAACAATTCCTCCACCTCCTTACCCTCGCTCAAATCCCTAGATGTTGGCGCAGACGGCGCTCAATTGCTAACGCATTACGTTCTCGACACCCTTGAGGCACACCTGACCACCCTCGAATCACGTGCTCGTATTCTGCTCAAATCCAAAGCTGTTCATGGCGTTTTCATCTCTAACACTGTCGCTCTAATCGACCGCATGATCCGCTCCTCTGATCTCGCCTCACTTATCGGCGCCAATCCCGGCGCTCAAACCAAGATCGACACTTGGCGCAGGAAAGGTGTCTCCACGTATATGGACGCCTGGCGTGAACCGTCATCGGCGCTCTTAGACTCCACTCGCACAAATGCCTCAGGAGCCCGGCCACATTCCGGCGCCTCTCTCACCTCAGCTGAAGTGGTCAAATCTCTCGGCAGCAAAGAAAAGGATGCGATCAAAGAGAAGTTCAAGCTCTTTAACACTTCCTTCGACGAGTGCGTGAAGAGGCATAGGGAGTTGAGTCCCAGCATGGAGAGAGAGGTAAAGAGTGAATTGAGTAGGGAAGTGGGGCATCAGGTGGAGCCGCTCTATGCACGCTTCTACGATCGTTACGAGGCACTAGATAAGGGGAAGGGCAAATATGTTAAGTATGATAAGGGCTCGCTAGCTGCAGCACTGGCGTTGCTCTGAAGGCGGACTGGAGGACGCATTCTGTATGATACTGCCTTGGCAGATATCATCTTGAGTTTATACGAGGCGGATTGCTGGACGGCCTCTAAATTGGAGGCAGTGTGGTACGTAAGATTCGTGGTGCAGAGCATAGCGGCGATACCCTTCTGATAAGCGTTTACCCGGGTTCTTTCTTTCTTCTCCTTTCCTTTCCTTTCCTTTCCTTTCCTTTCCTTTCCTTTCCTTACCTTCACCTTCCTTGTGGGAGTGTGCAGAGCTTCTTTCTACTAGGGGCTGCGGCTTGGGCATAGCGTAGGTACCTACACGATTCAGCGAATCTACATTTTGCTTACTCACATGCTACCTGTGACCAATACCACATGCACGACTGATGCGGTACTTTGAAATCCTCAGCGATTGGGTCTGGAATTCAGGAGACTAATCATTCGCTATCTGCTGCAATGGGGTATCAAATCTATGGATTGCCAACGCCTTTGTCTTGAGTAGGTTATTCAATCAATGCCTCTTCTCAAGTATGACCGAACTCCAGTTTCAACTTCATTCGGCTCTGATGTATGCAAATGCCCTCATATGTTGACCAACGACTTGGAAAGTCAAAGGTCTTGATCGTAAAGCTTGAAGTGAGAAGGATGGCAAGCATTTCGATTCATGAATAATGGCGTCGTACGGAATCGACAGTGGATATGCAAGACACCATTAGCTTAAGGCAGGCAAGATCGAAAGCAGAGCAGTTCTGCCGCTCGATGATCTGTTAAAGGTGTCATATGGCTGGCTGGTGATTTTGCTGGTGATTTCCGCAATGAATTTTGGTCATATCTTTCGAGTATCAAATAAAAGATGGCGTGGAGTCTGAGAAAAAATCTCTACCTGAAGAGGCTTCTAAGCTCATCCAGCTTGCGCTTCGCTGCTTCAGCCTTGTCGATTCTGCCACGATTCATACTGAGATCGGCGAGGTTCTGCTTCTTGCGCTGAAGATCCAGCATCTTCTCCTCGAAGCTGTCCTTCATGATGAAGCGGTAAGTGAAAACCTCGCGTCTCTGACCCAAACGATGGACCCTGTCAACAGCCTGAGCCTCAGCAGCCGGATTGAATTGTGGTTCCATGACGTAGACTTTGGATCCAGTGGTCAAGTTGAGACCTAGACCTCCAGCCATGATGGAAATGAGTATGACGCATACTGTCGGATCGTCTCTAAATGCGTCAAGAGAAAGATTGCGGTTCTTGCGGCTCATCTTGCCATCGAGACGAACAAATTTGACGTTGCTGTCTTCAAGCGCGATCTGGATGAGGTCAAGATTGGCGGTCCAGCCTGAGAAGACGACGCTCTTGATAGGCTGTTCACCAGTCGGTAGACTCTGACTCTCGACTTCCGATCTCCTTAAATCCTCCAAAAGTGCTTTGACTTTCGTATGTGGGCCACCATATCTTCCCATAATCTTCGCATGACGGGGATTTTCCCTAGCCATAGCTCTAGCCTCTTCGGCGGCTTCGATGCCGTCCTTGGTAAGCTCGAAAAACGACGTTCGCAACGCCTGCTCGCAAAAAGGGCACTTGAAGCGATGGTCCGCCGAAGAATTCTGGATAATCGAACTCTTGACAGCGTCCATACATTGTCTGCAGATGATCTGATAACATGGCAACATGCATCCAAGTAGATCATCGCTACCATTTGGCGTATCTTCTCTGTCTTTGACGATAATCTTACGCGTACATTGAACGCAAGTATCGGAATCAGTCTCTCTGAAAAGCATGAGCATCTCGTAAGCTTGCTTTGGGCTGAGAGCAGGCCTATTGTCCTCTTCTTCATCGTCGAGGGTAATGGCGTTGTCCAAGCTAAAGCCTTCTGTGACTTTGAGATCATCTTCGCTGAGGAGTTCACGGCCATGGGCGCAGAGCAGACGGAGTCGCATGATTGCTCGAAGGATGTGGGCATACGTTTTCCCGCCCAAGCTCTTTTTCTGCTCACCAGCAATGACCTTCAGTGTATTTTGAGAATCTTTTGCGAACCAGTCGTACAGACCAAACTCTTCATCAGTAAAAGGCAATCTAACAACGTGATCATGGCGCCCAGGAAGATCAATGCGATCTTTGAGACGTCGAAGAGTAATGCTGTCCACAAGAAGTCGAAGCTTCGGTATGATTTCAGGATCTGCGTTCTTGAACGGAGCAAGGATGAATTGAGAAAAGCCGCCCTTGTCGAAAGGCTGGACTCGTAGAAATTTGACTAACGCTCCCAAGTCATCCAATCTATTCTGGACTGGAGTACCCGTCACGGCCCATCTTCGCTGGGCTGAAAGTGCGCAGATAGCTTGAGATTGACGGGTGGATTGCTCACGGATCATGTGCGCCTCGTCAAGGACAATGCGGAAGAAGTTCGTTTGCAGCAATGGTTCGATGTCTTTGCGTTTGGCACGTCCTCCATATTCGCTAGCCACGATGCTGTAGGTCGTAATAACAAGATCAAATCGGGCCAAAGCATTAATATCTGTGATACGATTGGCGCCATGATAGACATAGTAGTTCAATGCCCCAGGCTTGATGTGAGTAGCGATCTGATCTTCCCAGTTCGCGAGAGTGCTCAACGGAGAGACAAGTAATGTGGTTTTCGAATTGCGAATCAAGGCTCTGTCGCCATCCATTTCTGGCAAGTGCCCGATCTCTTCCCATTCGCCGGCTGCCTCCAAACTTCCAACAATGAGAGACAAGATACTCAGTGTCTTGCCTAGACCCATCATATCTGCTAGGATTCCTCCGAGTACTTCAGGTGGCTTATTGCGCTCTTCTGTGCCGGTGATGACGTTGTAATAGGTAGGTGATCCATTAGGTCGATATCTTAAGCGCCACAGCGAATTATTGTCTTCGTCGTTGTCGCTGAAAACTCGCTTTTCTTCCTTGTTGCTGAGGAAGTAGAGACCTTGTTTCTGATGGCTGAGCAACGGTGTGATGATACGAGGGTCAGCTTCTTTCTCTGGCAGATTCTCTGACTGCTCAAGAGAATCAAACATTCCAACAATATCGTTGTGAATCTCCTCTGCAGTACGAACGACGTAACCAGGAGCTGTACGGGGCGCGCTCTGTGTCCCTCCATAAGAGGTCCTCGGAGGCGTGTCGGCAGGTTGATGTGGGTTGACGACCTCGATCCCACTATCTACCATGAATGGTGGTCCGAGTAAAACACTTCTCTGCCTGAGAAATTTACCCAGTGGCTGGGCCTTGACCTTCGGACCGTACAAGTTGATCGTAATGTCAAAGTATTCGGAGCATTCTTTGCCCGGGTAGTCGTTAGGCTGTCTCTTTCTTATGGTGATCCTAGCTTGCGTTCGAAAACGAGGGTTTTTGGAGTCCATGATCCTTGCAAGGGCGGATGAGGTTTTCAGATCAACGTTGCCGAAGTCTTTGCCCATGGGATCGATGACGCGAATAATGTTGTCTTTTCCAGGGAAACGCTTGAGCTGCAACCTCATGGCGGGCCAGTCGCCCTTACTGATGTAGACAGCTTTACCGCCGGGGCACGGCAGTTGATGAGCTTGAACTTTTGTTTGTTGCAAGCGTCCATAACACACTTCCTTCTCCTGACTGTCACCAACGACGACGATTTCTTCATCCTCATCATCTAAGATTCCAATTAGTACCAGTGCTCGACAAAGCTTTGTTTGAATAAAAGATGCGTACCTCCAGTCAGATCTACCACGGCGTTGACAGACCCTGACTCCGCGATGCCTTGCTTCTTTTTCTCTTTCAAGTATTCTCCGATCTCTCCACCCATGCCTCCGCCAACGAAGCTGACCTTCTTGTCCTCTTCGACATCGAACTCGCCGCTCTCGGCTTTCGGCTTCTTCTGCGGACGTTCTTCACGTTGTGAAACATTATGCACTTTCTCAATCAAGCTGCCCATACCCTGACCTTCGTAGTCCTCGTGGTCTCGCTTGCGCAAGCCATTGACGTCGGCCTCGGAGGGTTTACCGTTTAGGTGCAGATTGGAAGGACTTGGTTGAGCTATAGTAGATTCGGTTGAAGCGCTCTTAGAATCTCTTTGCCGTTGGTCATTGCTGAAGCCTTTCGGATCGAGAAGGCGACGTGGATCAAACGAGCTCGAGGCCGCTCGCCCAGCTATTGTCGCATTCTGTGAGCTCACGGCCTTCTTGCCTTTATGATCAAGGGCATCGTAAGCGTCATCCTTTGATTTTTGCGATGCAAGATCGGGAATGAAGGGTATTTCAAAAAAAGGCTCAGAACGAGGGGGTTCACTGCCGCGACGAGCTGGCACGGAAGAAGATGCAAAGTGAGATGAAATGGAAGTACCATTGGCCAAGTGCTTCTTCAAGGCTTTGGGATCTGTGAGCGCTGCAGCAGATAGCTGGGTACCGTTGGCCCCTGTCCAGGAAGCCATGTGGTGAGATGTATGGCTCGAGGAAGCTGTCGAGGTTGTGATCATGAGTGTTGTGATTTCAGTGAGAGATGGTACTTTGAGGTGGAGGATGAAGAAAGGACAAAGAGGGCATTGTGATAAGAGGCGAATGAAGTGAAGGAAGTGAATGAGGGACCAAATGATTCAAGTGATTCGAGTGATTCCAGGCATCTTTCTACAAGTACTTTTGGAAAGTTATCTTCTATTCTTTTGTATGTCCGTCGATGCCTCGAAGTGCGAAAACAATGAGACGACTCTTAGCTTGAATGCTTACCCAATGAGATGAGTCGATGCCGAGGAACGCCACGATTACTTGCCTAAGGTAGAGTAGTCGATTATGCCATGCATGCACTTTCATGCAGTGACGCTATCTACGGGAACTAAGATAAGGTACTCGTAGCCGGTGACCTTAAAAATTGGGGTACCTACTGTAGGTAGCTAGGTACCTTAGGGCAAGTAAAGAGCCTCACGACTTACAAGCCTCACGAGCCTCACCAGGATGTTCGCTAACCGCTCACTTCTCCAAACGGCCGTGTCACCAAGCTTGAATTGTTTTGGGTAAGTAAGGTAATGAATGTTCAACGAGGTACCTTATACTCTAGTAAATACCCTATCACGACATACGCTATGCTGATTCTAGGTCTAGCAACCTTTCTAGCAACCTGATCGCCATCGAGTGGTGTGATGCTTCATGCCCGGTCCACCATGTATCAACACCCTTCATGTGTTATGATACCCTATACTCATATCGTACAAGCAGTAGACATGCACCCAGACCCTCTAACACCATGTGAACACAGGGTTCTTGCTTTTTACCGTTTCCAGCCTTTCCACAATTACTTTTCGCTGATTTCCTTCCATACCCTCGGCAGCCGAGTAGCCTAGATCTCCTTCCAGATCGTCACTATCGCCCAGAAAGCCTCCACCATGTCGGGTCGAGAAAGAGTAGCGCCGCCTTTGGCTGCTCGTGCTTGCATTCTTACCGTGCCCTTCTAAGCTGAGTCGAGTCTTCGATCTTGTGGCACTTGGTCTGGTGTTGTTTGCGTGGACCATTTTGGCCTCGTCTAACTCGGCTTGGTGGTCTACCAATGGCCCCTGGACAGTCACTGGACTCTCGGTCCCATTAGGGAACTGGCCCAGGTCCGATGTGCTGTTATTTCGTGAAAGATCGAAGCGATTTGGATTGGGTAGATCAGTTGTGGGTGACGACAGGCCAAGAAGATCGTGTTGTGGTTGTGGTGCAGAGGCGTTGGCAGCGCTTATGTCCATTTCCTCTTCTTCGATACTTTTCCGCACATCGTTATCTCTCCGCCTCCGCATCTCAGCGGAAGGTACTCGCATAGGAATCGCAACAGGGATATCAACAAGGTCATCCCACACGCACACACGCGTGCGCCGAGTCAACTCGAGCGGGCCATGATCTGATGTTTTCAGCGTCTCAACCACGTTCCATGCTTGCCCTTTCATTACGGCTATCTGCCTGGCAAACATTTTTTCCTTGAAGTCGGAGTCCTGGCTAAATACTCGACGGAGAGCTAGTTGTGTATCGCTCCACCATTTCGTAGAGGTGAGCAAAGGAAGGAAGTGATCTCGAGTCTTTTGTGAAAATGGTTGGCCAATCAGAGAAACAGGGAGGAAGAGCCAGCCGAATGGGAAGCTTCGCCACTGGGAAGCGATTAGCGTAAGCTCGCACTGCATTTGGAGATTGGCTTACAGCATCTGGGTGCTTCCATGGCCACGACAAACTATTGTCGATGGCCCCAATCGAAATGGCGGCACCTTTTTCTGAATCGAGATTCGAAGGTGTGTCTGATCTGCTCGCAGTTGACATAGCCTCTTGACGCTTGTAAGGGGATGTACTGGGCTTTATGTTTCCTTCGCTGTTGGTTTTGATCATGGGAACAGGCCGCTCACCAGAACGGCCGCTCATTTGCGACGGGTCCGCAACAATAGAGACCTCTTGATTCGCAGCATCTACCCTAATCATCCAATTGTCCAAGCCTCGGTCTGTGTTTCTCATAATATAGTCTAGGATCACAAGCTTCTCCAGCTCTTCTCGGAAAGCCTGCTTGAGTGGGTCCGTCCATGAAAATCCCCTATCCTGACCTTGGGGTTCTTCATTGCCGTTCATGGACCGAACGTCGCTGCGAATCTCTTCATCATCCTCTAACGGAGCGCTACTAGGCCTGCATGTCTCTGTCCAAGGCTTCTTTCTCCATCTTGGCGCATCGTCCGGCCGGAAGCCTGAATTGACTTGATCTGGCCATGGGTGATCCCGCAAGAATAAATTTGCGTCTTTGAATCCCTTGAGAAAGACCTGGAAGCTTCCAACCTTTGCAGGTAAAGGTTTCCGTTTTCGGTAGTATGCAGACTTGTCCCAGAAATCGTAATGGAATGATTTAGATGAAAGGTACACGATATCCGTATAGGGCACCAAATTCGTCCGTAGCCTACTGTCCAATACGTACGCAGCTGCCTCGGATACGTAGGAAAGATTAGGTATAAGACATGCTCTGCCAAAAAAGCAAGGAAACAGATTTCGATGTAGCCACTTGGTCCACTTGGGATTTCTCGACGCGTATGGCTCCTCGTCTTTTGGTTTGAATACTCCGACAACTTTTCCGTCGCTGTTTTGGGCGAAGTAGCTCCCTGAACTACCTTGCGAAATCATTTTTGGATGTACACCAAGCTCGATGGCGACTTTAACGCTCTCCACAACATCGTCGAATCCCATTTTTGTCATCCTGTCTCCTTGGGTTTCGCTAACATCTGACGCAAGAGTTTCTACACTTGCTGGGCGTAACCCTTCCGGAGCCTGGAATACCGAGTGTTTAATCTCCAACTGTTCCTCTTCTTGCGTCTTCCCTTTCACCTTGCTGATCTTGAACTTTGACGCTATTTCTTCCGCCCATCTCTCCAATCTAGCATTTATTGCTTTAATGTCCACACCCGACGAATTCCTTCGCAACCGCCGTCTACCGGTATTCAGCCGTCTCTGGTGTCTGGTAGAGCTCTCATTGAGGTCCGCTTGCATTGGTCCATGGGGTTGTGGCTGAATGGGGGCATAGCGAGGTGCTGAGAGGGTGGATATCGTTCGAGGGACACGGAAGGCGTCATCTTCTTCAGAATCATCCAGATAAGCATTCTCATCATCTGCTTGAGCTATCCGGGCATAGCCCGAAGTTGGAGGTCTGTGTCGAGGCATGCTGTCGTTAAAGGAGAATGTGTCCCTCAGCGGACTTGGCGAGCTTGGATCTGGAGATGCGGCTGCCAGCCGGGAAGAGCCGTCCATCATCTTATCTACCGTACCTGATTGCCAGGCTTTGACCCTTGGTTTTTCCTCATAGCTTCAATTTGTATTGTCCATGATTTTGAATTGTCCAAAAAATGCGAGATGTGATTACAAGAAGCAACGCACTTGACACTAATGTATGCTGTCACAGTTTCTGGCGAAGCCACGAACCCCACTTTCTTTCACAATTGCTCCCACCTTCTATATCTTCACATCGTGTCGAGGCTATTATAAGTGCTGCTACACAACAAGGAGACCTATTGTTGATACATGTACAATCCTACGTGGATGCTGGCCTTGCAAATACCAGAAGCCATCGCACAACTCCATCGCCATCAGAAGGCCGATCATCTTGGGTCGATATGCTTTTCAGCCTGCACCAAGCAAGTCCCTTCACCTTTACTACTCCAGCCGCCACTCGTGGGACGCCACGCTATGTCCGAACATGAACGTCAGATTGCCCCCCTAGCGCATTGTCTGCCAAAAATAATTTGAGTAAAAGAATTTAGAGAATTTTGGGTCGACGTTGATAACATGGACGTCGCCTTTCTGGTGGTTTCGGATTACGGCTTTGTTGTAGTTGCCTGTACTATCGGCTTCCACATCAATACCAAGGGATCGATACACCTTTAGCTTTAGTCTGCGAATGCAGTAATTAGCAATGACGCGAATATTATCAGTAAAAATCAGGGACGCTCACATTGTAGGGTCATCCATCTCTCTCTTCGCCCTCGCCATGTTGTCTCCTTCTACCCCTTCGACCTCCAAGTCATGTAATCGGCTCTTCAGACCTTCCCCCTCCTGCTCTAGCCTCTCTCCCTCAATTTCGAGGTCTGAGGCTGCTTTAGCAGCACGGAATTTCTGTGTATCGAGCTCGACTATTTGGGACGCATGATCTGTACTGCTTTGCGAGGAGACAGTCTCGCTGTGTTGCTGTGACATAGTCGCAAAGTTGCGTGATAACTCTGGGTAATCGATAAGCATTGGGACATCTGCGAAGATCAAGGAGAGCATAAATACTCTTCAAGGCGCTCTCGGCTTCCCGTATGCGTAGATCACGAGCTTGCTGGAGGGTTGAGAGAGATTCATTGATGCGGCCGATGGCGATCTTGTCTGTGTCGATATGAAAATTGGCCATGGTGCTTTGCACAAGCTTCAAACAGATTAGCATAGTGATTGCTCGGAGTTCACTTCAACGGAGAGCTCTTACCATGGCTGGGTCCTCGTCGAATAACATCTTGGAAGCAGACCGTGGTTACTGTTGTCACTCGATGGACAAGCTTAACCTAGAATCATCAACGTACCCGTCGTTCCTAGGATAGTGATGTTGGTTTCGAGTGGTGTTTGCTTTGAATGGCTTGGATCGGCAGTGAAGTTTTGTGGTTTTGTGAGAAAGTAAACAATGAAGATGATCGACCACAACTGGCCCGCCGGCAGCTAGCAGAGCTAGCGTCCAACGCCACACGAATGACGCGGAGCCAAGCCTCACCAAGCCAAGCCAAGCACGAGCACGCGCACGACCAAGAGTCTCTACATTTAAGCACTGTTGTCGCCTACCGTACTTTCACTTTTACTTGTCTCTCTTTCCGTCTAGGTCCCATTGTTTATTCATCGACATTGGTCTACAAAAGTTGGAATGTCTCATTTGCCATGTAAGCTTCTTTCGTTCTTCTGGGCTTGGTGGGCCCAATCTTAGCATAATTGAGCTTCCTGGAACCAATACTAGCTAACATGGCACGACATGTACCAGATGCAGCAGATGCTGATAGGTAGGACACCCGTTCAAAAAGTACTTCCGGTATCAGCACACTCACTGTGAGGCTACGTAGTCCCCTGAAACCCTCCGAGCTCAAAGTACTGCGAGATCAATACGAGAAAGAGGGAGACTACGTCGGCGTGCAGACCAAATTTAACTATGCATGGGTGGGTCACAACCAGTAATAGTATTTCGAAATCTCTTGCTCATTCTATCCCAGGGCCTGATCAAATCCTCGGCACGCGGTGAGCAACAAGAAGGCGTTCGCCTGCTGTCGGAGATATTTCGAAACGCACCGGAGCGGAGGCGGGAATGCTTGTACTATCTGGCTCTCGGAAACTACAAGCTGGGAAACTACGCAGAGGCTCGCAGATATAATGATCTACTTCTCGACCACGAGCCATCGAATCTGCAGGCAGGGAGTTTGCGGGGCCTCATTGATGATAAGGTCGCCAAGGAAGGTCTGCTGGGAGTAGCAATACTCAGTGGTGTGGCCATTGCAGCGGCCGGGGTGGGTGCTATGATATTCAAAGGAGCAAGGAGGAGGTAGAGGGTGTTGTTTCAGGTACAGGTTCATGTGGCTGCGATTCGATCAATCGAGTAGTGTCTGTGTGTCTTTAGACGTAGCTGGAACAAGGGAGCTCATGAGATTCGTCAATCGAGGCGGACTTGCAAGAGTACCGTAATGGTTGGTGGCTGTGGTTGACCGGGTTGGTGTGGCAAGAAGAATCATGGTGCATGATGTTCGGTATGGGAAAATGGTAGAAAGGCGAAGAAGCGAAAAAGGCCAAACAATATGACACGGGTTCTGATTGCTGCCCGCCCGCCTGAAAGACTGATGGCCAATTCTCTTACCATTTACATATGAATTTACTCTACACCACCAGGGCACCTGGTACCAACTTTTTCTCGACTTCTGACATTTCGTTGCCTATTATCGTTTATGTTTCCTTGTACACAAAGTAACAGCGAGGTATTTGACAAAGGGTGAAAGGGTGAAAGGGTGCTGGTGTCAGTGTCAGCATCAGTGTCAGTTGCCTTGGCTCGCTTGGCTCAAGGCTGGAACCGGAAACGGAGAAGGGAGAATGGGAGGGATGATCACTTCCTTCCAACCAAACCACTCTATCTGACATTCATTACTCCACTCTAACTGCTTACTCTGACATCAATATCCATTTCATCTTGAACAACTCTTTATCAACCAACATATCTTATCATTCACATATACCCCCCCCCCCCCCCCCTCCCCCCGGCCTGTGTCTGGACACTCCAGAGTTTCAGTCGTTCACTTCTCTGTCTCACGGGAACCCCACTGCGCCTCAAACCTGACTACTACAAGTCTACAACCACTCCGATACGCCACACCACACCACATGATTCACTGCCTTATCCAGGCACTTGCTTGACGCCTTCACCTTCATTCAATCCGCAGCAACTTGCCACACCAACCTGAAGAAGAGCTTCTTTGACACAATCTAACAACCGCTGCGTGGAGAGGAGAAAGCCCAATCTGTCAAGACATAATATGGCCGACCAAGGCGAACAGCAGCGAGAACTCGTCTTCTGCCACGCCTGTCAAAATGAATGGCTGCGGGATCAGCATGGTCTGCAGTGCCCAGAATGCCATTCCGACGTTGTTGAGATTGTGAGTCTTCCCAGTGTTGAGCTGGTTTACCTTGCTGTCAAAGGCTGCGATACCATTCGCAAGACCTTTCAAATCCTGACCCTTCCTGTCGACAGATCGACGAGCGTCACGATCCACGCGACAATCATGTCGATATGAGCGATGATGACGATGATGACGACGAGGCCACCTTAACCAGCAATGACAGCCTACCCCACCATACTTTACATCATCACAATCCCTGGCAAGCAGAAGCGCCAGATCCCGATGAGCCAGATATCGAGCATGTCGAATGGAATCCTGCTCCGGGCGTGCACTTCGCTCGCACTTCCTATCGATCGTCTTCCCCTATGGGTCGAGGTCAAGCCAATGATCCCTTCGCGCCCCTCTTTCAAAGCATTTCCACCATATTTGAAGGCGCTGCAAACGCAAATGCAAATGCCCAGGGCCGAACGCAAGCGAGGAACATCCGGGCCATACAGCATCCAACTCATATTCACCGCCCAGAATTCGCATCTCAGAACCCCTTTCCTAACCACCAGCATCACCACATTCACCATCATCATAGCCCATGGACTCCCGGCTCCGGTCCGTCGGGCGGCCGACAGGCCTTCACAGCAACCGGCCGAATATGGCCTCAGAACGGTCCCAATGCACCTCCGAACGACCGAAACATAAACAATCTCCACAGGTCAGTAAATATGTATTATTTGGTACTTGTCCATTACTAAACACCCATAGCGTGCTTGCCACAATGCTACAATCGGTGCAAGCTAGCATGGTCGATCCTCATGGAGATCGTGGCCAGCACGCTGGTATGCCCAACCTCAACACATTCATCACACAAATGCTCGGCGGCGTATCTGGAGACGCCGTTTACAGCGAAGAAGCCCTCGACCGCATAATTACGCAGATGATGGATCAAAACCATCAAGGCAGCGCTCCGGGTCCAGCTTCGGCGGCAGCTATAGCTGCGCTACCCAAAAAGCCAGCAGACAAGACTATGATGGGGTCAGACGGAAAAGCGGAATGCTCAGTGTGTATGGACGCCGTAGACGTTGGAGACGAAGTTACTGTTCTGCCGTGCAATCATTGGTTCCACGGAGACTGCGTGGGCGCTTGGCTTAAAGAGCACGACACTTGTCCCCACTGTCGAGCGGGCATCATGCCAAAGGAAGGCGGAGCCGACGCTCCACGGTCTCCAAGCCAGGCGCCACGGTATACCCAGAATCCGTTCCCGGATAATAATTCGCCCAGTTCGGGTCCCTCCCCGAGCCAGAACGGCATCAATCAGCGACCCCCCATGCCAGGCGCTTTCACCCAGCCAGGCATGAATCTGCCATATGTCCTCGGGGGTTTTCAGCGGTATTCTGAACCACAAGCATTTGTTCAGCCACGAGGACAACTTTCGCCACAGCCTTCGCAGCACAGTCAGAGGAGGAGAAACAACGCGAGGGGAAATGGCAATGGCAACGGCAATGACAATGGCAATGGCAACGGCAACGGCAATGGCAACGGCAATGGCAACGGCAGTGGGAATGTTGGTGAAGGGAGCAGCGGGAGCAGCCAGGGATCCGGTATAACAGGCTGGTTCAGAAGTCTACGGGGAGGTGGCAGTAGTGGAAGTCGATGATGAGGCCAGTCCGCCAGTGTTAGCTGCTTGACTCGGCGACGTAGCTATGTGAAAGAATGACTTACGAATTTAGCTGAGGCCTTCTGGGCATTGGCTGCCCATGAGCGTTTGCTAGGTTCTTGATGCTCTTTACTTATTCACATCATGACTGCGATGTCACTGCATTGTGGGCGTTGGGAATAGACAGAAGAGGACTCTGCGGTGGCTTCATGGCTTGCCACTGCACCTAGACACCCGATCCTGATGAGAGCACGGCTTGGGACAGCGGTTTTCTGAAGAGTGGTCGATAGATAGCAAAGATGAAGCTGATACCCAATAGATCCACTGTTCCTTGCGTTTGAGACATTACGATCTGATCTCCCAATCATAGTCCCATGATACATTATCTAATGTCTTGCTTCTACCCATCCCGAATATATATGCACCGAAGGGAAGCATAACTCGCTAATTAACCCGCTGTGAACCCATGCAAAATCACATCTCTCTACTAAGGTCTCTTCTTCGCACCTCTATCGTTCCCGTCGTCGACTCCCTCTAAGATCTGACTTAAGCCTTGCAGCGACACTTCATTGCTGGAGAAATGCACCGCAACCAACCAAGCACAAACCAAGTTGACAATGTGATGCAATGCGTATGCGTACGTCACGCCATAGACTGCAGCGTAGCCGGCGAGTATGAAGAAGAGGATGTTGGTGACGTAGCGAGCCCTCGATGTGACGCGGGGGATCATCTTGCCGCAGGTAAGGGTTTCGACGAGTATTAAGTAGGGCATTATGGATAAGACATTATGGTGTGAGGAGAAGGGTGTGAGCCACTGCACCGCGAGATTGTGGGCCCAGACGAGAAGGACGGGTACGTTGATGGGGAGTACCCAGAGCATGAGGATCAGCATTGAATGAGAATAATTGTAGAAATTATAGTGGCCGCCAGATCGCTGTCCTATATTAGATTTCTCGCAATTTTCAACGGGTTTACGTGAGACTTACAGTTTCCCGAACCAACCGCAGCGCCCGCGTGCACGTCGATAGTTGTACAAGAACAGCGTCTAGGTAGGCGAACTGATAGGGAATGAACGTTGATACTAAGAAGAGTAGTACGCAGGTGGTAATGATGCGTCTTCTGGGTGAGCTGGCAGCGAAGTCGGGAGCAACAGATCTTCCACTACATGTTGGTTAGTCGATGAGGCTTCCTGGTAGACTGAAAGTTGAATGTTTGCATACCTCACGTCCTCAACTCTCACCCACGCCGGCCTAGCGGTCAGAAAATTATATGGCAAGTAGAAGAGGTTTGTCAGTCCGAGAGTTACATAATTGACACCAACGCAGATACCAACATTGATGAGGCCGAACAGCGGGACCAGAAACCAGAAGATTGGATCTTGTGAGCCTAGTAAAAGGTCGTTCTTGGTGAAGTCGATGGCTGACTCTGTGGCATTTCCTCCCCAACCAAGCCAGCCAGTAGATACGGCCCTCGGAGGCGCAGCACTTGATATTGTCAAACCCATGGCGAGGAAGGTCAGTGCAAGGAGCAACACCGGTAACGATGTTTTCAGGCAAAGGTCTAGAGATTCTGCAAACGTGATAAAGATTCCTGCTCTGGATCAGCTACAGACTCCCCCAATTTGGAGAACTTGCACTCACCACTTTCGTCGTACACTTTGAATTGTTTCCGAAGCACAAGGGCGACAATGACTAGTGGAAAGGCAGCGAAAACCATCCTGTACCGCATCACCAATTTCCCCATGCTACCCGGTACATCGACGTTCATTGATACGTCAATCGAAGAATTACAGGTTGGATCGGACCAGAACTGTAATGAGACACCATCACTGACAGTTTGAGCGCGCAGTGGCGGCGGCATGAATGGAGCCACGCCGTGCAGGCTGATGTTCGCATCCTTCACATTCACAAAGTATTTCGACTCATGTGGTTCCGAGAGATGCTGTCGCAGAAGTGGGGTGAACAGCTCTGCGTCATCGCCGCAGGCTTGCTTGCCCAGGTTCAATTTGAAAGCAAGCAGACTCGAATGAAGCGCGGGAATCTTGATCTGAGTCATGAAAGGCCTAGCTGCAGGTAGTTTGAGATGTAGACCGAACGAGAGGAGTCGCCGGAGGCCTAAATCGGTCTCGATAATGGAGTCGAACTTTTCAGTGAACTCTGCGATGGCCCATCCTTGGCTTGGTTCCACAGTCTTATCGACCACAGCGACAAACTGGTAGTCTGCAAGGTCTTCTAAGTCATATTGGAGATAGGACATAGGTTGCGCTTTATCGTATGGATGAGCGGACATCTTTTTTGAAGCTGGAAGACGAATAACATCTGAGGCAGCGTTTTTGCAGGCCAGTCTAGTAGAGCCAGAAGTACCATCGGACAGATCCATGTTCATTGAGAACAGCGTTGATGATTGGCCATGCTGCAATGGAAAGACGCTGCAGAAAAGCACCTCGATCTGAGCAGTAGTCCCAGGTTCTTCCAAGCGTTGATCAGACAGCAAAATGAAGCTTTTCGAGCCCTGCGGAATTCGCATAGGAACCGGAAGAAGGTGTGCTTTTGGTTTCCCTGCACGTCCAAGGTCTCTCAACACGAGACTTTCTCCCACAGACATTACGGAATGTGAATTGTCTTCCAAGGTGAGCAATGTCGATGATTCTTTTTGTGGCAGCGTTTTCTCCACCACATCCTCCATTCCGGTCAAATACCAACTTCGAAAAATACGCATTCGCTCCGCCCTTGGCTTTGTTTGCCCCGGTCGATGTACATCCAAAGTGCTGAATATTGATCTTACAATCGGCTTCATCAATTGGACACACCACGTAGTCTGTATGTGATCCGCACCAGTCCACACATTGGGTATACCGGAGGTGAAAACAGTGAACCCATGGGTGCTTGGTACAAGGGATTCGAGACTGGCAAAATCCGAGGGCACCACTGTATCCAAGCCTCCACCAGCGATTGAGATCAAAGTGACATGCCATAAAGGATTGTCGTTTGCCCATTTCTGTGTGTACGCTTGTCTCCAATAGTCATTGATTCGCTTGTATGTTCGCACGGACTCAGCATCGACGGAGACGGGTGGCCTTGCATGGGGCGCAGACATGGTAACGATGGTATTGATCGAGTTCGATTGGTAATTTGGCATGGTAAGCATCGTTCGAGCAACAACACCGCCCATGGAATGGCCCACTAGGATGACTGAGCTGGGATCAGGCAGACCAGGATCACGCTGAGACCTTCGAGGGTCATGGTAAAGTGACAATATGTAAGCAACGGCATCGTTCAGGTACTCTGCCTGATCTAATATGGTCTGACCGTGAAAAGCGGAAAAATCTTCATTGAAATCGACGGAGAAGAAATCTAAACTTGTCATGCCCTCTTTCAAAGCCTGGGCATCTTGTTGTATACTATCATGGTAGTACGAGGCTGCTTCGAAAGCCAGGCATCTCGCCTGTTTGTAGCTTCCTGCATTTCCGGGTATGAACAGGACAGGGACACCCTTGACCTAAAGAGAATCAGCATACCAGAATTGGATGTTTCATGTAGACACCCACCTTTGGGTCTTCGTCAAAGCCCCCTTCTCGGTACAAGTACAGATTGTATTTGCTAGCGAAACGCGTATGCTCGGTATCGAAGTCGGAGAACTTGATGTAAATTGGCCGTGACCAGCACATATCGCATCCCTTAGGATCAAGCTGTCGAGTAAGGAAGGCATGAACGATGAAGAGGAGGATCAGGGCGGACAAGGCGGTAACACTGATGGTCAGCAATGAGCATGCCCAGGGGTTCCGCGCTCGGGAGCGTCGCCAGGTCCGAGGTTCCGGCAATCTGTCGATGTCCTCTCCTGGTGCCAGGAGAAGCTGCTTCTTGCTGGAAACGCCCTGTCGATTTTCTGCCGGCGGAGACGGATTGGATCCATTAGGAGGGGATTGAATAAGGCCAATTGCTTTCTCGATTTTCCTCCGATCCAGGGTATCGGAGTGCCTTGTCACGTCATACTTGGCAGAGGTGAAGCTCTTCTTCTTTCCATGCTTGTTGTTTCCATGCTTGTTAGGGGGAGCAGTCTCGGCTTGGGTAGGGGCGCTGTTGTCGGTATCCTCAGCGGAGCCCGACAGCCTTCTGATCATTGAACCCAGCAGCAAACAGGATCAGACAGCATGAGAAGTCGAAAAGCCTCTGGAGCAAGGGAGAAGTCCCTACGGGATTCGAAGAGTGTCGCCGCGTTGCCGTTTGGTGGTTGGGTCAACCAAGCCAAGCCAAGCCAAGCTTTTGACGCGCGAGCACCAGGAGGAAGAACGGGGTTTTCCCAGCCCCCCCAACAATTAATAGGGTAAAGTAGTACCGTACAATCACAATTATGAGATAATTACCGTGAACGAGTGTGGGGTGGAGGACTTGGGCATGATGCAACAGGACAAAGAAAGGATGAGGACAAAGGTCCGATCAGCTTATCTTCCAGTGTCATAGAATACATGTATATTACTTTAAGGTACCTTAGTTCCTAAGGCATAGTCGAAAGCTAAGGCAAGGCATCTCACATCAAGTGCTTCAGGTAGACTATTATTACCTGCCTCCTGCATATCTGCATGACACAACCGTGGGCCACACAAACATCAAAAAGGTTTGTTGCTTAAGCAGGCAAGCTTAGGCTAATTAATTGATTAATTAATTAATTGATCGTGTTAATAATTGATTCAGGTGCCACCCCAGTGCCCAAATATTAAAGTAGATAAAAGTATTCTAAATACAAGGTGCATGGTCTAGCCTCGATCGCACAAGCAAGCGGCCATGATTTCATCCCCTCCATACAAAATTGGCAGATCATCCTAAGAAAATGGTACTACGGTACGAGGGTGGTTTGCAGAAGTCCTTGGACATGCCGAGATTATTCCGGTAGCTTACCTCCTTTTTCTACCCATTCTTTCCTTCCACATCCACACCACTCCACATAAAGACTGTCACATGCAGAAGCGTGTAGAACAGTGTAAGGAACGTGATGGATTAAGCACTGAATTCTAGTGGTATATAGAAAAGAAGTAAGTAGACTTCTCTATCAAATAGTAGGAATCTTTAGTGGGGGAACCGGAATAATCTCGGCATGTCCAAGGACTTCTGCAAACCACCCTCGGTAGGTACTTGGGACCTATCAAGACTGGACAACCATGCACACCCCTAGAAAGAAGCGGATCCCTGAGGGTCGAAGAAAGCTTGAATTAGGGAAGTAGATTAATGGACTAAGGTAGGTAGAGTACGTATGCCCCGTATGTCAGAGAGGTCAGTGAGCGACTGGGCCAACTCGAATCTCTTCTCGCTGCCTCACATTATCCGTCTGTCTAATCTTCTCACTCGCCCGGCTTTTCCGCTTCTTCTCTGCTTCAAGCTTGCTGAACCAACCTTTCGCCCCAAATTTGATCTTGCTGATCATATCCGTCGCTTTGCCTTTGCTGATCATGTCCCCCGTCAATTGATCTGCCATTGGCCTGATTTTGTTGACGAAGGCCAGCTGCCCTTCTGTCGCCGGCTGTTTCCTCCAGGCTTGTCCGTTGTGAACAAATCTCCAAGGGAACTTGGTCAAAGCGAACGTATCAGCTGCGTGCACCGCGTCAGAGAATGTACTCGAGTTTGCAACTACGCGCGGACGCATGTAGGGGCTCTTGGCCTTAGACTCGGGTGAACGGTCTCTCTCGGGCACTTTCTGCGTATAGGTGACCGAAAAAGTTGTACTAGAACCAACATCTGAACATTCAATGGTGAGGTAGTCACCGCTCTGCGCCGATAGAACATAGCGATTCTGTCCCACCATCACCCAAGCTAGCTGACTAATTCCGCGTATGTGTCTTTCTCTTGAAGTGTCGTCAATCAGGTCGAAAACCGAAACATAATCTGTAAAGGTGATAGTCGACTGTCGTGATGGTAACGAGATATTAGTAGCATGATCCGCAGCACGCTCTTCGCGAATAGCCTCCAGCTCCTTTCGTTCGTGTTGCGACTTCATTGCCTCAATGTTCGCGCCAGTGACCAGTTCCCCCGGATCGAGGCCAAATCTGTATTATAATTTCAGCTTCAGTATTGCTTGTTTGAGGAGCTTTGTTGATGCTTGGAACATGTCTAGACGGCCAGATACTCCAAAATACGTCTCGAGATTCAATTTTTGGTCCAAAAGAGGGAACATGGACTTCGAAAATACGTACAGCGTTGGGGTCGTAACAATCCCGGCTTCGAGAGATACAACCATGTCGATGATATGGCAATTTTCCTTTCCTGGGTAAAGGCGCATGCCACGCCCAATCATCTGTACTAGTAGGTTACGTGATTTGGTCGGCCTCGCGAGAACAACGCAATCGATGTTCGGAATATCTGTCCCTTCAGTAAAGACACCACAGTTTAGAAGTACCGGATACTGCCGGTTTCTAAAGGCATCGAGCCTTTCGCCGCGGACTCGCTTTGGCGTGTTGCCTGTGACAAATTTTGCCTCAATACCATGTCTGCGGAAGGTTGCCGTCAAGTCTGAAACGTGAGCTAGGTCAACGCAGAATACTAATGTAGATTTTCGGTCGGCGGCTCTAGCCATCCACGCTCTCACGGTGATCTCATTCGTTTCCGGAGTATTAACTGCTCTAGAGAGATCTCCAACCTGGAAGTCCCCAGCAAGTCCCTTTTTGACGCCAGAAACATCTGCCTTGGATTGAACAGTGGTAAATATAACATCGGAGAGCCATTTCTCGCCAATCATGTCGACATAGTCTCTGAGCACCTTTCTCAGCATATAGAATCGATCTCAACAACGTCGCTAAACGTACTTGTGATATACTATGTGATCAATAGCGTCGCTAAGTCGTAATCCATCGAAGCGCGACAGTGTTGCTGATACCCCAACCAGAGCTGCTGGTGCTGGGGAGTCGGCAGTGGTCGAGTCTTTCAGGAGTAATCCAAAGTAAGTTAAAGTCTCCATGAATTTGGCAGCCACAATATGATGCGCCTCATCTACCAGGACAAGCTTGAATCTTTTGGGGTCAAACTTCAGCATCCTGTCCCCTGAGACGATGCTCCAGATAGAAGCAACGGTTATGTCTGCACCACCAGAGGCATGCGAACTGCCCATTTCGATCTCGATAGACTTCGATGGATACGCGTTTTTGCAATGTCGAGCGGCTTGTTCGACAAGCTCGCGGCGATGTACCAGGATCAGAGTCTGAGTGGCATCTGGCGTTGGTGCTTGGATGCGATCAATGAGTTGTGTGAAGATGACCTGTCAATCGATCAGTGATTGATTGTCTGGACCCTCGTCTTGGCGAAATACTGTTTTGCCGCTGCCTGTAACGATTGCAGAGTCAGCATCGGCTTTCACAAGAGGATTTCCAGTTTTGAGATATGTCTACAAAGAAAGCGGCTTGTTCGCTGCAGTCAAAGGGGTAGGAAACCCCACTATATCCTCTTACGACACAAATTCCCAATAGCCGAATTCAATGCTCCCGAATGCTTCAAAATAGGTGTTGATCTCCAGAACCTGATTTAAGAAGCCACGGCAAGATGTTCCCCATACCATATCAAGTAGAAGCTCGAGTCGAGCAGACAATCCGGAAGCGATGTCATCAACATTTGGCGGGCATTCAACTCTTGGGTTCCATAACGTCCGTCAAAACTCAAAGCTTGGTGTTGAGAGGAAGTCTGGAATCTGCAAGAACAATACGTACCAGTAGCTAAAGAGATGCCAAGCCTCTTGTGGCCCCTTTCAAGGTAAGAAAGGACGGATTTTATGCATTCTTCCTGGTATTCTCGGAGGCGTATCGATGAGACCAGCTCTGGTGCAATGGCGGGCGCTAAAGTTGCAAGTCGCCGTACATCGATCATTGAAATACATGTCGGACGAAGTCTGAGGCACGTAATTACGCTCAGAGGTATTCGCTGCATGCCTCATGTTGCTTGACTTATTGAGTGTAAGCGTGTTTGCAGGACGAGCAAGAGCGATCGTATTAGCGGCTATTGGTAGGGCTGAGGCTTGGCAAGAATCTCGTCTAATGAGCACCACCGGCACTGAGGCACTAGATTACCCCGTACTGGTCTGCATCGATCCCCGATAATCATGTGAGAAGAACACTGAAATTGAACCTTCGATGCTCATCAACTCCATCTTGTCATTATTTCGTTGATATCTCGAGGGTTCAAATACTGATGTTTAGCCAGCAACGGCAAGTAACACATTCCTGCCACGATGTCCAACAGCGCGTCCAATTTGGATGCGCTTGACCAATCCGACGCTTTTCATTCAGCGTCAGACAGCTCAGAGAAGTCTTCAAACTCTTCCTATGACCGTTCCAGAAGCCGAGGGAGGCCCAGGAAACGTAAGACCATAGAAAACTTGACATCTACGCAACCTTGGTTAAAGCGTCTGAAGTCTTCATACAATGATGAGTACCGTGGACTGTTCAATAGCGCAATTATGGAGATTGCGTCGAACAAATCTTCAGAGCCAGATACTCTATTACAGGAGAGCCACGTAGGAGTCACCGTATGGTCTACGGAAGAGAAGGGAGCGTTCTTCCGTGCCCTTACCAGGAGAGGTCGAGAAGACATCCGAGGCATTGCCACTGAAATAGGCTCAAAGAGCGAGTCTGAAGTCTACGTATATTCAGATATGCTATACAAAGCTGCGCTAGACCAGCAGAATTACGAGACTCGCAAGAATATACTGGATACTTCAAACATTGAAGCTGCGCTTGAAGTGCGTGGGGATTGTTGTGCGGCTCTTGATCTCACAGCAGAAGCTCTATCTGCCCTTCAGCAAGATGAGGAAGAAAGGGCTGAGAAAAGGAGGCATAAAGATTTGGCCCTCTTAACCCCAGGAATCGCCAGGTGGGTAGAACGTGGTATAGTATTACGTGAGGGAGGCAAGGAAGAGGTATCACAGCAAATTCCCGCGGCAAGACTGTTGAACCTCACGAACTTCCTTGCACTTTCAAAGCGCTTCTTTATGAATTCGGTCATCGCGGAAGATAATTGGCGTTCTTATACGGGAAGAAAAATCAAATCACCTTCAATCATGTATACAGCATTTTCCGACTTCCACGCAGTATCAATTTCTATCACACAACGACTTGTACAGTCGAGTCTATTCTTCGCGATGTCACGGCTAAGAGCTATGTCCGCATCAGGACACTACACGCCTCGATCACACGTCAGACGACGAGACGTTCTGGCGGCGCTCAATGTGTTGGGCATGAGGACTGACGCGAAAGCCTTCTGGGCCAGGGCGGCTCGAAAATGCAAGCTACGAGTCTATGACAAAGTCAGGCACCGGCAGGTCTTCGGCAAGAGATACAGCTACGCGGAGATTGAAAGAATTCTATCTCCCAGTATGATCAGCGACCCAGACAGTCCAGAAATAAAGGCCAATGACGCGATTATTCCAACGTTTCGAAAAAGCCGAATTCTGACAGAGCATTCAGCAAGCGCATCGGAGGGTTCGATGTCGACTGACGCTGCCGGGGCGGACGCTCTGTCAGATCATGAAGACCTCTCGGCGACGCCTTTAGACCCCACAAACAAGCAAGACTACAAGCAAGAGGCCCATGATCAATTACAGGACGCCTACGCGGAAGCACTTGACCAGCAGGCCAGTCGTAATGAAGAACGCCGCTTGTGGGAGATGCTTGGCGAAGATCCGGCAGAAAAGATGGAGCCTGTAGATGTGAAGCTGCCCAAAGCCTCTCTTCCAAACCGGAAAGACAAGGAGGAAATGTTTGACTGGAGAGATTGGGTAGACTACGCTGGGGATTGGGAGACGCATGAGGTTCCAGTATTCGGAAGCAGATTTGCCAATAATCAAAATTTCAAAAGGGACGGGGATTCTGGCGCAGGATTTACCAGCTCCGAATCCAGCCCGGAGAGTCTGATCAACGACGAGTCTACCAGAGAACAGCACGACTCGAACTCTGACTCAGATGCTGACGGCGATGGTGCGATCAACGATGATGGCCCCAATGCATCATCCGCCGACGACGATGAGCATTGGGCAGGCAGTAATGGTGGTGACCCAGACAGAGACATGTGGCATTCAAGTCTTGACGATGATACTCCAGCTACCAAAAGACGAAGAGGTGGACTGCGGCCAGGCGACGATAACACGCGTCCCAAAAGTCTCACACGCCCGCTAGATGCTACTAACAACAACATGGAGAGTAGTGATGACAATCTTTCCAACGAATGAGCATATTTTGAGGGCTGCAACACCCTTAATGACCTAGACATGCTTTCTTTGGGAATAATCAACAAGACTCTATGTTACACATGCTTTGACCCTAAGGAAGCGCAACGGACAGCCTACTGAACGATAGAGCACAGTATCCAATGACTGGGGTAATTTGTGATACTGTCTAACCCAGCACAAATAGTACATTTCCGAAGAGTCAAGAAGTCTCCTCCCTTGCCGAGATATCTCTAACGATTGCAACTCGCAGATCAAATTCATCTGCGCCTGATGCATTGCACTTGTGATACATCATATTGCGATGTTCTTGAAATGCGCCTAATAATGACTTGGAGCCCCGATGTCAAATCTCGATGTTCTTGTACCCAGTATCACCAGGCCCATATGGTTCTACAGTCCCCTTTGACATCTCTCGCTGGAACCCGAATCTCTCACCCATTCCAGCACTTACATCTTGTGTCATCCTCGCGGCTTCCTCTCCACCCTTCTGATTTGCCGCGCGAAGCGCGTCTTGTGTTTCGGACACTCGCTTTCTGAACGCCATTCGGTCTAAGAAGAGTTGCTGTCTGCCACGCTCCAATTCACGGCGCTCAGATTGTAGCATTGCTTCCATCTCGGAAAACTGCTGCAGCTTGAGCTCGAATTTCTGCAAAGTTGTGTTCACTGCTGCGGAAACAAGGCGTGTCATCTCACGCTCTTCATTCGAAGCCAACGCTGCGGCACGAGCAGCAGATGTAGCGAACGCCGTTGTTGCTGCAAACGACGACGGATCTTGCCGTTTCTCTGCTGACGAGAGAGCCATCTGATTGTTAGCTTCCGGTTGCGGGCTGTCAACGTTATCAATTTCCATGGAATCCTCCGTCTTCATAGCTTCCTTGTCCTTCCCTTTGTCTGCGTGATCTCCACCCACACCGATGTTCAGGCGTTTCCGGTAAGCCTTCTCCATTTCCTTTACGGATCTACCTGCCGCTGCGGCAGCAATGGAAGGTTCACTCATACCTGCTAGGAACCCTAAAACGGACATGACCGGGTTGTCTGACTGGGCAAACGGAACACGGCCGTTATCGAGTGGGCCATAGCTTGGGTGGCCATTGACTTCCGGTTCAAGGTACTTGTCCTCAATCTCCAGTTGCAAGAATTTGACGACGCATTCTTCACGGGTGCGGCTGCCGACGTGGTCGGCTATTTTGTTCCAATTTTCGTCGTGCTGCTCGAGGCCTTCCAGGAGCAAGAGCAATTCCTCGTCGGTCCATGGCGCATCCTTATCGGCTACAGCGGAGTAATTGGGATCCTCAAACTTGACAAAGTCTATAGACTCATGCTTTTGATCGTATCGGTGGTTCTGATAACAGGCCGGACAAATATCAAAAAAGACATTGTTCTGTTTGCCACGATCGGTGAGGGTCTGAGCGTAGTGGTATCGGAGGCGCGAGCAATCTATAGCGCAAGAAGCACAATATACGGTTCTCTTTGGCTCTTTGGCTATGTCCTCAATAGTCTTCGTAGAGAGATCGCCGGAAGGCGCACCATTAGAGGAGTGTTCCCCACCATTGGCTTGTTTGTCTTTGAGATCTGCCGTGAGATCCTTGCCTTTCTGATCGTAGATGTTTCGGCGGATCTCGAGATTAAGATTCTCCCTTTCATGGGGCGGAGCTTCCTTGTAGGCTTTGAGAAGAGCATTCTCGGTACCAACAAAGGTTTTGCCCGGCTCGTATTTGACGTCTGATGCTGGCTGGAAAGTTTGCAGACCACGAGGTGTGTCCGCTACTATACGGAAATGGCCGGTAAAAGGCGGACCAATGCTCGATGGCCTTGTGTCAGGATCGATCTTGGAAGCTTTTAGCAGGGCAAAATGGCATGGCGCGTTCGAAGGATTACCTGATAATTGATCAACCCCCATGACTCGAGGAACGCATGGACTCTCATAATGGCACAAACATCTCCTGCAAGGTTACGCCTGCAGGCAGTGACGGTGAGGTATTCAGAGGGATTGAGACGATATGTGTTGATCATGAAGTCGCGGTAGTCCTTGTAGACTGCCGGTGTTTTGCTTCGATTGCGGCTATTGAAGAATTCCGGTAGGGACTTTCTCTCTTCTTTGTGAATTAAGCGCATGTCAAACCAGGTGCTATAGCTGGGTAGGACCACCGCATATCTCTGAGCTACGAGGTGAGATCGCGCGGCCGACTCCAGTTCGGCTTTCGTTTGAGTCGGCTGGCCATCGGTTTTTTCGTCCGTAGGTTCTGCAGGGCTGCCAGGCTGGTCTCCATCCTTGTTGGGGCTGCCAATGTCATTTGCAGGCTCCTCTCCGGTACCTGCCATCTCCTCATCCTCCCTGTCACCATCGTCGTCCCCTGTTCGAGGCGCATCCGGAGCATCTAGAGGATTGTCTGAGATTGGTAATGGTGTAGATTCGGAGAGCTTCTGCGGTGATACGGAAGATGTGTTGGGATTTGGGGTGACTAGGGCTTCAGGTGCAACGGTGGCTTTAGAAGTGCAAAACAGTGATCAGTATTAGCCCATCCAAACTGTAGGAAAGGATGTCCGGCATGAAAAAGTACCTGCACCATTCTCAGAAAGAGCCGAATATGAGGCATTGATTTCTTCATTGCCTTGCGCCTGTGTAATTTGGTGAGGCTGGTCTAGGGTGTTTGATGAAGCTAGGGCAGACGAGTGGCCAAGGTCCGGAATTCCCCCTTCCATTTCCGCTGACTGGATACAAATGTCTGTTCAGGTACGTAGTACTTGGCCGATGCTAGTAGGCTGCTGATGCTTGCGTTCTCCTGAGCTGTACAAACTGAGTCTTGAGACGCCGGGCTAAGCCTCTGATTGTTATGATTGAATGACTTCGCTGTCTAAGATGTCGTTCAACATTCTGACCCTACGCTCATAGAGATGGAGAGGGTGGGCTGTTGACACTGATGACTAGCTGCTGGGCGCGTGAAGCGACAGTCTCGCAGTGATAGTGCTGGAAATAAGGTAAGGAAGACACTAAGGGCGACTAGCGTGATCGGCAAGTCGGCGTGATGCGGCTCCTCATTATCGACAAATGACTTCCGAGAGTTCCCTATTTCCATCTTCTTTTACGCTGTCAACAGAGGTACTGTCATAATTTACCGCTGCCCGATGGATGTTGGGGGAGTCCATACTGACCGCATCTACAATGCTGCTCACCACTCGGCACTCTGCTTTCCGGCAAGCACAATGCTACCTCAGGCTCTCGAGAACCTTCAATCGACAACAACAGTCCGCTTTTGCCCGCCTACTAAGCTCCCTTGCTGTCCTTGAACAACGCGAGGGGAAACTTCAGAGTGCATCCCTCAGCGCTGTCACTGCTGCTCAAAAGCTAGGAGGCTCAATAACAGGCTTTGTTGCCGGGAGTCGTGTTAGATCAGTGGCCGAGGAGGCTGCAAAGGTCAGGGGGCTAGAGAAGATCATCATGGTCGAGAATGGCGCATATGACAAAGTACGCTTACTGTGCCGTATACTGCTGTGATTACCCGTGATTGCTTCTAATCATTTCTCAGGCTCTCCCTGAAAATTATGCTCCTCTACTTGCTGAAAACATAAAGAAAGGAGGTTTTACACATGTGTTTGCTGGGCATTCGGCATTTGGCAAGAATCTGATGCCCAGGGTGTCTGCCCTCCTGGACGTACAACAGATATCAGATATTACCGTTATTGAGGGCGAAGATAGTGAGATCGACCAAAGTTCGTGACTTTGGCGAAGCATGCTCTGACTCGTTTGTAGCCTTCGTTCGGCCAATATACGCTGGAAATGCCATTCTCACTGTTCAATCATCAGACAAAATCAAGATGATAACAATCAGAGGCACGGCTTTTACAGCTGCCGAGGCCGAGGGCGGCTCTGCTGAGATCACCGAGGGGGTGGATCCCAAGGTTGAAATCAAGACTGAGTGGCTTTCGGAAGACTTGGCAAAATCAGACCGACCTGACCTTGCAACAGCAAGCAAAGTTGTTTCTGGTGGACGAGGTCTAAAGTCAAAAGAAGAATTTGACAGGATTATTCCACCATTGGCAGACGCTTTGGGGGCAGCCATCGGCGCATCAAGAGCAGCGGTCGATAGCGGCTTTGCGGACAACAGCTTGCAGGTCGGACAGACAGGCAAGAACGTTGCGCCGCAACTCTACCTCTGTGCCGGTATTTCGGGAGCCATCCAGCATCTTGCAGGTATGAAGGACAGTAAGGTAATAGCGGCAATCAATAAGGACGCCGATGCTCCAATATTTCATGTGGCTGACGTTGGTCTTGTTGGCAACCTTTTTGATAAAGTGCCAGAGCTGACTATAAAATTGAAGCAGTAGCGAAGAATGCTTGTCTTCATGTATATATTTCGAGATCTTACACCATCTTTGGACAGACCTTTTTACCTAAGCCACTTCGTACTTCACACCTTGCATTGTTCTCTTCGTGTTATGAAGCGAAAGAGCATGACACTGACAGGTCTTGCCCAAAATCCGAGATTCCCTGGCTGTTTCGAGTATTCGGCAAGCCGGTTATAAGCGAACCACTTCCCTGTTCATCTTCGAGGAGAGTCGCTGAGAGCGAGTTTCCAGGGCGAGGAAGGCTTGCCTACCATAGGTTTGGTCAAAGAGAAGACCTAACTTCGAGACGTAGTCAGATTACACGGAATGACAAGATTGGTAGAATGCACACTGGCATGTGGGGTTCGAATTCAATATCAGAGCAGTCGCGATGAGCAGTATGAAGATGGAAATGTGTCTGAAGCAAGTTTTCTCCGTCGGCTAAATGTTTCCAAAGTGATTGTTCACACATTTATTATTGCATTAATTGCATTATTGTAAGAGTAAAGTAAGTAAGTTACCTTAAGGTGGTTACGGGCGAAGGTACTCTACTAGTACCTCCTTTACCCCGCTCCCTTTGTCATATTTCCACTTTACCTCCGAGAACGTTTGTCAAATGCATCATGATTTCCATTTTATTTGCGGAGCATGGACGAAGACACACGACGGCTATCAGCCTTGCAAGTACGGACGGACTCTCCCAATATTGAGGCTACCGATAATGCGGCTGCCAATCATGCGCCTGCTAATACTACCAATGCGCCGAAAGCCAAGGATCATGTCAATCAAACCAACCATATTATTGCTGCGACTCCTGTGACCGCTTCAGACCGAGGGGACGCCTCCTCCAAACCGCAGAGACGCCGTAATAAGCCAAGTCTAAGCTGCGAAACGTGCACTGTAAGCCATAAGTACCAGTAATTTGTGTTTTCTAGAAAAAAGGATAGGGAAAATGGAAGGAAGGAAGAAAGAAAGAAAGAAAGAAAGAGAGAAATTGTACTTACGGTCCTTCAGATTAAGAAAACAAAGGTTGGAAGATGCCTTATCCCTGAACCTTCCTTTCCTCCTTATTCCCATGCTTACATCTCTTCTAGTGTGACCGAGGAAGACCGATGTATTCAATACCTAAGAGCACCTTCTTCCTTAAAGCACGCCGCGTCTGACTTCATGGGTAGATGTTTTGCATGCGTTAAACGGAGATCCGAATGTCACTATTCCCACCTTGCTGATCTGATCGAGTTGCTCACCCAATCTTTGACTCCAAAAAATCCTTCGTCTGATGGAGTATTAGGGAATCACATCGTGCCCTGGGCATCGATACGCCAAAAAAAAAGTCAAAACCAAGCGGTGATGCTGCGTCAAATTCTACCCTTGTCAACGTCTGTTACCCTCGACTTTGGACTTCGTCTCCATGTTGGCACAGGGACTGACTCAAGCACACGCACAGAATGGCACCACCAACCCCACAGAACGGCCACTTTCAAGGTCGTCAACTGGATCCTCGCCGATGCCACTTTCCAACGTTCCCTTCTCCCATCCTACAGCTTCCAATATCTTCAAGGCCGAACATCCCTTCAGGTGAACTTTGTGATTCTGGTTTTGCAGAGCTATCACTGACAGGGAGCAAGCAACTACTGGACCCACCAGGGCGGGCTGAACGAAGTAATCGGAGTTCTGCCAAGCAAAGACCAGGCAGATATGTTAGTTCCTCCTTCTCCTCCTTTGTAACGAAGAAAGTGTGTCCAACTTTTCACCCAATAGGCGAGCGAGTCCTTTACAATTTCATCCTTGATTAATCTTGGGCTTCGTTCAGCACTCATTTTCTTTCCATTCTGTTCCCATGCTACTAGTTCATTCTTGTCCCAAGAGGCAGCTAATTCGCGCTCAAGTCTAATTGCCAAATACTTTGATGTCGTTGATCCCGTTTATCCGATGATCCACCGCGAGTCCTTCCTACGAGACTACGAATTCTTTTGGTTGTTGGCGCCAGCGGAGCGTCCGTCTGTAGATGGGTCATTGGTCGCTCTCATATTCGTCATGCTGGCAATGGGTACACAATTTGTCACATTGCCATCGTCTGATGACAAGGAGCAAACGGCTGAATTTTATGGTAAGATACCAGCCTTGGTGTTCGAAGTAGTGTAAAAGGTCCTGACCTGATTGAAAAGTTTCGGCATCACACCAGGCGCTAAGAGTGTTCTCCTACCTCGGTCGTCCTTCGTTACGGGTCATTCAGACCATGGTTCTCATCATATACTTTCTCATGAACGATAATCACGCAGCGGATGCTTGGGCATTCGCAGGCATTCTCATCCGCCAGGCCTATGCATTAGGCCTGAACCGTGACCCGTCAATCATCGTTCCCCACGCGCACCCTTTCGAGAAGCAGCAGCGCCGCAAGGTGTGGCAAGCTGTGCTCTTCCAAGATACTTTCCTCACCGTCATACTTAAATTACCTCCTACAGCCACTCATACCGACGTCAGAATTGAGGACCTGGCTTTGGAAGTGGAAGAGTCGCTCACCGAGTCCGGCGCAACAGGTAAGCACCCTTTCTGCGTTATTTCTGCCATTTCCCGACCTCTGCTGGAAACCAAACATGTTTGTGGACTAGATGATGTGTCTCTGCATTCCGAATCTGTCTTAATACTCAAAAAGGCGTTTGAAAAGAGGAACGCTGACTCCCGGAATGCCGTAGATGTCACATACATATCGAGCATGTGGAACCTTGCAAACATAGTACAATCGACTCTCTGTACCCCGCGGTCTCTTTCGCTCCCAATATCGTCCTCGCACACCCAACGCACCAGCCTGATTGCTTCATTCCATCGCATCTACATGTCTTTCCCAGCGCCTTTCCGCACATTCACCGAAGCATCTATCTGCGACTTAGCACGCCGGAGCAAAAGGCTTGCAAGACAAACTTTGTTCCTGACAAGCAATTACTTCCACTGTCTTATGCTAGTATATGCCGACGAGCATGGGCAATTAGACATCGATATTCAGGGAACTTTAGACGCAGCTCACGAGGCCATCAATAGTTTCTTTCTGCTGCGCGCGTTGTTCGAGGACGAGGCCATGGTGTGGTATCATTTCCAACATCGAGCATTTTCTGAAGCGGTGAGCGCCCATCCTTCGTGCTGAGCGCGGGATCTATTAGAAGTCCCAGACTGACTTTCGAATATTAGCTAGTAATCGCGGAGCTAGTCAAAGCCCAAAGTGACAACATAGCAATGAATCCAACCAGAATGAGAGCTAAGAATGACGTTTTAAGGATGATTGGGATTCTACAGCTGAGTAGTGGCGTAGACATGGTGGCTCGCACGAGAGTTTCTGTGCTGAGCAGGTATTTGTGAAGGAGGTGCACAAGCGACGGCCTCTTCCCGTTGATGGTCACCACGCACAATAGCATAATACCCAGGTTTCCGTTGCGAAGCTTGTGCGAGGACATTGAGGATGTATTCGTGTTACGTTGAATTCAACGACATCTTGCCTAGAGAAACCCAGTGTATACCAAAATTCACAAATCATACATCCTTCGACCTGTCCTTAGCCAAGACACGCCTCCCTTGTCTCCGCATATATCGATTCAAACTCTCACAAAGTCGATCAAGCACCCACTCACTTTCGCTCGAATCTGCCAACATTGGGCTATCCTCCCCAATCCAATCCCATCCCACAATGCCTTGTTCCTCTTCTGCCAGCTCAATCTCTTCTTTCGACAGTCTGGAGAAGCGTATGAGCCGCGTATACTCGGCCCATTCCTCGTAGCAATACCTGCGAGGCGGGTCGTCTTTGAGGTGATTCGCTGTATGCCGTATTGCTATCGCAAGTTTCCCGGCTAGAGCTTGATCATCGAGATTGTCTAACTCGCTGACTTGCTCCATTGTAGGTGCTGGGTCCATCTCATCCTCCTCTTGCCCAACGGGCATACCTGCAGCCAGGCGTCGCTTCTCTGCAGCTTTCTGCGACTTTTTCTGCAGCCACAGCAGCAGCCATGGATACTTCTCGAGCAACTCACGCCATAAGCCTGCCTTCGGCAAAACGGTCCAATCGGCCAGCTTGAAGGTGCCGCGCTTAAAACTAGCGATGACTGTGTCGCCCATGTCGGAAATGAGGATTGTCATGGTTGGGACGGCGATAAGGGACCAGACGATAAACAAAGGTTTTCCGGCGTTGCTTTTGGGACTCAGGTCTCCGTAGCCGATGGTGAGAAGGGAGACATAACAGAAGTAAAGAGCCTGAAAATAGCTCAGACCTTGGGACTTCGATTCCGCTCTCCAGAAGCCGACAGCGCCTACGCACCAGAGAAGTCCGACTGCATAAGAATAAGCCTTCTGGCGAGCATGAAGAGAAACCGACGGGATAGTTGGTTGGCTTCAGCGACAAAAGGAGTATTCAACCATTACTTACATGCTATGAAGGACATTGTCAAGGCAGAATACCGCTTGAACTTGTGAGTATCATACTGAATTTTCCTCATTGCGTCGAACCGATCCTTTTCTTGCCTCATCAACAGGATTTTTGGTTGCCTCGAACCAACTCGTCTTAGCACCCTTAAGCCGGCAGTCACGGGACCAACCTTTGATTTCTTTTGGTGGGATTCGCGAGGGGCTGGGGTGATTGCCTTTTCCACATCGAAGTTGACCGTACGCTGTGTAAGGTTAAATGGCTCGGAAATTGGGGCTGGCTTTTTGTGATGAAGTTTGGCCAACGCATGTGCCTTCAGTTTCTCATATTCGAAGTCCGTAGTTGCAGTCCGTCGTAGTGTATGCGTTCTCTGCTTCTCGACATGCGACTTAACGACATGAGTCGATCCGAGTTCTTGGGCGAACCCTCGGATACTGGATACCATCAAACCCAGGATGATGATACCGCCAACCTAATAGGAAAAGTATCAGATATCTGTTATGCAGACAACCAATCTATGAGGTTGCTCACCGAATACGGGAAAACTAGGCCTCTTCCGACGTCGTTTGTAGGGTAGAAGTCACCAAATCCTACTGTCAGTACCGTAACGTCACAGAAATAAAGCTAGCGCTATTAGTCCAAGAAGGACGTCGGAGTTGGGCGAGGAAAGACGGACCGAGTCCACAAAAGACCAACCCTCCACTTTGGCGAACACGGCAGCGCCTCCGGCAAGCCAACAGAAGAACATCATAGTTTGAAGTATCAAATTTCGCTGATCATCGGACAGTTCAAAATGCTGAGGATAATGGCCAAGAAAGTACCCCAACATATTCAACATCAGGATCATCGATGAGACGAGGTAAAGAATGGCAGCGATGACGGCGTGCCAGAAGCCTTGGCTATAGGTCTGGTCTGGTCGGTGGGGAGGCACGTACTCATCCATGGATGCGGTGATAGCGATGAGCTAGCGTCGTCAGTCAGAAGATGTCTCATTAATACCATGATTTATGATTGCGTATAGACAGCACATGACGAATTACATAGAGGAGTAACGTCGTGTGGACAAAATTGCAGAAGACGACGGTATAATGATAGAATTGGTATGACACATGTAAGTACAGTGGAGAATAGTGACATACAATTCCTGTTGCGAAGTACCAAAGAATAATAGTGACGGGCAAAGCTACTATATAGCGTATGCGCCTGGTGAAATTGAAAAGAAGAAAGATGTTGCCAGCGAAACCACATGCTAGCGAGGCGCCATTGAGTCCCAGACACCATCTGGGGTCTGGAAAGCCCGTTGAATCTGCATCGATGCCTGGATTGGCCGGGTTGTAGTTGTTCCTCCATGATGTGACCAGTGCCGCAATGGACATGACATTGGCAAGGGGTCCAGTGCAAGCAGCGAGGAGGGGTATAGCTGTGGAGCAGAACCACCAATCTTGAGGTTGATCATCGTCGTCGGGCCTTAGGTGAAACTTCCATTTCTGCTTCCCAGGTATTTCTGGCGTAGGGGCTTTACATCTCACGCGCTGTAGTGTGCTTGTGGAAGCGTCTGTTGAATCTGAACTCCCAGGTGGAGAGTCGGTGGTGCCCATCTCGTTCTATTATGAATGAGGTGCAACATGAACCATGGTCCTGGGAGGTTACTTCCTAACGGCGACGAAGCGGGGCGTGGCGGGGAAAAGAAGCAACCAGCATATGATCGTTATCGCCAGGCCAACATGACGAGGAGGTGTATGATACAGATATATGGTTGCTCTTTATGCGCAGGCGGTGTAGAGGAGGAGGAGGAGGGAATGGCAATGAACTGTTGCATAACAACGAATCTCCGAGGAAGACGATGACAAGAACTCATTGTTCCTCATCGATGAATTTACTTAACCTTATCGGGCACTCGTAAAGTAAGCGAGGTATGGGAGATAACAGTCGAGACAGTTAACTCCGTATTACCTAAAAGGCTAAGGTACTCCACTCGTATGGTATTGAATTACCGCCACACACGTCGGCTGCCTGTTTACTGTTCAGCACCAAATGCCAAGTACCGACCCCGGCATTCTGGGGAGACTACACAACTGATGTGAGAGGAGAGAGTACGTATACTACTACTGTGTTAACCGAGAGCAGATGTCTACGAGTACTTATCTTATTTTTCACGTACGAGTACGTTGATTCACTTTTCAATAAATAGTTCGCAAATTGTACCACTTTTCTCTTTGCAGTCAGCAGCAATACGAGAGTAATGGGGCGCCAGGAGACTTCCGAAACTAAGCCCCCTTTTCCGTGGCACTTAGGAGTATTTGATGCGCATTGTCATCCGACCGATACGGTCCCGTCACTGGACAATGTCGCAGGCATGAAGACTCGAGCACTGACTGTCATGGCTACAAGGGAACAAGACCAAAGCTTAGTGGCAGATTTTGCCGACAAGCTGGGCATCACTGACGACGCAATCCCAGCCCTTGAATCTACAAGCGGCAATAAGAAATCGAGGGGCTACATTGTCCCTGCATTTGGTTGGCATCCATGGTTCTCTCATCAAATTTTCGTCGATGGGAAAGGTGTAATCCCTAGTAAACTCAATCACTACCGGATGGCCATATCGCCCTCACCAGAAAATGATGATGATTTTATTGCTACACTTCCTGATCCTCGACCACTGTCCCATCTACTCGATCAGACTCGCAGTTACCTTCAAAGGTATCCTTATGCGATTGTGGGCGAACTCGGACTCGATCGTGCCTTCCGTATCCCTGGAAACGAGTTGGCAGACAACCGATATGAGAGGGATCCAGCTTTGACGCCCGGTGGAAGAGAGGGCCGACGACTGTCACCTTACCGCGTTGATATGCACCATCAACGGAAAATCCTGAAGGCGCAACTCAACATCGCCGGAGAACTGCAAAGAGCAGTTTCTGTTCATGGTGTAGCTGCACATGGAGTAGTCTTCGAAACCCTGAAAGAAACCTGGCGTGGACATGAGAGACGATCTCTGAGCAAGCGCGAAAGGAAACGAAGAGCAACGCTCGATGCAGCACACCAAGAGGAAGAATTTTCCGAGGCAGATGAACAGAGCTCCAATTTAGGTGGTCCTAAGCCTTTTCCTCCTCGAATATGTCTTCATTCATACTCTGGGCCCGTAGATACTCTCAGACAGTACCTCCACCCATCAGTGCCTGCAATCATCTTCTTCTCCTTCTCTCTTCTCGTCAACTTTTCCTCTACCTCAAGCAAGGCCGTCGCTGCCATCCAAGCAGTGCCTGATGACAAAATTCTCGCTGAGAGTGACCTACATGCCGCCGGAGAGAAGATGGATGGCTTAATAGAGGATATTGTCCGAAAAATCTGTCAAATCAAGGGTTGGACGTTGGAGGAAGGCGTGAAGCAGTTACGATCAAATTGGTGGCACTATATATTCGGAAAGAAATTAGGGAATGAGAATGGCGCTGGATAATGATGACATTGGCCCAATACGTTCTGCTGCAAGCTTGCCTTTTATGGGCCGAGGAAGATCAGGGGGACAGAGAGAGTACCCTGTCAAAATTTCATAGCAATTGGGAACATCCCTATGAACAAATACGAACAATGTAGTTCTACAGTTCTGAGTGCTCTATCAGCCAAGGAGCACGAAATGACAGATTGCTCTGGCGGTTAAATGATGTTAGCGAGCATATTCCGAGGCCTTTTCTTGAGTGCAGAAGTTTTGGATGTAGAGTAAGACGTGGAGGAAGGGCGGGTGCTGCGCGTCAAGAACAACATGTTTTACGGAGGCCCGCAGGCTATTGCTGTTTCTTACCCGCTTCCGAGAACATGGCACCAAGAGCGAAGGGAAACCATCGGTTGTACAGTAGTATTTTTTCTATCAAATGCCGCTTCTATCAGGGGTAAGCAAGGTAGTCCATTCGTCTCGATACCTACCCTAGCGGAGGGCAGTGGGTTCCGGTAACCGTACCCAAACGGTATTGGTGTGCGGGACCGCCTACATGTATCTATTCGCTAAAGTAAGGTATCATCTCGAAGATCATTTCTGCAGAGACGACAGCATCGCTCACTATGCTTCGATCCCGTCTCAGAGACCAATTGTTCCACTTTCCCGAATAGCTATGCCAATGGGATTCCCTAGACGTCTCCAACGGATGCGCCCGAGATGTTTCGTTCAGTCCAAACGTACCAGCTCAATCCCCTCCTTTACCGTGATTTCACGTCGACTTTTCGCTCTTCGAAAGCCTGATCTATCAAGATGCGATCCAGCCGGGGCATTTTCTTGAGACCAATCTGACGCAGCTCATAATTTGGGTCCTTCGCTTTCACTGCGTCTTCTATCTCCATTTGACTGATGCGGAATTGACGGCTAGCCTCTGACTCGACGTCAAGCTGCTCTGTGTTGAGTGCCTCCTCACGGATGCGGGGAGGTGCATCCGTATCCCTCTTGCGCTTGCGAGAGTTTTTCCCTCCCTTCTTGGGAGACTTGGCCTGTCCTTGGGTATCGCCCGCTTGGATTCTGGCAGCCTTGACTCGTTTCACTATGGAATTGGGCTTAAGTCTCCCTCCGCTTAGATTGCTGATTTGTTTTGGGCTCCAATGAGCTATAACCTGCAGTAGAAGCGGTCCCCACTAGACAAAGATGTCGCCGTCAGCATTGCGATTTCAAGTAAGCGTTTCGAGTCTTGAAAAAATTCTACAGACCAAGGTCTTCCAAGACACGACTCAAGGCTCAAACACTGGTTCGATAGAGTAATATGGGTTCCGGAAATACGTACCAGATGATTCGGCCATTGCTTGATGATATCTTCAGTCTCGATACCCTCGGGCAAACGCTCTGTGGTTGCGGGAAATCCGGGGATGTGGACTCTTCGTAACTGCTGATACTTCGAGATATTCTCACCTGTGGGTAATGTGACTTTGGTGCCCGGTTCACCATGGGTCTGTCCTATGCTCCGTTCCGAGCTCTTGGAGACTTGCGCTCGCGCTGTATCCATGACTACAAGTGAGGTTGGAGATTATTGTCAAGGAGACGCTTTAGATGGTGGGATTTGGCGTTAGCACGAAGGAACGTGGGCGAAGGTTTCTCGAGAATCAATGAAAAGGTTCAGAACGTTGCCTGGAGAAGTTGTGTTGTATGAAAGCCTTGTCTTGATTCACTGTGAGGTGGCTAGAAGCACAATTTACTTAAACACAATAGCTATTCAAACGTGTCGGCTTCATCTCAGAGCTTGCGAGGCATCAGAGTGAATACCAGCTACGTTGAGAACGCCGATCCGTGAATATAGAAGTCTTGTAACAATGGCAACCGACCAGAAAGTGGTAATGGTAGCTATTAAAGAAATAGAAAAAGAAGTCTCTGAGATAGATGCAACTGTCACGCCTCAATTGTGGACGGTACAGACTCATTAAAAACTTTGAATTTGGGACAATCTGCTCTCTATCATCAGAATTGGCCATTCTTTCAAATCGATCTGACCCAGTAAACACCAGGGTTTGGCTTGCAAAAGGCAAAGCTCAACCTCAACTGCGTAGCAGATGCGAGGCCTTTCAGACAAGACACAGCTCGAGAAAGCAAATCTGTAGGCAGCTGGACATATGAGATATGAAATGTCTCAATGAATCACCAATAGCGACCTATACAGCAAGCTGGACTACCAGCATTTCCCACTAAGCTATGCTTTGACCTAGTTCAGTGATAGCAAAAGTAACACCTAACCAGACGTGGCCTTCTGCTTATCCTCCAAGACCTTCTTGACAGCCGGTCTGGCCGTGAGGCGCTCCATCCAGGCATAGTAGTGAGGGTAATCGCCTTTGAAATCGATCTTCGTATCGCCAGTGATATAGGGAGCTAGCTGGTACCACGTGACGAAGCTCAGATCAGCGTACGTGCACTTGTCGCCAACAAGGTATTCCTTGCCCTTCAGAATGGTGTCCAGGACCATCGTGACTCGCTTAACCTCGGCGCCATAGCGGTCTTTTGCCGATTGGACATTTTCGGGATGGAATTTATTGAACCTGGCACACCATTAATCAGCGTGGAGCTCATGGCCGGTGGTCTTCAGGTGGACTTACCAGGCTGCTTGGCCAAAGTACGGGCCTTGGCCTGAAGACTGGAAGTGAAGGTATTGCTTGCAGTAGTACTTTTCAGGGATAGAAGTGTACGTGAGCGAGTTGGAAGTATCGTAACGATCGATCAAGTACTCAATGATCTACATTACGTTAGTGAGTTAGTACCTGTCTGAGGAGTGTTTGGGAACTTACGGCTCCAGATTCCCAGAGAGTGATGCCAGTATTTGGATCATCGATCGCTGGTACACTGACACAGAAAGATTGGTCAGCCAGGGAATTTCCGGAAATCGAGGAGTTGACTGAGGAGAAGGTTTTCTTACCGGCCATTGGGGTTTTTGTCTGTGAATGGTTTGGCCTTGACCTCTTTGTGCAGGTCGACGAACTTGGTCTCGTATGGCAGGGCAAGTTCTTCAAGAACGATAGCGACCTTCCAGGGATTGGGTCCCTGCAACGCAAAATTCCAAAATGAGTAATGAGTAGGTGTATTGTAGAACAGCGGCCACAGGTACTGACGCTGTCGTGAGACCAGAGGGTAATTGTTTGTGTCATGGTGGAAAGGAGTGGGAGGGTGAGGTTGTGATTGTTGTTGTGATTGTTGATTTTTGAGGTGAGAATTCTGGATGAGAGCTGAGCTGATCTGTCCCTCCGTTAAATATAACTAAGGGCCCCTTCGGTAACCACATATTTTCAAAATATGCCAACATATATTACCCCACCTCTTAATAAATAAAATATAGACTTAAAATAGCACTAGTAGATAGTTGAAAATATATAAAATATATATACGGTTTCTATAATCTCGATAAGTAAGAATCGAATATAGAATAGTCGAAAAATTCTTTCTCGTTAGAGATAATTATCTTTCTATCTACTATTTAATAGTCTTATAACTAATATATCTACTACTGCTATATAGACTTTAATTATTATTAATACTTCTATTACCCCCGTCGTTACTCTATCTTTTATTATAATAAGAAGAATAGTACTAAGTAGCAGTAAGAATAACACTTGCAGCTATCTCTTCGAATAGAGAGTTATCTATAACTGAAATATAGCTACCTATTGCAGTTATGAAATGTGGCTATTAGTCATGAAAATGAAATATCGCTATTGCAGTTATAAATATCCATTATTCGTATGTGCTTAGCGCACGTTGGGTCTCAAATTATGGGTCAACCCATAATTTACATATTTTCAAGACGAAATGTGGCCTGGCAAGTGAAAATATGGTTATCGAACGAAACCGTATATACCTATATATAGTACGCTAATTTGAAAATATGTGGTTACCGAAGGTATAAAGTACGGAGTAAGAGCGAGCCGAGCGCCCCCACTTTTTGGATTTCAAATCCTTTACTTACATTACCTTCACATGCATGGGATCGAGGGGTTGCATACACGCATGCAAGGCACAAATCTAAATTGTCTAGAGTAATAAAGTCCCCCAAAAGTGAGTTGCTTGATACAGCGAGGACACCAATAGATTCTTCCATTTACCTTAGCCAGATGTTGCTTGATCTATTGGTGTCCTCGCTCTATCAAGTAACACACTTCTGGAACAGCGCAAGTACCTAAAGTGAGAAGGCCGAGTTGACTTCGGATTTTCGTCCGTCCAAAATCACAACTATCTTGTTCCTTTTTTTCTGCGACTCCTGCCACTCTCCTAGCACCTAGAATCCGTACGGAATCTAAGCATCTTGCTCTTCCCGTGCAACTTCCGCCCTCCGAGGCTCCAAACCACAGACAGAATGTATGGTAAATGGGAATCCTCGTCGTCTCACAGCCGGCCTTCCATTCAACCCGAGTCCTGCATATCTCCGTGTCCCCGTGGCGCACCTGAGAGCTGATAAATCGTTTCCAAAGTGCACCGGACCGAGGGTGGTCACGTGGTAATGCGCTGGCTCGACGCTTTTCCTTGGTGTCCCTTCGATATGAAGCTTCCAAGCTTTCTAGATCGCTAGTAGAAAAGGCAGACGATGGCGTCAAGAACCATGCTTGGTACCTCATCTGTGCGAGGGAGTGTCGCAGCGCTGCCCCAGCGAATGTTCGTGATAGCAGCATCCATCCTCCTCCGTAGGATCCTGGAATAGGCTGCCTCCAGCTCCAGCCTTGATCGCGTTGACCACATCGATTGCGAAGTCTGAGCTTCCCTCGAAGCACTGCCTGTACGTGCTCGCATCGCTCTCGCTTTCGGGGTCCATTATCTGCCGAGCAGCGATCTTACTGACGAGCTTACGGAATGGCGATGATGGAGGGGTCTTGTCATAGACTGGTTTTATCTCTTCTGGCCCAGGTACTAAACCAGCTTCATTGCACCCTTTTCTAAATTGGTCGATAGCTAGGTTCTTAAGCTGGGGCAGGTTGATTTTGTCGCAAAGTATATAGAGCTGCTGGCAAGCATCCGCAAAGTCCCACTTCTTGTCCATCGGCATATCGCTGACATTGTCAATCTTGCCCTGGTATAGCCACTTGACGAGAAGTTCGAAAGCTCTTGGGTCGTCATCAAACAGCTCGACCGAGACATCTTTCCCTCCTTCTTTCATGCTCCCATGCTCGACCTGCTTTTGGAACCATGTTGAGTGATGGCAGAGGATGTTGCGATGAAGTGACCAATGGCGCCTGGTTTTTCCGACGTAAATATCCATGGTCGAGCCTGACAGGAGTCTGAAGCGCAACAATGTTAGTCAACCAAAATGTAGCGCCGCAGGAACGGAAAAGAGGAACCAACTCTGCGAAAGTCTTTGCTGTGGTTTCGCCTATATCCGTCACTGCCATGCGAAAGGGGCCTTTGTGCTCGTAGGCAAAGTCGCAGTAGTGAATGTGCAAGGAGTCTATAGAGGAGTGGCCTGTTGGAGGAGGTGTGTATGGCGGAGTATCCATGGGCTAGGCTAATGCTTGGTCTTGAATGCTGCGGTTGAGTTCCGGAATATACAAACGAAGAGGTTGCCAAATGCTCGAACGACGATGACAACATGAAATGGATGGCAGCAGCTGAAGACTCCAGCGCTCCAGAGTTCCAGCGCAAAAGAGCCGATGACCGTATGTATCCCGTCGCGAAGATTAAGAAACGCCACAGCCGGTCCGGCGACACTACCACGGTAGTGCGATCGGTAGCGCGATATCGGTCACGTCTTTGGTATGTACGCGTTTTCCTCTTTCTTAACATATATTGTTTCAAGTACTCGTATTTCATTCCTTTGCCTTCGACGCGCAATGTCTCTAGTATCGTCACCCGTAACTTATCCACCAAGTTCGTCACCTCCACTCATACTGGAAAAGCGCAAAAGACAGCATGAGCTGGAAGTACCCTTGCAGGTAAAGAGGAAGGCTCTGAACGCGAAGGACGAAGGTCATGCGAGAGTGGAGTTCCGAACATTTGCATTGGATACCTCTGACACGGTGTCACTAAAAGCTCGGATAGTGGACAATGCACCCTCAAGGTCGCACGGGCCCTTCGCCGACGACGACGACGATGACAATTACGATGATGAAGGAATGGCGAGTAATGTTAGCATGCTTGGGTCCTTTGAAAGTGGAACCCCAAGGACAACAGCTGCGGCACCGGCTTTCAAGTCTACCCTAGCTAGACCAGATAACAGTCGGCAGCAACATTTGTCATGTCGAGCGCCTCAAGCCAAGACATCATCAGGTAAAACCTTCAAACTCCATTCGAAGCATTCACATGCTCCCGTTCCATACGAACAGCTCGTTGCTGAGCGGTCTAATACTGCACCAAGGAAGGCAACAAAGAGCTATTATGGCGTCGACGTTCACAAGCTGCTCGATGAGGCGGCCAAGGATGCCAGGAATGAGAAACATAAGAACAGCGACGCTCCACGTCCATCGATGGAAGCGCCATTGCCCAGAAAGACTTCCAAGAAAGGTCGAACGATGCTGTGGACGGAGAAGTATCGCGCCAAAAAGTTCACAGATCTAGTCGGTGATGAACGTACGCATCGTGACGTTCTGCGATGGCTCAAAGGCTGGGATCCAATTGTCTTTCCCGGCACAAGCAGACTTAAGCCAAAGACCAAGTCGATGGAGACCGAAGCAGGGCCTCGACAGCAACGGAAGATACTTTTGCTTGCAGGACCTCCCGGTTTGGGTAAGACTACACTCGCACATGTTTGCGCAAGACAAGCTGGCTATGAGGTAGTGGAGATCAACGCCAGCGATGAGAGGAGTCGTGACGTCGTCAAAGGACGAATAAAAGACTGCGTTGGTACTGAGAACGTCAAAGGTATCAACACCAAGGATGCAGCAGGTACGACTCGCAAGGCTGGAAGACCGGTTTGTGTTATAGTTGACGAGGTCGATGGCGTGGTCAGTGGGAGTAGCGGTGGAGGTGAAGGTGGATTCATTAAGGCCTTGATTGATTTGGTTAACCTTGATCAGAAGAACTCGAACGTTCTCGGATCTACCTCAGCCAATTTGGACAAATCGAAAAAGAAAGGCGACAGGTTTCGACTTTTGCGGCCGATGATCTTAATCTGTAACGACGTGTACCATTCTGCCCTACGGCATCTTCGTGCTTCCACGTTGGCAGAGATTATCCACATTAGGAGGCCACCACTGGACAAGGTCGTAGTTAGACTCAAATCAGTGTTTGACAACGAGGGTGTCGCTTGTGACGTTGATGGTGTGCGAAGGCTTTGTGAGGCAACCTGGGGTGTCAGCGACAGAAGGGAGTCTCGGACGAATCCCAGTGGTACTGGTGAAGGTGACATGCGAGGCATACTGGTGGTCGGCGAATGGGTGGCGGCGAAGATGCGAGCATCTACCGGGAAAACGGCTCGACTGACGAAGAAGTGGGTAGAGGAGCATATGCTCGAAAATCTTTCGCACGAGGGAGACGGAGCTCGAGGATTGGGTCATGGCGGCGCAAAAGAGGTCGTCGAGCGGGTTTTCTTGGATGGCGCAGGGTTTCCCAAGGCTGCCTTTACAGCGCCAAATAGCATGGGCAGAGTACAGAACAGAGACTTTCTGGGAGTGTCAGAGCTTGCGAAACACACAGCTATAAGTCGACTGCGGGACGTTGTCGACACATGTGGCGAGAGCGACCGCATTGTCACCGACTGCTTTACTGCATACCCTTCGCGTTCTTTCCAAGACGATACTTTCCTTTCCAAGCCTAACGCTGCGCACGAGTGGCTGCATTTCCATGATCGGTTGTCTTCGAAGGTGTACGGGGGTCAGGAATGGGAGCTTGGACCATATCTTGCGCAATCGGTCCTTGGATTCCACCATCTGTTCGCTTCTCCAGCAAAGCATTCATGGGCCGACCAGAAACGTTGGGATGATGAGAATGAAGAGCTGCTTCCTTTCTCCGGTCCTCGAGCTGACTATCTGGCCTCTGAGGCCTTGAAGCAGAATAGGGCTGTCCTGCTCGGCCTTCAGTCTTCTTTATCATCCCAATTGCTTCGCTCCTTCAGGTCTGCTGAGGACATCTCGACTGATCTCCTCCCAAATCTCATCAGGATGCTGACGCCCGATGTCAAGCCCATTGTTGTAGGCGGAAGTGGCGACCAGAGAGGTGCAGTAAGCGTTCGAAAGGAAGGAGAGCGAGAAATGATCCAACGTGCTGTTGGCGTTATGGGCGCTGTTGGCGTCACGCTTGAGCGAGCCAGAGTCGAGATGGGTCAAAGTGGCATCAGCAGCCACATCTATCGCATGGAGCCGTAAGCTAGCCAGTGCTGTGGCTCGGATAAGACTTACACTGACGCGTCTCTATAGGCCTCTAGACAACTTGGCGGCTTTTGAAACTGCCTGTCAAAATGGTTCAACGACAGCTCCAGCGAGATACGCGATCCGCCAAGCTCTCGACCAGGAGTATCAGAAGTACCTCCTCCGTCAGCGTGCTGATGCTCGTCAAGCTAGATATAGAGCTGGAGGTGGCCTTAGTTCTGAGGCAGATTTCGGAGCCGAGGACAGAGAAAATGCGAGCACTGAGGAAGAAGGAGTAAAGCCGAAGCCGGTAGCGGTCAAGCGTGACTTTTTTGGGAGGATCATCAATGTAGTTCTACCCGCGGCAAGAGGCCAACCAAGCCAGGGTGAGTGTGAAGAATCGCAGAATTCAAAATCAGATGAGAACGAGAAGGAGAGGAAGGTGTGGGTAAGCTTTCATGAGGGTTTCTCGAATGCGGTCAGGAAACCAATTACGCTCAAGGAGCTAATGCGAGGGTTTTGAACCAATCTTTAACCACGGGCAGGAACAAGCGAGATTCTAATTGAAATTCTTGCATTTGTTGCATTGACTAAGATGTAGGGAACTGAAACCCACGTCTTGCCCTGTGGAGATTCACCATAGAGAATAATCATTGACACCGTTAACATTGTGCAATTGTGCTGGCTACTAAAGACACTGAAAGTAGAATCTTGGCGGATATCACCACAGCCAATAGCCGTTCGCAATCAAGAAATCTATCCATACCTATTCATTGTCAGTCTCCAGCCCCTGAGATGGAGATAATACTGGGAAGATTCACCATACTCTTATCGCTAGTCGGAACCTATCAAGCGTATGTATGAGACGACCAGCTATGATTTTAACACCCACTCACGTCTGTCCAATGTCATTCCTTGGAACCTTAGAAGAGAAATACCTTCAGGAGACTTACTAGGAAGCTATTTATTCTATTAAGGATAGGAACAGGATAGCAAGGGGAGTGTACCATGTGAATCAGAGGTAGGCGAAGCGATTGGCGCAGTCGACTGGATCATGAACACGGCCAGACGTTTCCTCGAGGCGCTTGCTCACTAGCACCCATGCGTTCTCCATGACGTACTTGTACGCTTCAACAAGCAGCCTATCCTCGTTGTCATCAAAGCCAGCAGGTACCGGTTGCGTGATGACCTTGAGGTTTGTTCCCGCCTGGAAATCAAGGGCACAGGGCTTGTAGACTTCGCCTTTTGCAGCGGCGATGAGTGTCGCGTTTCGCTTGTAGCGGCCGTAGATTGCATTTCCTGTGAGGTTCGGAGGCTTGCCGTGGGAGGACCGAACGTTGTTGATGATCTCTGCGATTTCGTCGAATTGTTTGTTTTCTTGTCGCAGGCGATAAATTTCGTGGTTCTCCTAAAAGATTTTTTCTAGTCAGCTCTTGCTAGTTCTAGCCGAGAACTAGAGCCATGAGAGATGTTTCTGGACTATGGAATCAGGTTTCAAGGCTTCCGAAGACGCTTGAATGAGAAAACTTGCGATTGGGGAACTCCTACAGGATCCATGTCACCTTTCGCCTTCTTCTGTGCCCCACCAGCAGCGATACGGCTTGATGCCTCACTTAATGCTCTTTTCATCTGTGTGGCGTTTCCTCTGAGAGCAGAATCGCTATTTGACGGCCCAGTGAAATTGGTAGCAGTTGCGCTATCCGGAACAAGGTTTGCGCCAGAGGTACGACCTGATGCCACCAGTGCTCCAGGAAACACACGCTTGTTTTGGGTTGTGGTTCCCCTAGTAGGGAATGGAATGGGAAACAAGCCTGTAGAGGTGGGAGAGGAAGCCGAGGAGTGGCTGACGCTGAGATCGTATGGGCCGGTAGCTGCTGGGCGTTTCAAAGCTGTATCCGTCAACTGAGGAATGAGAAGGCCTTCTTTGAGGGCGTTGATGACCATAAGGTCGCCGTTCATGATTCCAAATCTGGATTCAGAGTGGGTCTCATTCTCGTATGAATTGACTTGCATACAATTGGCATTCATAGCTTCGAAGCGAGATTCGCTGCTCTTATACAGGGCAGTAACTCCAAGGCCAGGATTGGCTTGGAGGGAGGGGGCATGCATGGAGTCAGTACTAGAGTCGGTGCTCTGAGACAAAGATCCGAATCCATCATAGAGAGCGGCATCCCGGTGGTGGTCCCAAATCAATCTACTCGTGCCCAGAGTGGATTGTGTATATTTCGATGTACTAACGGTAGAATATTCATCGTGGTGAGGTGAGGTTGCTGCTAAGTTGGCAGACATAGTAAGATTGGCAAGGAACTCGTCGACCTCTCTCTTGATGTTGAAAATCAAGCTCACTGCACGCTGATCCATATCTGACGGGGTCGACTCTAGAAGAGCAAGGTCAGAGAGAAGCTCAATGAGGTCGGACATCTTGGTGTCTTGATCAGGTGTATCTTGGGACAAACCAGTCACGCGGTAGTAAAATGTGAACGGTAGAATATGTGTTGACGTGAACGGTAAGATATTCTTTCAGATGGGTGAGTTTACGTCTGGACCGCCCTGATAAACTTACAGGTTTGTCCGGTTTGTTCACTCGCCTTAGCGAGATGAAGTGTAAACCCGCGAGAGCAATATGAGTTGAAGCAAGGAAAGCGACGATGTTGTTGAATGTATTGCTAAGGAGTCCAGTTGGGAGAGCGCGAACAAATCGCGGACGATATGCACTAGTGGCGAATTCTGTTGTTTATGTTTTGCCAATTCGTCATCAACATCTAGTTCATTGCAAGTCACATCGTGCACCAATGTTCCGGCCTATCTTGGCCTCCTGGTCATTTTATATAAACTCTTCTTAGGAAACTTCAGTACGAAGAAGATATCAAGTAGTCATGTTTGTCTATTAACCTGCGGGCTTTGATGCTAGCAGTATTTCATGATCAGTCAGGATTATGCTGTGTAAAGAAAGCGAGGCAGAAAAATTCGACATGCCAATACAATCACTATCAAAGGTTTTTCAAATTCGATAGCAGGGGTAGAATCGCAGGCATTAGAGAAGTAGCAGATGTCGCGACGAATGTGTAGCCTTTTCGTCATGAAGTTGAGCAGCTAGCTAAGATTGCATGAGCTGATTTAGATCGGTCAAGAACAATATCTTGAGATCTCGAATAGTATTCAGCATTCGTAGACACCTCACAGAGAAAGCAGTCCATGTAGTAATGACCGGTTTAGAGAATGTTGTCAAAGGTCGATGGAGAAGCGGCGCTCCCGGCGGCAAATCAGTGTAACTTGGGAGTCTGGGACCTTTCCCCATGCGCTGTTCTTGGCCGCCCATAGCGGGGTCGTAGTGGCGTTAAAGTACTTACCCCCTCCCTTAGCATACTTACTCTTCACGACTCCCTCCCTGCCTTCTTTTTCTTTACTCCCTACTGTCCAGCTACGCAGCATGCCCAGCTTATTCTACATACTGCTCTCGCCAGTCCTGTTGTTCATTTCAATTCCTCTCTCATTATTCGCTGCTCTTACAACCACGCTAGCCTTTTCTACTTTATTCTTTCGTGCTCTTCTTGTATATGCAGAGCTCGGGGCCGTGTTAATACAGAATAAATTTGCCAGTCAACATGCAAATGAAAAGACTCTAGTGCCCACAAGCGTGACTCCAGCTGTTGCAGAGGGAAAACAGCCGCGGCACAAGAGCAGAAGAAGCAGTGCAGGTAGCGGATCCAATGGTGGATCTACAACCCCTAGACTTCCGGATACCGGTTTTGGCATCTACAGCGGTGGTGGGGTAGTACGCGACTTTGAAGGGGTGGGGGGGTGGAGAGTCCCAGGCACACCTGATGAAGATGCCATATGGACGTCTCTGAATTCTCGACTCGAATTGCCTGCAATGGTCGATGGCCGCCGGCGCAATCATCACCGCTCAAGAACTTCCGGTAGCCTCACAACCGTGTCTTTACCTCTCAATTCGCCCGTGCGATCTCGCGCGAGGACCCCCACAAGCGTTCGAGTAGGAGGGAGTACCAGTCCCGAAGAGTATTTTGCCAACCGTGCACCCTCCAAATCGACGACCGCTTTGGATGCAGCCAACATCTGAAGAGCTCTTCTGTACCATAAACCCTTGGGTTCTTCTTCTGGTTCTTCTCAAGGGTCAACTGGCACGTAAATTGACCAATAAGATGTTTGTGCCTAACGTCTACTAAGAACATCAACCATCCGTACAGCGCTATGCGTAAGTTCCAGGTCTACCGAGACGCCTTTCTACAGTACACACCAGGATACCCGTCTATTGTTGTACAGCGACGCCCGCAGACCGAATGCCCGGACCATCTCATGGGACGGACCGAAGTCCTCCGCTTCCAAAAGCACTACGCCTGCCTTTCGTGACGTGAAACTTCCTCCATTTCTTCTCGCATGACATGGTTAAATTCAGAAAAGCCGTCCAGATATACTGCGCCGGCAACTCTGAAGTCAGCGTCTGCTTTCTAACGCACCGAATTGAGTCAAGTCTGGAGAACGTAGGGGGAAAGAGGAGACATCCCATAGCTACTCCCCCAACATGTCTTGGGGTGCAAGTTTCGGTATCGACAAAAAAGGACTGCTCGGAAGTTTACGTACCATGGTGACCGGCTTTTTTGATGATCAAAACCTTGGCTGAGCCATTGTCAACCTCCTTCTCGGCGGCAGAGGCTGTCTTCCAAATTAACGCCTTCTCCTCCTCCATCTTCTGCTCAGCGGCGTAGCCACCAGCTATATCCATCCAATCATTCTCTCCGTACATAAGAACGACAGGAATGCCATTCTCTCGCTTTCGCACCGCCGACTCGACACTGGAAGTCGTCGATCCATCCGGTTGTAGGTATTGCCGGCCGACGCCTTGAATACGCCGTATAAGGGGACTCCGGGCAAATGCGCCCGGTGCCAATATGTACGCTAGGGCAAACTCCCCACTACCTCGCTGCTTGAATAGTGAGTACGCGTAATTGTGGAGAGCCTGAGCTTCTTCTGTTGCCAAGTGAGAGAATCGTCGAGATGTCCAGCCTGAGACGAAGCGGGGACCCAACGGCCCGGACCAGCGAACCAAGCTGAACGGAGAGATGTTCGCGTCCCACAGGTAGGTCAGCCATTTGGGCAGTGGTTTCCTTGGAGCAGTAGGTAGCGTTTTGTCTACAGTCTTGCTGGTCTCCTGTCCTTTCGATCTGGCATTTAGAAAGTTGTTCTTGTCTCCTTGCTTCGCGGATTCTGGTATCTTGGGGTTTGAGCTGCTCTTCACATCTTCTTCTTGATCTTGGCTGAACTCATTGGTTAGGGTGGAGTCTGTGGGTTCCGGCATTTCAGCATTTACGGCGTACGGATCCTCAGGTATCCCGACGGGGGAAGCCAGAATCAATTTGTTCAGATGTCCAGGGTATTTCAACGCATAAGCAACGGACATGTAACCACCTAGAGAGTGACCGACGAGAGTGAACCGATCGATCTTTCTTTGCACCCGCCATTCCTCTAGAGCATCGATAAACCAGTTTTCTGCTTCGGTGATGCACTTTTGCCGATCTTTGGAGTGAAGTTTGAACGGTGGTCTACTACTTCGACCCATTCCCAGGAGATCAAGGGCATACACTTTCCACCCTTTGACTCGACTTAGTCCTTCGAAATTCTTATAGAAGAAGCCAAGTCCTGCACCATAGCCATGAAGGATGACCAAATTCTGGTCAATGTCCTCGCCCATGCGTTCCACCGAGAACTCGTTGAGGGCTCGATTATTGCCGCTTAGTTTCACCAAATTTGAATGCCATTGCCGGGGTCCGTATGGATCGCTATTGGAATGCGTCTGGACAGCCGAGGCCTTGTCGACGCTATTATCTGAGAAGGATGCTGTTGATGGGGTTTCGGAGGGTAGCATCTTCCCCGTTTGTGTGTGGGTCGGAGGTTGCTTGAGGTAGGGAATGTATGACAGAACAGTATGTTCGGCTTTGGCAGCTGGTATATTTGCCCACTACGCTAAATCAGCACAATGCACCTTCTTCCCTCAAGATTACCAACCCATTGACTGAAACCTTCCTTGTAGCCTAATGTAAAGTACCCACCCGTCCTTCCCGTCCTTGCTGTCCTGTTTGTCCCCGTGGATGTGTTGCTTGCTTTTTCACGTTGGGAGTCCCGGGGACTGTGCTGAGGGCTTGCTCGTGATCCATCGTCGCCGCCATTAGCGGTGGCGGTAGACATGATCGCGGTGTGTTGCGAGCCCCCTAGCTGCACGGAAGTTGTAAACCGAGTCACACAACGTGGGCTGCAGAGGACAATTGTCGGCAAGTAGAAGGGCAGCAGGACACGCTTATTGGACGACGGCCTCGCGCTGAGGTTGATAGAAACAAGATTCAGTGAAGACAGCTTGATAGAATCCCCTTGTCTCCAGTGAATCTTCGCAACTCATGTGTGTTGAATCTCGACAATGGAATGTGTAATACAAGGGAATTTGTAATACCAAAGGCCTTAGGATGGCAATGCAAGCATTGTCTCGTACTCGTAACAGGTAGCAGCTAAACGTTTTAAGACCGACGGGACGAATATCCATGTAATTTTTGTTTTCGCACCCTGGCCGATTCGCAATGACTTTGGACTGGTCATGATGAGCAGAGTGGTCTCGGTTGGCGAACTGTTGCTGCACTTCAAGTGGTGGGAGGAGCTGAAGCAAGGAGTTTAATGGTCTTCTAGGGGATCATGTCCGGCTCCAAGCTTGACCAAATTGTCAAAGGCGCTCCTCCGCCAGGCACTTCAGTCCCTTCCGTCGTCTCTAGATCATCTTCACCAGCTCCATTAGCAGAGAAAACGGAGTTGGGAGATCCAACATCATCCCCTCCTTTGGTAACTTCGGACCCACTCGCGACGCTTCCTTCTTCACCTCCGCAAATATACCTCAATCTTCTCATCGTTGAAGCTTCCCTCCGTTCTCAATATTTAACCCTGCGCGCTCGTAGGAGGCAGAATACATTCTTCTTGCTCCTGCTTGTTATCTGGATCACTGGCTTTTCATATCTCTTGTTCCTGCGTCCACGCGAGGATGGAAGCGGAGTGGGTGGCTCCGTCTACTGGGTGGTCGAAATGGGAGAGAAGGTTGCATTGATGGGAGGGGTAGTTACTGGAGTCCTAATATGGGGGACGGGCCAATGGGATCGGGGGGTGAGATGGCCACGGCGCTGGGTAGGCATTACAAATCGAGGCTTGAGGAGTATGAATGCAAAAATCGTTGTTATCAAAGGGCCTTGGTGGAAGGAGATGTTGGGCCATCTTTCCTTTCTCTTTCCCTATTCCTCTTTTTTCCCCACTCAAGGATCTTCCTATCATTACATAGATCACGTTACCGAGAAACACGGCTCAGGTGGTATCCGGCCCATGTTTGAAGAGGAAGAGGGTGCACCGCGAGAGGAGGATCTTTCGCCTGGAGGTGACTACATCAAACTTCTACTGTTGCCTAAGCCTTTTTCTCCGGACTTTCGTGAGAATTGGGAATTATATCGTCTGGAGTACTGGGAGAAGGAAAATGAGAGACGAGCACACCTGCGACACCTGGTGCAAAGAAGTGAAAGAGAGCTGGCACAAAGGCATGGCGGGTGGGTCTGGTGGGTGGGAGGGCGAGGACGCAAGAGGGTGCAGAACACTAGTGGAAAGGGTGATATCGAGAAAATCCATCATAAGCACCAACTCGAAAAAGAAGGGAAAAGGCACTCTTTCATAAGGTCGGACTCACATTCTCGAAACACTTCTCGCAGCAGTACTCCATCGAACGTTGAAGGGGAGGAGCGGCCTACTCGGACACGGCGAGGCAGCACCACTATGAGTGCCAGTGAACGGAGAAGAAAGGCAACCAGATCTTCTACATCCGCAGAAAATAGCCACCTCTCCAAGCTTACCCCGGTCAGTCGCCCAGCTTAGTCCGCACGTTTGTATACCAGCGAAAAGCTTAAATTCCTTTTCCGACACGCTTCTCAAGATCCTCACAGAGATGAAGAAGACAATTCTCGGCGCTGGCTCCTGATATGTCCTTTTCGACTCAAGGGAAGGCCTTTGTTGACTCGGTCGACTTTTCACTACTCTGACTGCTGTAGTTGACCTACCACTGCAGACTAACGCAGACTGGGTCGGCGTCCTTTATCGCATGAGATGGTTTCGTACAAGAAGAGCGCAAACAATGTGGGTAAAAATTGGTGAACCATCACCACTCTCTGAGACTTGGATTTTGAATGTCGAACAAGATACACACGGTGTAAGAAACATGTCTCGGTTCCTATTTGGGTTGTTGAGGAGAGGGTGAAGGTTTCCCAAAATCTATTTTCCTCTTGAGCGACTCGATTCCTATAGGCATATGGCACCAGCCACTATGCGCGATGGTGAACGCAATCGTAGGGCTGGGCAAAAGGAGCCCTCGTGGGAGGTAGAACGATGGGATGCAAGGGCATAGATAATACTGTACAAGTTCATTCATTCGCAGCACAGCCAGGAACCTTCTACATGTTGACATTAGTAGGTGGAACACTTGAATGGTTAGATCTGATAGCATTAAGAATACATATATCGCCAAGCCTCGATAAACTTTTCTCGCCTCGATAAATCTTTTAATTTAATACTCTTATATACTCTTCAGTATATATAAAAGAATAAGGTGGGGCTGAATTGAAAACCTTGAATTTATATATGCAGTTAATTATAAATTTAGTTCTTTTTTTACTAGATCGGCTGAGTTATCGTGGATAAATAAATTAGCGTTTATAACTATTAAAATCCCGCCCTTCCGTATCTCCTTATTAAAAATTAGATGTACGTTATTAATATATAAATAACTTTTTTTTTCTATTAAAATTTTAGATTTTTTTTAAATTATGATAATATGGCTTTTAGATAAAAATATTTTATTTGTCTTATTTTTGGTGGTTTAATATCGTTTGTTGTCGGCGTGCCGTTATTAAGATGCTTTTTTTACTTGTATTAAAAATTTTTTTATTTTTTTACGTATAGTTTAATTAAATAAGTATAGAAAATACTCTCTATGAAGAAAAAACCTCTCTTCTACTTTTTTTTTATTCGAGTAAATAAAAATATTTAAAATATCGAATAGTAAAGATAAAGAGAATATATATATATATATATAATATTCTATCTATTACGAGCGTACTCTTAATATATTACTTAGCTCTATAACTAGCGAGTCTTAACGAAGATATTCTCTATTATATTATATCTTCTTTTTATCTATATAATTCGATAGCCTTATTATTCTCTAGTTCTATCTTACTTATACTAATATTACATCTATGCTAATTCTAATACTATCTACTCTAGATAAAAATTTCATTTCTAATTTACGTAATTATTTAAAAAAATCTAGTTTATTTAATATCTATTAAATTTTAATTAATTTAAAATTAAAGAATTATATTATAAACTATTAATATATATCGATAAATTATAAACTCGTAAAAAATTTAATAGTCTATAAAGATCGTATAAATTACTATTTTAGAGAAAATATATAAAAGTATATTACGTAATTATATCGCTAATTAAATATTTATTATAAATTTTAATTAACTTTCTATTAACTTTCTATTAATATTAAATTTTCTATAATATTAAATTATTTATAATTTAAAATAAATAGAGATATTAGAAGTTACTAAAAAAAATCTTTTATTAAGAGAAGATCTTATTAAAATATAAGATAGAATACTTAGTTATATTAACTATAGAGTTCTATAAAAGAAAAGAGTAATTAGATATAAATATACTAAGATATATTACGTAATTATATTATATAACTATTAAGACGCTAAGAGTTATATAATTCGAATTTTAATACTTCCCTTTATATATATTCTTTTATACGCGAAATTCGATATATATAAAATTTAATATTAAGAATATTAAAATTAAATAAATAAGATAAAAATAATTTAGTCGATTTTTATTAGATTATTAAAGTAAGTTTAGCGTTAAATAATTAAAGTAAAGTTCGAGTTAAATAGTTAAAGTAAAGTTTAAGCTAAGTAATTAAAGTAAAATTAATATTAAATAATTAAAGTAAAGTCTAAGTCGAATAGCTAAAGTAAATTTAGCGTTAAATAATTAAAGTAAAGTTTAAATTAGATAGTTAAAATAAGTTTTAGCGTTAAGTAATTAAAGTAAAATTTAAATCGAATAGTTAAAGTAAGTTTAGCGTTAAATAGTTAAAGTAAAGTTTAAGCTAAGTAACTAAAGTAAAAAATCGAAATCTAAAAATAACTATATTAAATTTCAAATTTCACTTTTTATTAAAAAGCGATTCTTGAAAATTTTTATTTCTAGATTATCTAGTATATTATTAAAAAATAATTAATTTAAGATCGAAGAATATTCGTAGAAGTTTCTAAGATAATTAAAAGAAAGTCTTTATTTTATTTATATATATATATATAAATATATTATAATCGACTATAAGACTTCTATAAGAGCTATTTTAGATATCTAATTCTTAATAATAATAACTAATAATAATAATAGTATAAATAAAAATATTTTAAAAGAGTCTTAAAAATTTAATAGTAATAGCGATAATAGCGCTAAAGAAATAGCTATTTTAATATAAAATAGTAAGTTTATAGAGTATTTAGTCTAAAGCTCGACGAGTAATTTAAATTAATTATTTAAACTATAAAGATTAATAAAATAGCTCCTCTAAAGTCGAAGTTAATTTTTCTAAATAAATAATACTATAAATAATATTTTAATCTAATTAATATATAAAACTTCTTAAATTTATTTTTAAATAGTATTTTAATAAGTTTATTAATTATTTATTATTTAGTAGAAATATATTTAAGAGTAATATTATTAGCGATAACTTATTCTTATATTTAATATATATATAAAATTAAAGATTTTTAATAAGAGCTATAATACTCTAATTATTATAATAAATAATAATAGTTTATATATACTTAGCGCTAAGATTAAATTAATTAAAAAATTTATATAATTAAATTATCTTCTTAATAATTTATATTAGAATCGATATAGATATAATATTAATATAGACGAGTAAAGGCCTATAAATTAAATTTATAATCATTTTTTTTTTGATCGGGGCTGTCGAGTAATTTTGGTGAGCGATCTTTGGTAAGCGATATCTGAATTCCTTATCTTTAAATATCTATAAGACTAAATTTAGTAATTCTCTTTTTATCTGAAATCCTACATTATACTCTATAGTTTAAATAAATAAAAAATTAAATTTTAATAGAAAACAAAAAAGTTATTCTAAAATCAAATAATGTGTACCTGTTTTTTTTTTGATTAGGGCTGTCCGGCTGTCGAGCGAACTCTGGGGAGAGATATTTAAATTCCTTGCGCTTTAAAAATTTTAAGCCAAAATTAAAAAATATTAAAAAAAAAAAAACCCCAAAAAAAAAAATAAAAACAAAAAAAAAAAAAAAAAAAAAAAAAAATTTTTAAAAAAAAAAAAAAAAAAAAAAAATTTATAAAAAAAAAAAAAAAAAAAAAAAAATAAAAAAAAAAAAAAAAAAAAAAAAAAAAAAAAAAAAAAAAAAAAAAAAAAAAAAAAAAAAAAAAAAAAAAAATAATAAACTAAACCTACATATAAAAAATATTTAAAAAAAAAAAAGTAAAGACCTATGAATTAAATTTATAAAGTTGAATTTTTCTAAGTTAAATCGAATTTTAGCTCTAGTTCTAAGTTAAATCGAACTCTAATCGCTTACTATACGTTTTTAACCTATATATAAATATATATATACGAAGAGAGACGCGCTAAGGTCTAATTAGAAAGGTATATCGAGTATAAAGAATTAATTCGTAATAATTATCTTTAAAAAAAAATAGAGAAAGGCTATATTTCTATAATAAGAAGTATCGAAATATCGAAAAGAAATAAAGATAATATGTTAATTAGTGGTGTAAATCTTATATTATCTTCTATCGTAGTAAAATCTTTCGAATAATAAAATAGCTATTAGAGTAAGATATCGAACGATTTTAATTCGTTTAAATATATATCGTTCGATATTTCTTTTATAGAGATCTAATTAACTATAATCGTCGTAGTAGATTCTTCTCTTATAACGTTATTATAGTAATATATTATATTAATATAATAGAGATAATAGACTAAGTTATAGTAGTATTCTCCGCTTACTAAGTAATAATTTAATATGAAATCGTAAAGAGTATATAACGTGGAATCTTAAAGAGCTAAGTCGTATTCTTAACGATAATAATCTTATTATCGCTTAATTTCTCCGTAGTATTCTCCATAGTATTCTCCGTAGTATTCTCCGCATTTATCTATTATAGTTTCTTCTCTTACTTCTTAATATAGTAGAGATAATAGGCTAAGTTATAGTAGTATTCTCCGCTTACTAAGTAATAATTTAATATGAAATCGTAGAGAGTATATAACGTGGGATCTTAAAGAGCTAAGTCGTATTCTTAATGCTAAGAATCTTATTACCGCTTAGTTTCTCCGTAGTATTCTTCGTATTCGTCTACTATATTAACTTCTCTTATACTAACTAAGTAAATTAATATAAGATCGTAAAGAGTAGATCTATTATATTACTACTGCTAATAACTATCTCCGCTCCTCATTTATCTATTATAGTTTCTTCTCTTACTTCTTCTTATATAAAGTATTAGACTAAGTGAAAGTATTAAGTTATTATAATTAATTAAGTAAATAACTAAGTAATTAATTAAGACAATTTAACTAAGTGAATTATTAAGCTAATATAGAGTAGATAGTATTAACTAAGCGACTAAGAAATATAATTAAAATAGAGTAATAAAGAATAAATTAAGAAGAAAAACGCGTTTTAAAAGATAATATCGCTAGGTTAAAAGATATTATCGCTAGCTTAAGAGGAGTATATAGAGGAGAATAATAG